ATTCGAACACAATAAAGTAAATTTTTGTGAATATCTTGTTAAAAAAGGAGTAAATTTTAGAACATTGTTTAAATCATCGTTGGCAATTCTAAACCGATTTTGATAGTTCTTTTTTCCATTCAATTATTCGATATGATTATGCTCTTGCGTTAACTCCATAATAATTTTGCACCGATATTGCTATTTTTATGGAAAAAATAGTAAATAGGTAATGTAACTTTTATTACCTCATTACGATTTTCCTTTATTTTCACATAATTACCATATATGCAACTGAGAATCGCATGTTCGACCTCAACACGAACGTGTGTGTCAATTTAGTAAGACGGTGAATATTATTAAGTTCTATATATCGTTCTAGGTCATCGCTTCATAATTCATTAACTAACTTTTTAAGTTGATTATAAAGGAAATCACTTCTGTTACCTACAAACTTGCCTAGGTCAGAACGTATTCATATCATGTTTTACGCCGTATAATAAAAACGTAACATTCGAAAGTTTGTCCATTAAATTTTTTCGCGAAAATAAAGTGGGAAAAAAAATATCGATCTATGTTTTTTTAGTAGTTGATGTCAATGCTACTAAATAAATCATGTTTCTTTATTTTCCTAGTTTATTTTCGTCAACTCTGCTTGAAAGTGGATCTTTGTTATGCTCCTCGACATTGGTCTTTTGTAGAAACTTATAAAAAAGAGAGAATAAAAATAGAAAATATTATATTTTTATTTAAACGCAAGACAGGATTTTTAGCAAAAAAAAACCTCTTAACACAACTCCCTATTAAGATACTCAATTACGAATAATCTAGAAAACTTCAATAAAAACAAAGATATTATTATATATTTTATATTCTTTTCCTTTTATCTAGCTATGTTTAAATTATTAATGTTATCCAAGTTTAAATAACACAACAGTGTATCGTGCCCCTAATCTTTGAAGCTAGTACTTCTCTTACTTTTTAATCGTATTATGCGATACTCAAACAGCTACATGAAAAGCCTTACAAAGTGTTCAGTTAGCTAATACATGCTAATACCTAGCCTAACCTTCATTTGAATAAAAAACTGGTTAGGCATATATAGTCATAGCTAAGGTAGTCATCATATCACCCGTAAAGTGTCTGCTGATAAAAACAGGCCTGCCCCTATTTTGGTGGGTTTGCCAGTAGTAGCCACGCTTGGCAAACGGCTTGGTAACTACAGTTAGGCTTTGGTGACATTTTAAGCAGTAATGTGTATATAATCTATTTCTAACTATATAACCTACTAGGTCGTCCTTCACGCGGTCTCTCTGAAAACCATCGTGGTTAATTCATGATGAATTTGTAACGACAAGCTAACTAACCTGATTTCATCCTCACATGTCATTCCTCACTGGTATTCCGTCAGTGTATATCAATGACACAAGCGGAGTTACCATTTCGTTTATTTATTAAAAAAAACTATCATTCCCACCTTGAAAAAATCAAGATGTGATTCATTATTATCATATTAGCCTTTATCTGTCCACTGCTGAACATAAGCCTCCCCCTTGGGGAGTTTTTCCAGGAGTTGCCATGCTTGGCAGACGGATTGACAAAATATTTTAAGAGAAACTCTGCTGCCCATTCCTTGCCCTCCTTTAGTCGACTCTTAAGACACCCACGGGAAAGGAAGGGGTGACCTATTCTATACCATGACCACACGGCGAGATGTTATTATAAACAGTTATAATAAAAAATATATTATTAATAAAATAATAGTACATTACTTCCGAAAAATAAAGTGGTTCAGAAATGTCCGAAGTATTATATCTAGCTGAATAACTACCGTGAGTCATACTATATTGTAATAGACCGACATAAATAATTATAATACTCTGATCTAAATAAAACAACGTTGAAGAGTACCTAATATCTCCTGAGCTTCACATGATATGACATGACTCACAGCGGAACCATAAGTCGTAGATGTACAAAAAATTCTATAAACACACTTAACATGTACATTAATATTTAAAAAAACAACACTGACAATAGAGCGTATTTCATCAAATTCTGCACTCATATCCGGCCATCTAGTGACGTTTCATTTAAACCTCTAGAGATATTATTTATATCTTGTCCCTATATAATTATATATTTTTAATATAAATTTAAAAAAGTATAAATATAAATAGTTAGTGTACCTTTTTATATGGGAATCGGAACTTTAGGTTTTTATTTTACCAATGCCATAAGCATAAAAAATATTATATATCCGGGCCAAAATCACGCAGTCATTTGTTACTTTCTAAAATAAATTAACTACTAAAAAACTATTTTCCATTCGGCCAAAGGCCAACTGATGTTATACCTATCTATAACAAAACTAGATTTGGCTAAATGGAATAAATTTCAGCCCCATCTAATTTTAATATATAAAAATCTTCTGTCACAATTTTCAAACCGCACAGCCAATTTTTATGAAATTTTGTAAATGTGTATAACTTTTTAATATAATTTTTATCCTTCATCATCGTCACTCCATCTAGTTAGGAGACATCCTACACTGCGTTTGCCCGTACGGAGTCGTCACTCAAGAACCTTTCTTTCACATCGGTTGTCGATTCTTTAAGCTATGTGACCAGCCAATTGCCACTGCACCTTGCCTATCCTTCGGACTATGTCTGTGGCTTTGTTTCTTTTGCGGATATTCTTATTTCGGATTCTATCACGCAAAGAAACTCCGAGTAAAGCTCTCTCCATAACTCATTGAGTTACATGTTTCGGTTCCATAGCTCATCACTGGCAACACGCATTAGTTAAAGACCTACGTCTTTAAACTTTGAGGTATTTTAGATGAGAAGATGTGGCGTAATTTTCCGAACCAACCCCTGTGGATTTGTCTCAATCTTTATTTTTAATCTTTACTAATATTATAAATATGAAAGTGAATAAAAGCAGTAGCTTCAAATGTTTAAAAATGAATACCACGCCAACATAAACATATTAGGGAGAAACCATTGTTAATAATGGGGTTTAAAAGCCCCAACAAACAAACATAACAAGTTAAATATGTTACCCAAGAAGTGACTGACTTGATTTTATCCTCACCTTCATCTCTCGCTGACAGATCATCAACATATACCGATAGCACAAGATCCCTCCTGTACTATCCCACTTCAATCATTAAAAAAAATCAAAGAAATACTCATATATCCTATTTATTCTAAAAATAATTGTCAAAAGCGAAAATACGGACGAATTAAAAATCTCCTCCTTTGTTTAAAGTTCAATAAATAAATTGTATTATAAGTATATTTATATCATAAGGGAGTAATAATTCCAATGTTTTCTTTGATTAACAAAATGTGGCATTTGGGTGCGTAAGACAATTACAGAAGATTGAAAGCTATTAACAGAATTAGTGATAGCTTATATTACAAATAATGAGCCAAATGGGCAAAGAACAATGACTTTCGTACAGTCGGTGTTAGATTCATCATATGATTATCATATTAGCCAGTAATGGGGGTTTTGTCAGTAATTGCTACGCTTGGCAGGTATATTGGCAAGCGTAGTAAGCTATGGTGATGTTTTAAGAGGGACGCTTCTTCCATCCCTTGACCATTAAATTCCTTTAGTCGCCTCATACGACAACCACGGAAAAGGAAGGAGTAGCCTATTCTATGTTGGGACCATACGGCAAAAACTATTTTAGATTAAAAGATGTTAAAACAACTACATCGATTTCACAAGTACATCGTAGAATAACTTATGACTTAGTATCGAATTATCATTAATGCGATTTAAATATACAATCAAATACGTCTAAATTTCTTCGCGTAACAAAAACTTTAAAAAGGATAAGAGGACGTAAAATCGATAAATTAAATTGGCAATAGCTCAGTAAATTAACTACAAATGAAAAAGAGAAAATCGAGCAGTTAACGACCCTGAACAAAACAAGAACATCACAACTCTCCACTAGATGAAATGAAGGGTTCAATAGTATTGCAGAAAAACTTTGCAAATGCTTTAAGATCGTTCCTTACGATAATTTGAAAGAGGCCTATAATATTACAAATCTATATTACTACCCGCAATGCCTTTTGTTTATAAAAAAACGTCATTAAAGTATTACAAAGATTTTATAGAGATTTACATGATTAAATAAAAATAAAATTAAATGAAAAAATAAAAATGATTCCATTTAATTTCCCAAATGCTTTTATCTTGTCTTATTTTTATTTTTACCTTTACATTGGGCTCGATTCTAGGACGCCATTTCTCTAAATCTATCTTTTAACTTAATATTTTTATTTGATAATTTCATGAAATTACTGTTTTATGGGCCATCATAATCTAAATTTATAATTATTTTGAGTTAAATCTATTGGAAATTTAGTTTATATTAGTCCTTAGAATAAAAATTTCGATGTGATATCAAATTTAAATTTAAATTTTAGGAATGGGTCTAAAGAAATGATACGTCACAATCGACTCCTCAATCGACTATCTTCTCGATCTCAGTATAAAGCAAATTATATAATTATATATAATTTCTTTATACTAAGACGTCGCCATGTGGTGGCAAACCTGGCATATGGAAATAGGCCACCCTATGGATATAACAGAATATACTCTTTTTTTCCATGCGTTGCCATTCTGAGGGGTGTTGTAAGAGCCATATCCCACCCTTCAAACCGAAACACAGCCATGCAAACACAAGGCTTGAGATTGAAACACGAATGGGACAGAGTTCCTTTTAAAATATCTCCACATCTCTAACTAGAATTGACAATCTTTCACCGTGGGTGTTGTGCCAAGCGTGGTAACTCCTGGCTTAAAATATCCACATCTCTAAGTTGACAATCCACCTGCCTTATGTTCATCAGTGGACAATTAAAGGTGATGATGATGATACTATATAGGAAACAGACCCAGAAGTTTTACAAAACACCAAAGTCACCTCATGCTTAAATGAAACATTTATAATTTTAAATAAGGGTGACTAATTGATGATAACTTTTTTCCAGCCAGATCCTGTACATGGACCAACATTCGTACCAGATTCCAACAAACTACAATAGAAACATTCCACCCGGTAAGTTTGTAATAGTAATTTATTGTTTTGAAACTATTTTAATTTTATTTTATGGTATCCACTATCTTTATACTGTATACCGTTAACTTTACCACATCCTTGTGTGATATGGCAGTGAAGTTACAGGGTGCACAGGCATAACACCGGGCGACACGGTATAGTCTGTTATGTCCATGATACTGTTCGTATCTATAAGCGATGATAACCACTTTCCAACAGGTGGACCGTCATTCTTAGTTATATAAAAAAATCCAGCTAAATAATACAAGTAGTTTAAGAATTTCTTAATCCTCAAAATATGTAAATTTATCTCTGTAAATTATAAATACATAGAATTACGTACTTATTTATTTTTGTAACAGATCTCTATCACTAATAAAATAAACGACAAAGTTATATCCTTCTCCAGTAGGTCATTTATTTCATTGTAACCATTGTAACCATCTATAAATTGAAGGAAAATCTAAGTTTTACAACTTACCATTAGTAAATCTATGGTGTGTCCATAAAAGAAAATTTTGTTTTTGAAATAATTATTTCTTCACAAAATGTATTTTTTCATATTTATGCTCATTACGTAAAAACATTCCTTTAATTTTTACTACATCATCAAGCTAGCAAAGTTTAACTTTGAGATAAAAACTTTATTGATATATGTAAGTAGGTTTTGGAAATATTATTTTCCATTCTAAATGCCAATAAATACATGTAAAGGACAAAAATTTTTATATTATATTAATTATTATATTATATTATACTAAGTCAAGTGTATTTTCATTCATAATCAACATACAATAGTACCATATATCATATATACCACGTAAATATGAATAAAAATATGCAGTTATTAAATTGTAATTACATATAAGTTGGTAACCTTTTAGTACAAAATCAAGATTGGACAGATCAAAAATATTCCACTCTTGTAATAATTATGTCCGCAATGCTTACATAGAATTAACTATGTACATAATTGTTATACATATGCATAACAAAATAGGTATGCGGGCGATATTTTTAAAATATTACTGTGTCTATTGAAGGTTCACCCGCACTCATATCGCCGGCTATCCACTTAACACCGGATGTTATTCAGCGAAACGTAGCAGCAACCGCTCAGCCAATCATTAGTCAATGTATTATTTCTGTCGTCTAATTGCCTCTCCTCTTTTAAATGTCGATCTATTTATAGAAAAAAAAAAGCTATTTTTAAGCAACTCCAAAAAATTAGGCTAAATACGGCCCAAATTTTTTGCGAATACCGTCCGCAAATACGTCGCTATATCTGAATCAATTTTCGCATTTCTTTTTATACATTGGTTCTATATGATTTATTTATTTGCATATAAAATTCATAAATTTATTTATTGTATTTATTTGTTTACTCTGTTTCATTTATTTGGCCGTGTAGTCCCCGCATACAATCGGCCACCCCTTCCTTTCCCGTGGGTCTCGTAAAAGGCGACTAAGAGAATTTAATGGCCGACAAAATGTGGTCTTATCGCTAAAGTAATCTCTTCCAGACAACCTTTGGATAAAGGAGAGGAGAAAAGGTATCTAATAAAACGCTCGTGTTAATAAAACATATGCAAATAATCGTATGCATAACTTTACAAAGTTAAGTACGTATAGTAGTATATATTTCATAAAAATATATAAAATATATAACATTTAGATATATACAAGTACATATTGTAATATTATTCATATATATAGATATATGTACATATATATGAATTATTTATATGGTTATTTCACACACAATAACGAAACAAGTAGGTATAGACCGTCAAAAACTAGAAAAAAAAATATATAATGACAGGATTTAATTATATTCTTGAATATGACTAATGACTAGCGCTGTATTTGAAGGATGGTAGTGAGTTTCATAATCGTACGTGATATGTGATATCGTGTAGCTTATACGGTCAGTTTAAATCTTACCTACCTACCTGCAACTTTCGAACTTCATATCTTATGCATATAAGTATCCTGAGAGCACATTGTCTGTGCTCAACTATATTTGCAAACAATTTCGTAAATTATTTTTAAAATTTATATTCATTATACTAAGCATATAAACAAAAGTGACAACGAAACGATTTTAGCCGGACATCCTCTTCAGGGTAAATAATGCAATAATGTAAATAATGCTTACATCATAACGTCTCAAACCTCGCCTCACACTATAAGCCGCAACATCTAATAAAATGTCTGTTAACTATTAATAAATTGTTGCCGCATCATTCTTTCACTTTAATCCCTGTCTTTAGTTTTATATTTACCCTTTGATCTCTCATCTAATTCCAATTTTATGATAAAAATATGTGCATTCTTCTACAAGCTTGAACCATAGTTTTTTAATACCTATATTACATAAATATTTATTATCTATTTAAGTATACTTACACTAGATGACTTGCAACTAATTTATAAAACTCAAAGTAAATCAGTCATCGAGGTCCAAAATCTTAAAATTTTACATACATACCTAACTGCATAATTAGATAAAGTTAATTGTCTCCGGATCAAGTAAAGATTTTTAAAATAGTCTCATTTGCTTTTGCAATGTATTAGATATTATATAAACTCATAAATGGCTTCATTACAATATACTATGTAAACGTAGGTACATATTACCTATCTATATTTGTAACAGAACTGAAAGGGAGGTTCTATAATAATGTCTAGACATCACGGAATACTTTCTGATATTGAACACCTTTTGCATACCTCGTATTCAGTAACTCGTCGTACTCTATATATAATATAAAAATATGTAGATATCTAACTAAGAAAATACAATACTATACAATTAGGTAAGCCAAGCAATGCATTCGTATTTTAATAATCCGTAACACATTGTACAATTTATTTATTTCTTTGGTCACTGAAGAATATGTATTTGCGACAACTAATAATAACATGCTTTAGTCGGAGTTCGTTCGTAAGTAAGTAATAATATATCTGTTTGTCTATCTTGTGTCAAAATTATCTAATAACAGTGATGGTACCATATATAGTAATAGAGTAGGGCAGTAAAATTAAGGGTAGCATAACACCTTATGTACCCTTAATTTTAACCTCTATAATAGCAACGCATGAGGGACACACACACACACACATATATATATATATATATATATATATATATATATATATATATATATATATATATATATATATATATATATATATATATATATTTATTCATATATATTTTATATATGTAATTTTAGTATGTATGTATATCAATAATTAGTAGTACCGCATTCGAGTATTCTGACACTTCCCTATGGTTGACTGGGAGAGAATGCTTTTAGCATTAAGTCCGCCATGTACACATATTTGTACTAATGAATAAATAAATAAATAAATACCATATATATATATATATGTTTATACATATAGGAAATCTTATGAAGTTACTGTATTTGTAGTTTCCGATAATTGTTTCGACTTTATCCGAAAGTCTACTTTAAGGAACATACGGCGCTTTGTACCAAAGATCTTACAGTGCATTTTATGATATTCATAATGCTTTTCTATTGTTATTACTTTTTATCATATGGGTCATTAATTAGCTTCTTTGCCATATTAAGTTGCGTAAAAATCATTAATTACAAATACCGTCTTGATGATTGCAACTACACTGTTACCACATAAATAAAGGCGCAGCTGTACTAATCCAATCCATCAATATGGCCAGTCTACACTATCTCGTCCCCTATACGAATAGAATATAACCTCTTGCAGTGACTAGTTGTCTTTTTTTTTACTTTTTATTGAACTTAAAATAGCAAACAAGCTGATAGCCTACCTGATAGAAAGTAGTAACCGCTTCTTATAGATAATTCGCACCAGAAACAACAGAATAGATTGTAACATCCACTTTGTTCGGTGACAGACATAACGATTGGGACAAAAGTATCCTTGTAACCAACTTTTGTAACTCATAATTAATGAGTTTGTTTTAATGAACTCACTTCCCCATGTAAAACACTAGTATAGTACAAATATTATATTATTTTATTTATTTATTTAATAAACTTTAATACACCTAAAAAGTGAAAATAACGGACTTAATATAATATGACGTTATGTACTATGATCTGCGCTAAAAATTATTTTTTAAAGCGTATTTTTTGTGTCCATGGTTTTCCCCTCATAGTCAGTATGATACGAAAACCAAAGAAAGGTGAAATTAGAATCCTCCGAGTATTTTATTTCATTATCATTACTGAAACTTCTAAATATAGAGCACACCAAGTAAGGCCGGCATCGAGTAGTGGGTACCGGCGATATCTCCACCGACGGTTGCCATAAATTTACTGATTACTATTATTTTGTTACAGTTTATCATAATTCAAGCAATGTAACTGTATGATAATATAATTTCCTGCTATTGTTTCAGGCAAAAACACTACTGTATATATAGGTGTCAACGTCAATCGAGTCTCTGGGGTTGATGAGAACAAAGAGGTATGTTTTAATTTCCTTTTTCAACTTGGAATAGTACATTTTCTTTATTATGTAGCTTAGAATAAAATAGCAAAACAAGCTGATGGCCCACCTATTACAAAGAAGTAACCATCGACTATAGACATGAAGCACTACGGACATTATAAAATACACTATGATACTATATGATACTCATGGCTGAGAGGTGCTTCGTGTTTCAATTTAAAGAATGGGATATGGTAGTCAAATTGTTAGCTATCGAGGTTTAATAATAATTACGCATAAGAAGTAGGTAACATAGATATCAAAGTATATTGTCTTAAATCCGTGATGCTGTTAATGTCTATAGACAACAGTCACCACTTTCTACCTTGTTATAGATAGATCGTTAGTTTGTTTGTCATTTCTAATCATATAAAGAAATACTTTCCTAATTACACAACTGCCCAAAAAAAAGTGTAACATTTTCAAGGTTCTTATGTGATTTTCTTTATTCCCCCATAACTCCCAAATGTCTAACAGGTTGAAAATATTGTCGGAATCCTTACATCATCCCGAATGATATCGCCTATATTTTTAAGTAGTTCGTTTTTGTTAAAGCAGTCGTATTTTTTTTATTTTCGCACAAAAATATTTCTATTTCAATTTTTATTTATAAAGTTATTTTATAATACAAACTACAGATAGATAACTGCAAATTCCTTGCTGTTACAGACAATTCTCGATGTCTATTGATTTAACAAGTATAGTATCATTTACTACTACATGAAATATTCATTCCATTTTTAATTAAGTAAAATTTCGATGTTTGTCATGCAATCAGAAACTGTATAAAGATTCAGAAAATTAACTAATGTTTCATATTATTATTTTATTGATATATTATACCTAGTACTCTATTTCTCGCTAAAACTGCATTGTGAACTAAATTTAAACAGTAACTGTAAATTACATTGCTCTGATATGTCATAACAGTCATCTATTATCATATTATTTTATTATGTCACAATTATAATTATTTCAAATGTTTGTCTTTGATAATAGATAAGCGTGCTTACATTTCCATTATTGTGAAATTAATATTCACAATGCCGCGTAAGTGATGGATTTGGACGAAATACTCATCTTGTATCTATTTTTTTCTGGACAGGTTGAATTGTTTCATCTAACTTAAAGCCTTTTACTTTTAAAACGTATTTTCTTATTATGATGATAATATGCTATTACACAGAGAAAATAAATAGATAGGTACATAAGAATATAATCACTATGTCAAAAAGTATATAAATTAATGTAAGATCCATAAAAAAATACGACTACGTTGAATACTTGAAGTAGTCGAAAATAAAGGATTCGACACGGGAATAAACTCAAAAACATAGGTATGTTAAATATATACCTACGTTTTAAATTTAAAATTGTATGTATATAATAAACAATGGTATGTACAAGAAACGCTTAGAGGTGACCTGAAAAGAAACTAATTCTTTTATTAAAAGCCTCCTCCTAATTCAATCTAAGTAATCAATTTTTTTTGAGTTAGTTATATTACTTTTAATTACTTATATCCTACTCTTCTATTGTTGAAGGAGATAACACTCGACATTTTCCTACAAGCGTCATGGGAGGAGCGGAGGCTCAATGTCCCGCCCGAAATTCCCTTCATCGACTTGCCCTGGGAGTTCCGTGAGCTCATATGGACGCCAGACCTTTACATCTGGCAGTTGCAATCCATGAAGATCCTCTCCGTGCTTAAAGAGATGGCTTCATTGAGGCTTTACTCCAACGGCACCGTCTCAGTCAGTATTGGGTTCGTCTGCTTTTATTTTTATCCGTAGACAATCGTTTGTTTGTTTTGGCAACACCCGCGTTATAATTGTGTTAGAGCTCTTGCTGAACAGTCAAATATCTGAATGGTGATGACATGTAAACATATAAAAGTTATATTTAACATGATTACATCTTAAATAGTGTCTAGCGAAGTTTATATGCTGCCAACACGTCACTAAATGAATGGAGCGGTTTAAAACATTATTTAGAACATGTAATTATGACTTTAATATTTTTTTTTTCTTTATAGTGCAACGATAACGATCAAATGTGAGATGGACTTCGTGCTCTATCCACTAGATGTGCAAAATTGCGCGATTGATTTCAGTAGCTGTAAGTACCAGCAGATTTTTCTACAAATCTAGAAAATCATAAAATTTACAAGGCCGATATATAACCTTATTAAGTTTATTACCTGCATATCAATGCTTAATGCTGTCATAAAATTGTGCTACCTAACACCATAATTTTTATTAACACAGTATATTATAGTGCATGTTATTACTTTTACACTTTATAGACAATATTATATCCCACAGCTTTTAAAGGCTTCTCTAATTTAAAAATATTTAATTATTATCACGTACAAACGTCAAGTACACGTTATTGGTCAAAAATATTCTTTTTGTTCGACTGGAAATTCAAACATAGAGCTGTAATTCTTAATCGTTTCCCCACCTCCGTACCAAACTACGTTACTATATATTTTTTTTTAATTTTTTAAAGGCGTTTATTAGTAACTAACCTTATAATATTGACAGCAGCAGCATTGTGCCCTCAATCTATTTAGAATGGTATAAACTACTCTTTTTAGTCTTAAGAGATCAGAAAATATCACTATGAGGTTAATTCATAAAATAATTTCATGTTATATATTAAGATAATATTGAAAACAAATGAGTTGATAGTATTCCTTCCCTACTATAACCAGGATAGCAAACATAGCCCTGACAGCTAAAGGATACGGCTTCATAATATTCACAATTAAGTTTCACAGTTTTTGTGGTGTCATAAGATTTACATTTCAAAAATGTCAAAGATTTCAACAATGGTGAAATTAAAATATATAAACCATTACATTGCTTATATTTCTAGCAAAGAAATCAGGATTTTAACATTTATACACATTTTTTTAGTTAAATATTAGGTATCTATTGAATCTAATTAAATTTAATCCATTCAATTAAAAGCTGCAATATCACAGAAAACAGAGAAACACAAATACTTAACATTTACCTAAGTATTTTTGTCTTAGGAAAAACTCTTTCGGACTTTCTGATACAATACACACACTAGATTCCTTGCAAAATAGGCAGAGACAACGAAGTTTCAAAGACCTTTACTTTTATCTTGCAACTCTAGCTTCATTCTCTTTCATCAACAATTATTTTCCATAATTATTATAGGCACAGTAATTAAATGTTTATTTGTATGCGGGTGCGATGCTATTTAAAACATTTTTCAAAATCTGCACCACAATAACCTTTAAATGGAACGTCATAGCATTGAATGTTCACCTCTAGCATAATTGACCGATTTGTGACTTTATGATAAGAAAATTAACATCTGGTCTCAGATAAATTACTGTATCACCCTCGTAAGAGAACCGGCTGGAACATATCTACCTTGAAGGTAAAATATTAAACTACTAAACTGTGTTGAGGTACAATTATGCCTATGGTACTCTCTCCCTTAAAATTCTCAAAGAAAATTATTTTCTTTTCATTTAAGAGTTGGTGCTTTGGTGGTTGGTGGTGTTGAGTCCTCTTGTTGGTGCAACTAATTCATGCATCTTTTTCCAGCCAGCTCTATTCCAGGCCATATCCTTGACCTCTCTATACGACATGACACCTAGTGTTTCTTTTATCTGTCCCATGTAGTTATTCCTCGGTCTTCCTCTTCCTCTTTTGCCCTCTATTTTTCCTTCTACTATGCTCTTAAAAAATCGTCATATCGTATAAGGTAGCCCAGCATTTTGCCTCTTCTATTCCTTACTAATTCAATAATAACATGCAATAATTTTATAAAAATAACGATATTTGCCTGCAATTATCATACTGGTACTACTTCCCAAGTACTTAAAGTTCTTTACGAAAATTAAAGCTCTTAAATTAGCTCTCATTCCTGAGGAGGAAAGTGTTATGCATTTTGTGTAAAAATACTGGCAATTTGATCTTTCGCACTTTAGAACTGTATTAGCATTTTATATGATAAAAAATAGCATTCGTTGCTAAATACAAATATCGTCTTATTAATCTCATCTTAATATTTAATGTGGATTATAGATAAATACACAAGACAAGACGTCCGCTTCGAGTGGCGAGAGGTGGCGCCGTGGCTCGGACTCGGACCCTCCAACGGGCAGCGCAGCCAGTTCCGGCTCCCCAAATATGTGGTCACATTCGTCACGGACAAAAGTAATCATATTCGCAATTTTGGTGAAGGTAAATGTATATTTATTGCTTTGCGCTTAAGTTTGCGCCTTGTACTAAGTATACCCACTAACGCTGAGCGTTGCTATCGCTGGCATGCTGCCCGCGTCGCTTGGCGCGGATGAAATCTCTAAACGGATGAGTACCAGTTTAGATATCTACAATTCATCAGGTTATTGGTATTGAGAATGTTACATCCGTGCCCAGCGCACCTCCTCGTATGTTCATGTGACGCATGTTACCATAGTGAATTATAGAATGTTTGATGCATGGTTGTGCTTTATATACCTGCATTATTGTGATCTGTATTACTTTATAGTTTTAAAGCACTTATTAGTACATACACATAGTCTATTGTCTTTTTGTATCCTTATTTCTGTAATAAATAAATATGACATGAGGTATAAAAAAATTGCGAAAAAAAAATTTTATTTAATTTTTGTTTAATAAAACACAATCTATAGAGTAGCAGGTACCCATAGTAGAAAAAAAAATTGTCTAAGCGAAGTAATGCTATTCAGTCTGTTCTTTAAATTAATTTGTATTAAATATAGTGTCGTATTAACCTGAAATCAGTCCACATTCGCAACTGTTTTTTATTGCTGAGTGAAGATTTTAAATTTAATTTTACGGCGACGTTATTTAGAACGACAATTTGTCGTTAAATTTTATTAGAGTCGACCTTGTAGTTAATTTTCAGAAGCTTACACAACTACGATTATACTTTCTAATAGACTCAGTTATTAGGAGAACTTTTACGTACCACCTATCTCATTTTTACTTAGGGAACTAATATCATGGTTTCATCTCAAGGATACCGAATGACTACTGCTGAATTACTATCAGCTATTACTGACTACAATTGCTATCCCATGGTATTCCGTCTACTCATTATAATGTTCCTCACTCCAGTGGCGCTAATTCGCGAACTAGTTCCTTTTTATTCGTTTGAAAAGATTCTTCTAGCTCTTTTCAGTTTCCTCTCTCCAAAGTTATACTAAAATAGATACAGTATGCCTCACTACCACCATCATTTGTATAATAGTGGTAGTGAGGCATACTGTATTTGTAGGATATATTTGCCCTCATTACGATTATTTGCATAATCAAGATGAGAACAAATATACCCTATTAAGTAATACCTTAGATTATTATTTATTAGATGCAATATACATACATGTATTACCTATAATCTAAGGTATTACCTAATATGATAGTTCATAATTATTAATATAATAATGAACTATCATATTGTAAGGGTCACGCTGTCTCCCTAGGCCTAATATATTTACCGGCAGCTAACAAGATCACTGAAGAGAAGTTATTTACATAGCCGTCTAGGACGTATCAGCTTCTAATATTACTATAAGGCCCATTCTTCTTAGTGCATACTTGTTCAGTTGTTTAGAAAACCTACCGGCCCAACAATTGGTAAAGTACAGCACATATGAAGATTCCCGATCCACATCCCACCTACCACCTAACGACAAAAATTACCTAATATTAAATAAATATAAATATTTTACCAGATATAAATATTCAGAGTGTGTATCCTATTTATCAACCACCCTATTTACCAGTCTTATACAACTATTTAATTAACTAGATAGGTACCTATTGGTTGTTTTCTAGAACACAAATATAATTCAGTTTGTATCTAGTAAATATGTACTTATGGCTTAAAACATAACAGCTGTATCGTTTTGTCTGATGCAATTATGTCAGTAGATATTTATATATAATATTACAACACTTAGGTACTGTACTGTCCTATATGTTATAGAAATAGGTACACTGCATACAGTATTGCTTACGAACTGCGGAATTAATTTATTTATAGTTATTTAATTTTCGTACAGGCGAGCACTCTGCCGCTCGTCTCCAGATCAAGCTATCCAGGGAGCTAAGGAGCTACCTTCTAGAAAGCTACTTACCATCTTCGTTATTTGTGATCATCTCATGGGGCAGCTTCTGTGTGATTCCCGAGATTGTCCCCGGGCGGATGGTGTTATTAGTCACCACTTTGCTATCGCTCGTCACTATGTTTGATACAGTCAGGTAAACTATTCAACAATATTAACTTTTACTGCTTTATAATTCACAAGATAGAAATAAACACGATCATATAGGTAAAATATTTTAATAATAGATAACCCAGGTAAGGTTATCTCGATATTTCGACCAGATCACACCAGTCGTGGTCATGAATTAACTGATGTAGCCATGTCATTATCTTCTGTTCTCGACAACAAACATTCATCATTCTAAGGATAGGATGATGAATGTTTTTAAGTTTTTACACGTTTTTAAGCCCAGAGTGTCTTAAGGATAAACAAAACAATACCCCAATGTAAGTGAAGGATTTTTTTTAAATAAAACCCTATACTTAGCTGCTTGTATGCCTATTATTATAATAGGCTAATATTTCAGCTTAAGCAATGACATATAAGTCTAAGAGTAAATACAAAACTTGTTTAAAGGGCCAACCTCTACTGTATCTTAGACATTAAACACTTTTTAATAAAAAAAAAATCTAATACTCATATTTTTAGAAGTAATAACAAAATTTGGTAGGTACCTTTTTAATTACTTTTTTATATTTCAACATCATTTTGCCATTCATCTGCAGCACAAATTCGCCGGATGCACTGGAGCTAAAATGCATTGAAGTATGGCTGATCTCATGCACGATCTTCGTGTTCCTGGCTCTGATGGAGTACTTCGTGGTGTTGTTCGGTATCCGCTACGACAAGAGTTGGAGCCGTCGACGGCAGGACCTACGGCGAGCTGCCTCTGCTGCCCAACTTGCACCACCAATGCTAATGAATCATTCACAGGTAGAGATCCAACACAAAGATGGCACGAATATAACTTAGTACGAACTCAAAATTGCTACATCTTAGTGTAAAAAAATATACAGCAGAAAAAGATGAGTATTTATAAAAACGTGATTAGATACGTAAGGTTAAAAACCACTCCGCTTCGTAGTACATTTGCTCCGATGTCAAGTTCATCACTTTTCTTAACTTGTCAGTGTGTGCGAATTGTTGAAAACTAAAACATGAATGATGAGAAGAGTCTCAGACAATTTAAACACTTGAAAACCTGTTTACCCCAAATTTTGAACAACTTTTTCATAATCGAGTCATAAATATACGTTATCATCATATCAACCGTTAACTGTCCACTGTTGAACATAGGTCTCTCCCTATTAAAAGCTTTTGCCAATAGTTGCCGCGCTTGGCAGGTACACAGAGACAGGCTGGCTAAGAGACAGTGCTGCCCATTCCTCGACAATTAATTTCCCTTAGTTGCCTCTTACGACAAGCACGACAAAGAAAGGGATGGCCCATTCTATACCGGCACGGCACTATAGCCATATGACTATATGACCACGGAATCTCATGACTCCATGACCATGTAATCCGGATACACATATACATATATATATATATAGTCACATGGTTACCAAAATTAGAAAAGAATTAATAATAATTAGCTTCATTACAATAAAAATTTATTCCCGATTAAGAATTTAAATAATATACGTGTACGCGAAAATTTAAAATTAATAAAGATTTAATTAGTTGTAAATTTGATACATTATGCTAATAAAGTCTATGAACTCCCTATGAAAGATCAAATCGCGACGTAAATATAATAATTTCATTGTTTTTGACAGAGATTGAGTACTCCAGTGACAGGAACACCACAAGGTGGAGTGTTCAGTCCACAGCTCAGCGTCGAAGATGATGGCCTCAAACAACAAATGTCCCATCAAACAATACAACGGGTAAATATAATTATACTATAATAGAACGCGGCTTGACATGATGTACGTACAGTCAACACCAAAAATCAATTGAAAAAATTTATATTTCCAAAATCCCTATATATCGCTGCATATATGTGTAATAAGTATTTAGCTAATTTTGTGCTTTTCGATGTTTATTCAATTCTAATACAAATCTAGTTGAGAGACTTAATTATATCTGAAACGGTATTAAAATATTTTGAAAATCTATATATGGTAATCGACTTTTAGTGCTGATCGTATATACTCTATGGTTTTATGCATACTACACGAACAAAACTAATATAAGTACTATTCAAGTAGGTTTAAATACGGGCGTTTGGTATATTTTTTAAATTAGGACACCAATTTTTAGTCGTCCCACTCGGGCAAAAGGAATTGGAGACAAAATAAGGTTGGATGCGAAACAAGATCTCTAAAGGTAAAGATGAATTTAAAACGAACACTGCACTGTGTGAATTTTAGCTGCCAGCGGTAATGTTTAGGATACCACTTTAAATGTAGGCATTTAGAGTAGATAATAAGTGTGTAGGTTTAGGATGCAATTTTAAGGGTTAACTCTTGATACGTTTTGTTGTCATGGAAATAAGTAATAAGTAATACATTTTAAAATAAATGATAACTTATATTACCTCCGTAAAGAAACGAAGAAATAAATTAAAGTTATGGTTTAGATATGACTACATTTCTCTTATATGCTTAAAATAATGAAAATATCTGAAAAACAACGTGTTTGCACGGCTTCAACGCATGTTTGCTAATTGATTCGTGTGTAGAAGTTAGTCGGTGTTATATTGAAGCTGTTGGTATTTAGTCATCTAGACATTAGAAATAGCTTGATACTTTAGACATTTCCGTAAGCCCATAACCTGTTACAACACGCTTTACTCAACGCGTAATTAAATTGTGTAAAAGCAATTACAATGTTAGGAGCTGAATTGAACAAATATAATAAAGATATATTTTATACAATGTTAGGAGCTGAATTGAACAAATATAATAAAGATATGTTTTATATAATAACGTTGTCGCTTAGGCAAAACTTGTAATGGCATCGTTGTAATAAGTGAATAAATAAATAAATGTATCGATAGGATTCACCGATGCTGGATACGATCCAGTCCAGCGGTGGTGGCGGCATGTCAGGCCGGGGCACGCTGGCTCGGATAGGCGCCCTCGTCGACAGCGGCGTTATGTTCTGCGGCGCGCAACATGGCGCCCTAGACCGGTTCGCGCTCATGGTCTTCCCATTTTGTTTCTTCCTCTTCAACGTTATCTATTGGACTACATACCTCAGTGAGGCCCATAGGGTCTATGACAAGTGAGTGAAGTGAACTGTTAAAACTCGATAGTGAAAGCACGTGTTGTCACCAAAATGTGATCGTTGTGCCTACATAGACATATTGTAACATACTTGTAAATATTAGACGAATTGCTAGTCGATTTTACAAAAGTGTGACCCCCTGTTAATAAGTTAAGGTTAGGTAAGGGTTTTATTAATCTTTTCAATATCACAATTTACTTTAAGACACATCGAACCAAACCTTTTAAGTAAGTATAATACAATACATTGCTACGTTATTTATTAACTAATTTCCGCATTTCCTGTCGTATATCATAGGAAATTGAACTATTTTACACACATCTGAATGATAGGTAATTTTAAAATTGGCTCTTTAGTTATTTGACTCTATATTATTATGCTACTATTTTAAATTAAAAAAAGACAGATAATTTTCTTTTGAAAGTTACAAACACTTTTTTACATTAGTAAACTAACGTCAGAATTTTCAGAATTCGATTAATAAGAATCTCACTGTAAGGTAAATAAATATCTTATTCGCATTTTATTACCTACACGAGGTTTAAATATATAGAACCACTTTCTAAAGTATCTATCTAATTATTCAGATGTTTTTGTAATTTGACTGGTATCTAATGGAAATCGTCCTGTAATTTTTAAAGATATTCAAGGGATTAATTTTTTTTTATGATTGTTAATTTTATGCGAATAAATATACCTAAATATAGGTACCTAATATATTTTTGTTAATGCATATTATTTTATCATTAAATTATGCTTGTGTATTAATTGATTCGTCCAAAGCTTTAAAAAGTGTTAAAGTGCCTTTTATACATATTAATATAAGATTTAAAAAGGACATGCACAGACGAGGGACTTTATCCATGTGGGACAAAATTCCCAGTTGCACCCACCGGGGACATGCCAATCTTACCACGAATATCTTCTTTTATCTATTTGTCAATAATATTATTGTCAATAATAGTACTGTCGTACTATTTATTTGATACTTGATTGAATTTTAAGAAAATAAATTATATTCTTGTAATTCAGCGTGCAAAGATGTAGAAATAAAAAAAAATCGGTTTTATGGGATTACTTTGTAGTAATCTAAAATGTATTTAAGTAATTTATAAACAAAGTGGAGTTGGATGAATTAAATACAAAAAATTATGCCGAGGACTGTCCTTCGTTTACGCAAACTCTACTCCAAGCTCGGAAGAGAAAAAAAAATATAGGTATACATATGCTTGGATCTACATATCTGTTCTCCGTACCATTTTTACTTGTAAATAATTAATTAGGTATTCATGGATTAATTACAAAGTATGTACTTATTACAACTGCTCAATACTAAATTAAAGGATTCTCGATAAATATATATAAATTCATAATATTTTTAATCAGAGTTGTAGATGGTGGGACCATTGTGAGCTCATCGTTACATCGAAGATTCTAGTTTTTAAATAACTTGCCTTGCTTTGCTCACAATATTCACTCAGGTGCCTTAGCTTTTGCTATTGTAAAACCTTTCAGTGCTATGGAGTTTTATAAAGAGGCCCTTAATTAAATTAGCCATTAGAATTCGTCCCAATAAATTCCATTCAAAGCAAATATCCGTATGATTTCAAGTTACAGTAACTACTTTATAACGAAATTTATAGAACTAAAACTAAATTGTTTATTGGGTAGATATCTGTAACTATAAATAGATTAAAAGGTAATATCTCAAACCATGAAGATAATTTAAGAGATTAACGTGTGCCTACCTTAAATAATTAACTACGCTTCGCTATATCTTTAAAGTTGAGAAACTTCAGAAAGCATCCTTACTGCTATATCTTATTATAATTGGTAATTATGTATCCATACATTGTTAAAGATAAAACAGTATAATATATAGAGTACAAAATCTCGACCCCCCTCCCCCTAAAAAAAAAGCGTAAAAGTACCTTTCGTAAAAGCACTGCGACTTCATTGAGATATCTCTGAGCACTGCCCAATCCAATTCGGTAATAGTTATACAAATTTCTTAACCATCTACATATTATGTAAATATAGGTAGGTATATACTGACAAAACTAGTCGTACTATCCAAGTTCATAAGTCCATTCATAAAACGATTATGTTCCACAAAAAAAAACTACTTCAATTGTGGCAAAAATAGTTATTTATTTAAAAACTAAACTGATTTTAATAAAATTTCTATGCAACTAATCTGTAAACTGTAAATCCATTCAGATAAAAAAGGAATATTCAAATTAGTTCAAAACTAACAGCATTATGAAGTAACAAACATAAAAAAATACAACCGAATTAAAAACTTTCTTCTTCCGGAAGTAATTTAAAAATACAGTGAAGTGGCATGGAGATATCACAAAGTTCTTACACACAAAAGGTAACTTAATCGGAAACTGTCGTATATTTACACAACATTTATTGACATATATCCTACTAGTGTTTGCCCGCGAAACTGTACGTTATATTTACACAAAACATTTATTGACAAATTTCATATCCTACCCCAAAAGGAACAAGCTCGCACATATATTTATAATATAGGTAAGGATTATACAGAAGTAATAAGACTACAATATTTTGTCAATTAAATTATTCCCTGAATATTGTGAATACCGTTAACAAACCCAACTAATCTGCCACGTTGGCTCTCCCATTGGACCTATAGGTGGCTTATGATTATGGTCTCTCATCTACTATAGGGTATTCTAGTCATCATGAGTCTGAGTATGGCAATTATTACAGAATACCTACATGACTCAAACTTAATATGGCGAACTACCCATAGCTTACACATTTATCCTACTGAAAAAATGCATTAGTGTAAATTTTATTAAAATCCAGTGATAGTAGGTATTAGTTAAATGACGTAGATACCAATTACAATCATTCGTCCATGCTCGGAGATAATTTCAAGTCAATTCAATAGAAATTAGTGAATAATGTATGTCCATAATAATATGTACCTAGGTAAAATATATGTACCTACATAGAGACGTACAATACAGTTGACAGGTAATGTTAAATAAAAAAAAATATCAAACGAATATAAATCAGTGATTAAAATAATGAATAAGTACTTATATATTTTTAAATTATAGAATATAACTAGCTTATGTTGAAAAATAGATAATAATTATTTTATTATTGTATAAAAAAAAATATTTATTTAAGTAGATAATAGCAACGAAACTAATTTCCATTGTTATCTAGTCATAAATGCGATTTTAATAGGAATTAAGATTATTTGTAATTATTACACTTCATTACACGGCACTCCTGGTCTGCTTTGATCTTTTAGCACAAATTATTTTTAATTTATATATATTGCACAAAAATCATTTTAAATTCAAATCATCATTAATCAAAATCTTTTAAATCGTTTAAAATTTCACAAAAAGAACGTCACAGTCACAGGTAACACGAAAATGTTATATTTTTTTGAAATTTTGTACCTTACAAAACAACTACATTAATCATGACAGAATTAACGTGGGACTAATACGAGAATTGATCCCATATTAATTTTCTCAACCCTGTAGATTGCAGAACTATCAAAATCAGTTAAAAACTGGCGAAGAATCGAATTGAGAATATTAATAATATTGAAATGGCTTGTAAAGGAATTATTTAGGTAGTCTTAAGATTTAATGCTTCTAAATACAATCGTAAAGTAACGTATACAAATAATGAACGAAAAGAATTTGTCACCACTTTCTATTGCCAAGATATCGTTTGAAGCGACTTAATATTTTAATGCACTATTATACTTTCAAAAAGTATAATGTTATGTGATTTTGTTGTAATATTTTTATTGACTGTAATTTTTCTCTTTAATTTTATTGCTGTTGACTTGTAATAAATAATTGATGTAATATTGAGACACGTAAACTTAATACCTTGTACTTACCCATCAATAAATCTGCGTGCCTCAGTCTACGAGGCGAATATATAAATTTTATAATAAGAATAAAATCTACAAAACCAATATTCTAGTAAATAAATATATTTGAATACATATTTATCTCTCTAAGAAACAAAATACACTGGTGCAATATAAAGACAATCGAATCAAAACCTTTAATAAGCAGCCTGAGCAGTACGTTAACAATTGGTAATATTACCTCCTCTTATGCGGTAACACTCATGCCCAGCAATGCGATGTTAATAGGTTCTTATGCTCATGCTTTTTATTCCTCATAATCAAATAATCCGGATGTATTTTTATTATTAATAAGAATTATCTATGGATAAAAGACATTTCAATTTTTCAAGTGGCTGATGTTCTAAATTCCCATTGTGTTCTATGTCATGTTTAAAATCCCAAATATATTATGTGGGTACGGTAGGCTTGCCTTCTAATATTAGATACAACGTACAAGTTGTTCGTAAATTGGCTAAAAAAATTTGTTCTACGGAATATATATATATATATATATATATATATATATATATATATATATATATATATATAGTAATATAGTAATATATATATATATATATATATATATATATATATATATATGGGTAATATGTATATATATATATATATATATATATATATATATATAGTAATATAGTATATATATATATATATATACTATATTACACAAAACTGGGTAATTGAATTATATTTTGAACAGTACCAATTAATACGGAAAAATATATTCGTGTGCATAGGACAGCGCCCCTTGCGGAAAATAGCCGAAACTTTTTTATAGAACTTAATTTTTATTTCAACTTTACCCAAGTTGATTTGAACGTTACTCTGCTAAGGTTAAAATAGCTGCTTTACATGATTAATAACGCAATTCTTTTCGTTCGTGTGTCCTAACAGGCTGGCACACTAAACGAATCATAATAATATTCGTGTTAAACGACTACTAAGTCCTTTTTTCAAACTTATCCGTACCTACCATATACACCAGGTACCAATCAATAAACATTTAATGTAATATAACTGGTATATTAAGAAATATAGAATATAGAATTTGCACAAAAGTCGCTTTGTAGTTTTTTTATAAAGAAACAAGAAAGCCATCATAATTTATATAATTTATTTAAAGTACCTACGTTATTATTTAGGGTTTTACATTATCTATTGTAAACATAACGTGCCCAGACCTCATATATAATGTGTCCTGTAAACGAAAATTTGTGCCTTTCCAGACTTTGTTTTTGTACCTATAGAATTATTCACACCTTTAGCTTTCTATACTTATAACAATAAAATAATCTGTGAAAGGGACAGTATTATACACAGCTATGATTTTAGGCGATACATAAGTAAATTATAGAGTAATAAATAAAAGACACTATTTTAAATCATTTTAGATGTTTTATTTATAATTGATATCAACAATTTACTTTATTACATAATGTACATATTTACTACTAACTATCTACAGACATAACAAAATATTTGCTTACTCGTAACCATAATATGCTGCTTCTTTGAAAGCTCTGATCATATCATCAGAGTTTCTCCTTATCCGCCTACCAATAGGTTCCAAATCTGCATAGCACTTTGGAAAGACTTTTTCAATTATGTCGACAGCTTCTCTCTTGCCAATCTGCCGTACAGCCAACACTGAATACAGTGCTTTGGTTTTTACACAGTCCTGGAAGAAATACATCATATACTGTCTGAACATGATGATATATACATAATGTATATCAAAATAAGACGTAAGTATCTAGAAAAACTATTATACTGGGTGAAATCTAAATCGTTGATGGTCCTTGTAAAACTGTTTGCATGTTTGCCCCAGCATCACGCAAAATCTATAAAAACCATCAAATTAGATACGGTTTCCACTTTTGTGTACCTGAAGGTCTACCTTAAAATCTTGTGTATGTTTTATCTTGAGACACCATCTGGAGTAAGTCTATTTCATTATTTTTCCTACTTCAGAAATCCACGCATAATAATATTATTACACATAGATTTCAGAAATAGAAAATAGCAGACGCGTACAAAAAACTAGTGATTATACAAACCTGGTGCGCTTGTTTTATCTTCAACCATGAGGCATCGCCCTGGGACCACGCGCTAGCAAATGAGCAGTGGGTAAGGTTTGCGGCCCGTATCTCTGTGCATGCCAAGTGTTCCATATTCTTGAAATCAAGCTCATTGCGGCAGTAGTCGAACATGTGGATCATTTCATGCGCCAGAACACCTTGAACCATTCCTTGTCTTGTGGAAACATTTTGGCAAACAACAATCTGTAAAATCATATGTTAAGTGACATTAAATAACCCAATATAATTAATGATTAAATATATTATTAGCTTTATATATATATATAAGATAAAAATACAAAGACAGTCAAGATAGTTAAGGAGTTGAAATCAATGGTGTAAATAACAATTCCCAGATATATAATATATATAATTACAGACAACAACAATGACAAGAGGAGAACTGATCTTTGTAAGGCTCCCACTAGTGCTTCAGGGGTCCTAGCAGGAGGGCTTCTCAGTTCACAGCTACGTCACTGGATACTGGATCAGTAGAAGTAATAGAGTGGTAGAGAAATTGATATCCAAAAATAAAAGTGAATGTGTTTGTTGCCTGATGGCATTTAAGGGATCAAACACAAAAGATTATGGATTACCTGATTTAATTCTGGATCATAACCACCACTGACAGAATAATCACAAACTTCACATGATATATGTCTCCGTATATCAATTGGACTAGAAAAAACATGAAAAAGTTTAATATAACTTCACACTAAAATATACAGAATCTTTATTAATATCTTAATAGAATAAATTATCTAGGAATAATTCTTTAACATAATCGCTATTTATTTACTTATAAATAAGCAAGAGAGTTAACAACTCAACCATCATGAATTTGATGTAAAAATAGTATTTGCCACAAGGACACAAGCTACTTTTTTATCCCAGTCATACAGACAAAGTCATGCACATAATGAAAATGAAGAGAAAATGAATAAACTATACAAAGGGAAATGTTTTACTTGGTGCCGTAATATTGATTATAAAATAATTTTTAACACAAATAACAATAATTTCAACAAAATAAATATAAAAACCTTTATATACAAAATCAAAAGATGGTAATAAAAAAACACCAGGACCCTTAGGCTCACACTCACCTCTCATGACTAAGAGTCCTGGATGGTTCCAAAACTAGCTGAGCATTATCAACTAAATTATATGTAAGTTAATCTGGTTGTTCTTACTCTAGAATATAACATATACTTATGAAGCTTTTAACAATAAAAAATAAATTAAATAAAAACATATGTGCATACAAAGTCACATTATGAAAAGATAATACTTACCAACCAGAACTTTTTAGAGCAGCCATCATAACTTTTACAATTGGACCTAAAATTTACAGAATAAGTTAGTACACATAATACCGAAACTTATACTTTTCTATACATATAAATGAATTTCCTTTTATCAAAGTAACAAACAAATAGCCAAATATTAAATATGTATTTGTATTATTTATTTTTAATTAAGGTTAACACTTTCCATCAGGTGGGCCGTATGCTTGTTTGTCATTCTAGGTTGCATAAAAACAAAAAAAATATTATTTTAATTTTAAATTCCATACATACACAGTCAAATGGCTTAATAATTAATTATGCCAAATATAGCAGACAGATTACATATAATTTTTTACATATTAAACATGAATAATTTATTTAGATTTTACAAATTTCTTTTTTTTTTTTTCTTTATTTACACTACATGTATTATAGCATGATGCAAAAAACAGATCTCTAAATATCCTCCCTAGTGATAATAATTTTAGTGACCTGTCACTTGAAGTTTTACTGATGGATATTACAACAAACATTTATCATAAAATTAAATAATAATTTTATCTTCTAAAATATTATTCAAAAAATAAAAACCACTAAAACATCAGCTATCAGCCACACCATTTTATAATAGACAAAATATATTATATTTAAGGAAGATTATAAGCTATATCACAAGAAACTACAAGCAAAGCTGCAGGATAGAATTAATAAATAATAAATCTTCATACCTAAACATTCATGTTACTAATTAATAATTATTACTTTTATAATAAAAACTTAATGATACTTACTATTTTTTACACATTCAAAAACATTTTTCTCACATTTTAATTTGTCTATATTCTCTTTACCTTCTCTTCCAATCAGAACACTTCCTAATTTTGGTTTAAAAGTACCTCTTCTCTCAGGATATAAATCATAACCCCAAGTTTTTCCTTGTTGTCCAGACTTATCTTGTTTAACGTCCTCTTTAGATTTCTCATCTGGTGAAGACTTATTTTTTTCCTCAACCATTATATAAATTCAGGGGTCCACTATAATAATTTAATATACAAACAATATACGCTGCGTAAAATATTCTACTTTAAGCATTCAAGTACAATGTGCAGCACGAACTTAATAAATAATTATTAAATGTCCATAAAAATATATTTTATTAATTTAGAAAATAAATAAAAAATTAAAAACCATTATCATGTCTCTATTGTCAAATATTATTAAATGACAGCCGACTGCTGACATTATTGATGTTGACTTTGACACTTTTGATATCATTAAAAGATTTGTACCTACCCATGATCATACAAAAAATTAATAGATCCCTTAGTTTCTAAAATGTCTACATTAGCAATATAAAAGAGAGAAAAAAGAAAACAATATAAATGTTACAGTAAGATGGACAAGTAGGGCATTCACCTACTGCTATAATTTATCCCTTTGAATGAAATTTTATAAAATCATTAGAAATATTCTATACGTTCGTAGACAAAATATTAGTTCTAAGTATAGAACGTCCACGAATTAAAAAAAAATTAACAAACAGATGATTTTTTTTACTTTTGCAACTTCATTTCCACAGGAATCCAGCCCTTTTACGTGCACATATTTACAAAACAAGCACTAAAGTATAATTATTTTATTGTCTCATTTTTATCATTCCATATCAACCTTGTTCTGAGTTGCACTTCTAATATAGTGATTACTTGATCTATGATTACAATGTAAAAGTCTGTACATGAGATATACTACATCTATGGTAAAAACTTTATAACGTTTTTATATCTGTTCTGTGCCTCTAGTGAGAAAGGTTCAATTCAAAATGGTCACTTTTCAGGAGAGCCAAAAAACTATTTTAAATAAAGAAAAAAAAAATCTACTGCTTTTATTATTTGCTAATTGAACAAGTCAGTGTTTGCATTTATAGTAATTTTTTCTCCTCTTTCTTATGAAATTGTCGGTTTTTGTGTAAAACCTATAGTTTTAAAAATAATTCTATTATACCTAATCACACTTAACAAAAATATTAAAATTATGATGTGAAAATAGTTTTAAGTTGAATTAAAACGATTTTATTAAAGTATTGAAGAAAAACAATGTTGTGTATTTTACGCTATAAAAAATAATCGCTATTAAATGGTGTAAAAGGGTTCAAATCGAACTAATTCATTTTACAAAAATAATTTTTGTAAAATATTGTCGTTTTATTTCTAATTATGACTTTTTTACCACAAATATTTTGTTAATTGTAGTCTTTTACATGTTTACTATCTCTATTGTTTTTAAAGATATCGTTACGATTCTTATACCATTCGAAAGAGAAAAATTTGCTTATTTAAAGTAGCCTAAAAAAGAAAAAGGCTATAACTTGAGTTATATCCTTTCTCACTAGAGGCACAGATATATAAAGTTTGTTTGTCCTTAGATTATGTAATATAACGTACATAATCTAAGGAACCCATGGTCCTTTAGGCGAGAAATTTTGATTTTGAAGCGAGGCACTGGAAAATAAGTAGCAATTTAAGTATGCATTAAATTAAATTACAGGTATTAGGTACTACCACAAGCTAAGTTTTCTTCATTAAGCCTGATTCGGTCATAGACGTATATAATAACGTCATAACGTTATATTATAAATGCTTTCGACAAATCCGTTTATCATTATTGTTCCAAGAAAGCATAAAAAATATGTATAAACATAAATATAAAAATCTCACACTCGTACAAAAACAAAAATATATCGGTTCTTTTAGTTATTTGATAAAAAACATGTTGATTGTTCTAAACTTCCCATATCTTAAAATTAATCAATTTTGTCATATTTTATTAAAGGTTTAACAGCCAGGGTGATATCTTATAAAAGAAACTGATCATGGTACTGCAAATCCTGGACTGTAAAAAATATGGTATAAAATCAATGACGAATACATTATTCGCCTTCAATTTGCCGATGATATAGTATTCATGGCGGAATCCCTGAAGGACTTGAATACTATGCTCAATGACCTCAATAGTGCTTCTAGACTGGTAAGTCTTAATATAAACATGGACAAAACTAAAATCATGTCGAACGTCCATATCGCATCTATACTAGGCATAATTGAGAACGACGAGTATATGTACCTGAAAGAACTTGACTAGGTAAGTCCAACTTTGACTGAGAGGTTAACCGACGATTCTAACTCGGATGAACTGCGGATATACTCATAGCCCAAAATATAAAAAAAGCTGAAGTCGAAATGGGCTAGCAACAGTCGATACATTCGTGTTTCAACCGTGAAGTTGTATATCCATGGGTGTTTTGGTTTGAAGTGTGGGACATGATAGTGAATTTACAGGGTACAGGGGCATAACACTTTAGTTCTTAGGAATAGCAACGCATTCCTAAGAACTAAAGTGTTATGGGGGGTATCATGAACAAAACTGTATACTCTGTTATGACCATAGTACTGCTCATGTCTATAGGCGACAGTTACCACTTCCCATCAGGTGAATCGTCAGCTTGTTTGCTATTTTATACCGCAAAAAAAAATTTCGCTCGAAAAACCGACAACCGATGAGAAAGAAAGGTTTTAGAGTCACGACTTCGTATGGACAACGCAGTGTAGGGCGACCCTCCACTAAATAGAGTGACGATCTCAAATGCATTGCAGGAAGTAAGCGGATGCAGGTGGCTCAGAACCGTTCTTTATCAAAGTCTGTGGGGGAGAATATTTTATTAGGTTTTAGAAAGTATATTACACATAGTTATGAAAGCATCTTTATTTTTAATAAACATCTTTGTATAGTGTTGTCCCACTCTACAAATACGCTTTCTTCTTGCTGCAACTTATGATATGTCAAACCTTTCGTATCTGCAATAGTTAAAACATAATTAGAAAACATTAAACAAAGATATAGATTACGATTTTATAGTAAGTACTAGCTTTTACCCGTGACTTTGTTCGCGTCGATAAAAAGTAGCCTATGTCTTCCTTTATTCCATATGGCACGTATATACCAAATTTCATAGTGATTGCTTAAGCTGTTAAGGCTCTATACCTAAAGTACTAAACAAACAAACAAACTCACTTTCACATTTATAATATTAAGAAGGATTTCAGAACCGATATGACATCGTGACATTCAAGAAAAGAGCATATTCCTTTTTAAAAGGCCAGCAACACACCTGTAATACCTCAGATATTACAGGTACTCATAGATGATGGTCGTCACTTACCATCAGGTGAGCCGCATGCCCGTTTGTTCCCTGGATTATAAAAAAAAAGTATACATACCTAATATGCTTAAAAAAGTTTCAAATGTAGCTTCATTGCGAATGACACTAGCAATATAGATTTCTATATTATTATTGCTTTGTAAGAAATCTTGGATGACATTACAAAGTGGAAGTAATAAAGAAGGATCATATACTATGTCTGCTCCAATTATAATATCTGGTGGTTTCTTTAGTGCTATATTTTCCATATTATTATCATTGTTCCAATCTAAATTCATTGTACCTAGAAAATAAATAATTTAACTAATTATTTATGTTGTTGTTATTATATAAATCAGGAGTGTCGAAAATATTTTTTGCATTGTTAATGAGGATAATGTTTAAAATGATTTTATTAATTGTAAATGCAATAGTAATTTAATTATTTTACATATTAATTATTTTAAGTAGGCTTCCTATCTAAAGTCATTATTATTAGTACACTAAAATCATCAAGTAATAATAATTATTACATAGAATATTACCCAAACAATGTTTTTCGTTAACAAATGATTTACAATTATTAACTTCCTTCACTGTCATATTAGGAAAATTAATTTCAATATTATCACTTATCATCTTGAGTACATCATCATGACAATCCGATAATATCATTTCCCTTGGTTTACAAAACTTCGATATAACAATGCCAGTAAAACCAACTCCAGAACCCAGTTCAAATACTGTTTTATCACGAAATACACCTTGATTACATAGTGCCCAGTCCACAAGCATAAATGCTGCCTAAAAATTAAAAATGACCAATACCTATTATAGAAATATATTAATATTTCAGAGAAGTATATAAATATCTTACACCTAAAAAATCTACAACAAAATATCAAGAAAATTATTGATGTTTTCGTTAATTATGGATTAATTAATAGGAAAAAATAACAAGGTAATAGTTATATATTTTTGTTAAAATTTAATAATAAATAGCAAAAAATTACCTCCCATGTTTTCATTCCTGTTGTACCATTTACAACCATATTTTTAGTCTCTTTTATGGTAATAATATTATTAAAATCATTACCAATAATGTGATGACGATAGCGAAATAAATTATCGTCAGAAGTATTATTCATTATATTACATAATCCTATATATAATTCATCATGAACTTCTTGTCCTGCTTTTTCCAAACATGATATAAGTTTTTTAAAATATAATCTTGAAAATTCATTGTTAACGGGGTATTTTTTAATCAAAGAGCAATGGACTATTGATTGTAGTAATTCCTGTTGTTTACTCCAAGTAAGAGCACTAATATCTTCATCCTGTAATAATAATGACAATGAAGATAAAAATATGTACTTATACACTTTACAGCATTCTAAAATCTCTTGATATTTTTATTATTAATTTAACAATGTAATGAAATGGAAAAAATAAATATATATAGGGACTATGTCTGTAACGTATATATTCTAGTATTTAGGTAAGGGGGGGGGGGACGGATTGTCAGTAAATGTCAATAAGAGGCCCGTTGCTAACAATATACCCTACCAGGTCGACCTCCACGCGGTTTCCCTTGGAAACCATCGTGGTTAATTTTTGTGGAATTCGTCACAATGGGCCAACGGAGACACTTTAATCCTCGCCTACTGTCTATCACTGGTGCCCCGCTAGCGTATAACAATAGTGCAGGCAGACTAGCTATTTATATATATACCTTGTGACAGTATTGTTTACATTTTAATTAATGATAATATTTATAAGTAGCTTACTTACGTTTAAAACAAAATTAAGAAACCCATTATAATAATAGCGTACCAGTCTTTTATAAACATCTAATCCATCTTGTGTATTTAACATATTTAAAAACTATCTAATAGGTAGTTTTTTTTTTTTTTTTTTTCTTTTTTTGTGGCGTTCACCCCGATATTAGGGTATTTTGCCAAGAACAAAACGGGGAAACGATAATAGTAATAAAAATACCTAACACAAACGAATTTAGAAAGGATAAGGATTAGGTCTAGGATATTTATAGGATATGAAACATATACTTGTACATATGAGAATATACTTATAAATATATAGGAAAAGCAATTGATGCAACTATAAATGTATTCATGTAATATAACTAAATCTTAATATTGTTATCATATATATATGAAGATAGTATTTTATAGATAATAGGATCATTGGAAGAAAGTAGAGTAAGAATAGAAGTTGGGAATGGAACACGGATGGATCGGAGATGATTAAAAAGGGAGGTGTGGTCAAATTTAGAACATGAGAAGAATATATGATTCAAGTCCGCCACTTCAGCACCGCAATTACACGACGAACTTTGTACAATACCAAGCTTGTATAAATGAGAAGGTGTGCATACGTGACCTAGACGCATACGAGTTATAATAGTTGTTGCGGTCTTTCCAAGCTTTAATTTACAAAACCATGGTTTGAAAGGAATATCGGGTTGTATAAGGCGATAAAATCTTCCTTTTATTGTACTTGTTTTTTCCCAATATTCCTTCCAGGCATACCTTAAATATATTTTTGGGAGACAAGCTAGGTCACTACAGTAATTATGATACGGATACATATCACCACAAGTTACAGCCTCTCTTGCAATAAGGTCAGCTTTGTCATTGCCGCTAATACCACTGTGTCCTGGTAACCAGGCAAAAGAAACGGAATAACCTCTCAACATGCAAAGATAAAGACTTTGTCTTATGTCACAAATAATGGGATAAACTGGTTTTGATTTAAACGGATATTTGGCTAGAGCTTGCAAAGAGCTCATAGAGTCAGTGAAAACTATTGCCTTATGTAATTTCATTAAAAGTATATATTCTACAGCTTTTAAAATACCATAACATTCCCCGGTAAAAACTGAAGACTCCGGTGGAAGTTTAATTTTTTGAACGATATTAAATTGTGAATGAAACACACCCACACCTACACAACCGCTATTGTCTGGTTTTGATGCATCAGTAAAGATGTAGTGCCATTCATTCCATTCAATGTCAGTTATAAACATAAATTTGGCATTCAATTCTGAATCATTTTTTAATAACCCAAAATCATATTTAATATTAGGAGATAAAACTAAAGATTGATATGAGCATTTATAAATGGGAAAACAGGACGATGTAAAAGTGGGAGATTCTATGGATTTATATTTTTCATAACTTTGTATTAAACATGGAGGTTTTTTATGTTTCCAATAAGATGAAGACGAAATAAAGATATGTAGTTGAGATAACTTTTGAATAAGCGGATGATCAGATAATTGTAAACAACGAAAAAAGAAGCGATCAGATAGATATTGTCTTCTTAAAACCAAAGGTGGATCACCGACTTCGAGCTGTAAAGCATTGATTGGACTTGATTTCATTGCTCCAGAGATAATCCTCAAGGCCTTTGATTGAATTAAATCCAATTTCTTAAAAGCAAATGAACTTCCTGGAGCTAACAAAAAAGTTCCATAATCAATGACACTCCTTATAAGACCATTATAAGCAAGTTTTAGTGAAACGGGATGTGCTCCCCACCAAACTCCAGCAAGGCACCTAAGAATGTTGAGGTTACGCTCACATTTCGTAGAAATATAATTACAGTGGGACAGACCTGTTAATTTATTATCTAGCACGATACCTAAAAATTTAATTTCAGTCTTTATAGGAATGTATGAGTTATCATAAAGCACCTTAATTTGTTGCGGTGATCTCATTCTTGAAAACAAAACTACACTACTCTTGGTTACAGAAAGATTAAGACCATTTGCATCTAACCACGTTTTTAACAAATCTAATGAATCAGATAATTTGGCAGAAGCAGATTCTATGGACTTCGCAATAAAATATAATAAAAGATCATCAGCATATTGTAAAATTTTGACGGATTTATCAAGGAATAATTCTAGATCGTATGTGTATATGTTAAATAAGATTGGACTGAGAACAGATCCTTGTGGAAGGCCTTTCCATACTGTTCTAGATAATTTGGTATCTTCATCTAAATTCATATATATTGTTCTTTCTGATAAAATATTAATAATGAAATTAGAAAGCATTACCGGTACATTTAGAGCTTGTAATTTAGTTTTTAAAATAGAAATTATTACATTATCATAGGCAGAATTTATATCTAAAAAGGCTGAGAGGATTGACAAATTTTGTGAGAAAGCTATATGAATATCTGAAATAAGAATGCTCACATTATCTAAGGTGCTCTTACCTTTCCTAAAACCAAACTGGTTCGGGGATAGTAAGTTATTACTTTCTAAAAACCATTCTAGACGGTTTTTCACTAAATGTTCAGCTAGCTTTAGTAAGACAGAGGAAAGTGCAACAGGACGGTATGAAGATGGTTCAGAAGGTGGTTTATGAGGCTTTAGAAATGGTATAATAATCTGAGACTTCCATGAAGTAGGTATATTTCCCGAAATAATTATGGAATTAATTATATTTAAAAAGTAAATTAATGTCGCATCGCTAGCATTTTTAAAAAAGGAATACGGTATACCGTCTTCTCCCGGTGCAGAGTCTTTAATAGAAGCTAGAACACCTTTAAGTTCTACTAGAGTAAAAGGAGAGTCAAGTTCGAATAATTCGTCAGAGACGGATAGAGAAATATTGTAAAGGCATTCCGGCACATAACTAGGAGCAAGACGATCTAAAAATTTATTCGCTAAAGTTAAATCGAGTGCAGAACGTGATGTATGATCACTAAAGGCAGATCTGAATCTTTTAATATTATTCCAAACGACTGATGAATTAACTTCTGGACAGATAGAAGAACAAAATCTTCTCCAGCCTTCTAATTTCTTTTTTTTCAGTAGTTTTCGAGTAGAACGTGAAACTGCGGTGTAAATTTCAAAATTTTCTGGTGTCATGTAATTATTATAATTTTTTTCAGCCTCTTTACGATTTTTAATTGCTTCCGTACAATCTTTGTCCCACCAAGGTGGCGAGGGAATTTTCCCTGAAGCACTATTTTTAACAGGAAATAATAAATCAGCAACCTCCTTCATATTTATCATCAAGTCATTACAACATTGATGTTCATTTCCATGGTAAACAATAGGTAACTCCGATATTTTATTATCTAAATATTGTTTGTAAATATTCCAGTCTACATTTGATAAATTATATTTAAGCCGAGGACCACTCTTTCGACTTGAGGGAATGGAAATTGGAAAAGAAAGAATGAGGGGAAAGTGATCGCTTCCGAAAGTAGAGGAATGAGGATACCACGACAGTGAAGAAGCTAAATCAGAAGAACATATTGAAATGTCAGGAGCACTAAACCCTTCATTCGGTGCAGTTCTACGTGTTGGTACATCTGAGTTAATAATACATAAGTTGTAAGTGTCAATTATCGTCAGGAGTTTTCCACCATAAAAATTAGAAGTAGAACTGCCCCACGATTGGTGTTGAGCATTAAAATCGCCCATTACGAGAAAAGGTTTAGGTAAAATTGAAAATAATTGTTCTAGTTGTGAATATATTTGGCATGTAGGATCAGGAATATATAAAGTAACAAAACAGATACCATTTATAATTATAGCAGCTGCATTAATGCCGCTATATACAGGAAGCGAAAAAGAAGAAAAAGGAAGGGAGTTTTTGACCAATATGGCAACACCGCCATATCCGTCAGCTCTATCATCACGGAGACTTGTAAAGCCTGAAATCCTAAAAGGATATCCTGGCTTTAACCGAGTCTCTTGGAGAGCTATTATAAAAGGATTATATTTATTAATCAAATAAAATAAGTCTGATTTCTTGTTTGTTATGCTACGACAGTTCCACTGAATTATTAGGACTTTGTAATCAATTGTGAGAAGTTAATAATTGAGAAAATACATTGTAAATGGCATCGTTGGACGGTGGTAAAGTTGTTTGTATCATTTTCAATTGCGATAACACTTTAATAAGCATGAGAATAATATCAAAGATGGATTGATTATTGTCAATATTATTTGATGATAATGCACAACCATTAGAGGGAGCAGGAATATTATATTCCTTAACTATGGCTTCATGGGCAGAACGATCATATCCTTGTTGTGCTTTTTGAGGAGAGCGTGGTTTAAGTGTAACTGTTTTTTTATGTGATGATTGAATATGTGGTAATGATGATTTCTCTTTGAGGAAAGAAGATTGAAAATGAGATTTATTTGACGGAGATGATGATGTTAATACATCTGAATATAGTTTAGAAGTGGGAGGATGAAATTTTGATGCTTCAGCATAAGAAACACAACTGTGGGCCATTGTTTCTTTAATGGCTTTCTGACGTGCATATTCAGGACATTTCTTACTAATTGCTGAATGAGAACCATTACACAAGATACAAGAAACATTTTCCTCATCTACTTCACATTTATCACCTGTATGATTTTGCCTGCATTTATAACACCGAGGATTTGAACGACACTGCATCTTGACATGTCCGAACCTACAGCAGTTATAGCATTGGATAGTGGGGTAAATGTACAAATCTACAGTTAATGATGTGTAAAACATAAATACTCTTTTTGGTAATATTTGTCCATCAAAAGTAATAACAATAGTTTCAGTATTAATAAAACTTGGTTGTCCTTCATTAATGGTCTTTTTCTTAATTCTTCTGGTTTTTAGAATTCTCCCACAACCTATAGGTACTGATATATTTTGGATTACTTCCTCTTCTGTCCAATCTTTAGGAATACCCCTCACAATTCCCATACGGGTTACATGGAAAGAAGGTATAAATGCCTTAAAATTATGTGTTTCTAAGTGACTATTATTTAAAAATGCATTTGCATTTTCAAAATTTGAGAAAGAAAGCGATAAACGGTTTCTTCCTATTCTTTTGAGGCTACCATTCACTATATTATTTATCTTATTAGTGTGTAAAAAGCGACCAAATGCAATAGGATGTAATGTAGTGTTATCATTAGGATGTGTTTCATTTTTTTGTACATGAACGACATAAGGAGCTACATCCTCGGCATTGTACAAAGTTCTGCTTAAAGTACTGGGTGGAGAAGCAGGTTTAACAGACTCGGTATTATTTACAACTGGTATTGATACTAGAGTTTGATTCTCATCCTCAATACATTGACAATCACTATCTTTAATTTTAGATTCGAGACCTTTGGTGTGCCTCCTTCGTTTTTTATTGCAATGTTTGCAAATGCGACGTTCGCCACGTACTCGCTTACGTTTAGAACTTGCAACGCTAGAACCATCTGTGTCCATACTAGATTCACCCAATATATCAAAACTATTATTAAATGGGATAGTTATATTTGCAGACACCTGGGGGGTTGTCCCCCCAGGGTCTATAGGTGGATCCATAATGTTAATATAGGTAATTTACTTACCAATATTTACAGCAACAAACACTATTACTACAAAATATACAATTATATATACAATCTAATACACAATATATAAATAAAACTAATCCTTATATAATTAAAAATAAAATTAATTTAAAGAAGATCAAAAAACACTCCCGCTTTTTTAAACGTTTCCCGCGTTTTTTTTTTTCTAATAGGTAGTTAAACTATATGGATACAAATTTACAAAATAAATGTTACAAATCACACTCATTACACTTTGAATAAAAATGACTGTAAATGTTCTATACAATCATTTGTATGCAACATTAAAAATAATAAAAATTGTGTTTCGTCATAACAACTCGACTCTTGTGGCATTTATTCAATGTAACGCCCAATAATTTTATTATACTCCACATACAATAGTTTAAATGGTCACAGAAATTAATATTTTTGCAATCGACATGTATAACTCCTTGATCCCTGTTAATTGCAAAAATTATTGTGAAATTCAGTTTAGAATTAGAAAATTACCAATTTTGTTAATAAATCGGACTTCTTTTTTAACATCGTGATATCGTGAATAATAGAATTATATTGATGAATTAAGCCCTATTTTTTAAAATAATGAGATAGAGATATATACTAGAGATGGTTGTATTAATTCATATTGATTATTTATTCGGAGTGACGTCGCCCTGTATAAACCGAATCTGATTTTAATAACTTCTAGAAAAAATGTCAGAGAAGTCAAAGCTGTCATTCGGCTGTTATTTATTTATTTGTCAGTTGCAGTTTTTTTTAATGTATTTGAATTTTTTTGTTGTTTTTCAACTAAAACGTATTTTATTTTTATAATAGGAAAATCAATAATATCAAATATTAACATCTCAGAATATTAGGTACGTTGGTGGTAAATTAATAATTGAAATAATGAGTGTTAACTAACGTAAATGAGTAGTAAAAGTATTTTATATAAAATTCAGTGTATTGTTATGATTTCTATAATTTTGTTTGTATATTCGTGCATTCTAAGTACTTAACAATTTTAGTTCATTAAATATGTTATTATTACCTTAATGGTACTCATTAATCACTATTTTTTTTTCTACAACTTTACCGCATTATTTTTTTTATAATTGATTATAATGGATTAGTAGCTCCGCCCGCGCTAATAGTATATGCTGGTGGGGACACTAGTGATGGATAGGTGACAATGAAAAAGCAGGTCAGTTAGCCCATTGTGACAAATTCAACGCTAAATTAGTCACGATAGTTTTCAGGAGGAACAGCATAGAGGTCAACCTAATGGGTATATTGATAACAATGAGATTGGTAGTCTACATTACCATAAATCTCTTTCCCCCTATTGCATTATTGGGAGATAGTAGTCAATGTTCATCCTAAATTAAAGAATTTATTTAGAAACCAAAAAATTGTTGCTATTCTTAATTGTACTCATTGGCCCTTAATTGTAACACAAAGAACTGTAAAGATTCTAGACTGTACTTAGGTATATTTTGTTCTGAAATGTTTCAATATAAAAGATAGTTTTTGAAATGAATAACAAATATTATTTTTCAATAGCTCAATCCAAAGGATTTTAAACTCACAAATCTTTGCTACCCAGATGAAAAATCCTCTAAAAATGACTAACACATTTGTTAACAATTGATTTGTTTACTGAAAGGCTTGTTAATAGAATACTTTCCTTTGTGGTGTATCTGAAAAAAAAATCAGCTTTGATTACAGAGAGATATAGGTTCAACATCTTTAATTGTAAATGTAGAAAAATAGTTTTAATTAATAAAAAGTTTACTTAATAAAGGCTAACATTCATTTGTGTATTTATCCATGTAACAGGAATATGTTTTATAGCTGGAATAAATATTATATTTCATAGTAATTGGTTAAATTGTGAATGCCCTATAAGTTAACAAACTCACTTGCACATTTATATGTAAAGATTTCTAAATACAGGCTTACACATTTAAAACCTTTCCAATATATTTTTGTTCAGATGTTATGGATTAGTTAATTGCATTACTCTAAGAGACAAAAATGGCAGATTCAATAAGTAAAAGAAAACGGAAGGTTCAAGATACAGAAAAGGAATCAGAAGTTCCTATAATGAAGAATAAACCTAGGACTAGAAGCCCACAAAACATCAAGGAATGTAAAGGAAATATCAAAAGCAAAGAAGAAGGCAAGCTAGATGATAAAGTTCCCAGTAAAAAAATGAAAAGAAATATTGAAATTGATTATAGTGATAAAACAACTTTTACCAACAGTAATGATGACTCAGAAAATACTGTAATTGAAGATGATGAGGCTGCTATATTATCACATATTGAGAAGATTCCACAGAAATTGGCTCATAATTTCATTTCACTTTTATCTCAAGGATGCACTTTGCCCTTTATTGCTCGATATAGAAAAGAAGCAGTAGATTTTTTAATGCCTGATCGGTAAATTATTATGCCACTATATTATATCAAATTCATTTTAATTTTGAATGTAATTTTATAAATATTTGCCAATAGTTTGCAGGAGTTATTTGAAAGTTATCAAAATGTTACACAGTTGAAAAAGAAGATAAAGTCTGTGATTGAAACACTGCGCAAGTCAAAGAAGCTAACACCAGATGTTGAAAAAAGCATTTTGAATGCTAAGAGTTTGCCTGAAATTGATTTAGTGGTAATTATAAGTTTAATTTGTAGTAACTATTAACTCTTTATACATATGTTACTCATGAAACTCAATTTTATTTTTTTGTATAAAAAATTCATTGCCATAATTATCTCACCCATCATATTAGAATACAATTTGCTTGGCAAAATTAATTTCCCATATAAATAATTCAAATTCAATTTGTAATAATAAATTTTTAAATACCATTTAAAAATCATTCTAAAGCTATAAATGAATGTAGTAAGACTTAGAAATGTTTTAAATATTCTTTGTGTAGTGTTGTATTAAAATTTTCTTTTGTTTTTTTGGTACTATACTTATCATAAGATCTTTTTCCTCTTGAAAATTAAAAGATATTGATTTTTTTACAGTATGCACCATTGAAATCTCACTCACTATCGTTGGCGGAAAGAGCTCGTAATTTAGGCCTAGAGTCATATGCAGTAGCAATGTTAAATGGGCAATACATTGATCTGAAGTCTTTATGCACCGATGATGAAGAGCTGTCATCAGTAGAGAAAGTGGATACACACATCACTCACATAATAGCCGATGTTATTTATAAAGATATAAGAGTTCTTGAACAAATGCGGAAATTGTGAGCCAATTTAATTTTCTACTAATTTATTATGTTATCAATTATGTGACTAATTCATATCTCATTTGTCATAATATTTTATACTTGTACTGGTTTTTTTCTTTACTACTTTACATGAAGATCAATTAAATACACACATACACTAGATTTTGAGTTAAATCTTCAAGAACACAACTGTGAAAACCACATCTAATTTTGTGCAGTAGCCAATAATGATACCAGCACAAACATACAGACAAAGAGACAAAAAATATTCTAAAAAATATATATTTCGTTTATTAAGGCCCTCTCATAAAAAAATTCTTAAACCTCTCACTTATACATGTATAATTTTTTTATACAACTTAGAATGGCAAACAAGCTGATGGCCCACCTGATGGAAAGTGGTAACTGTCGTCTATAGACATGAGCTGTACCATGGGCATAACAGAGTATACTGTTTTGCCTATATTTGTATATATATATATATATAAACGAAATATATATGTATATTTGCATATACATATATATTTCGTTTACATATATAATCTAGTTCCAATTTTATTATATTAGTAAAATGTTTATGTAGTAAATTTTCATTGACTTAAAGTTGAAATATTCTCTTGCTATTCTATGTATTTTATAAAGGTAGTCTACAAAATCCCCTTGAATAACAGATTTTCTTAACAAATTACACAAATGGCAGTGCCAATTGTAAAAGTAAGTAAATATTAATAAAAATTATCCTGCCCTATTATAATGATTTTATTCCAAAATAGTTTTTTTTTTATGTATCAATTCGTAAAATCGTCTTTGTAACCATAACTAAACGAATAATTTTGTGAAATGTATATTTAAATGGATTATTTAATAATTTAACTTTATATAATATAGGAAAGAAGAAACAAGATTCATAATACAAAGTAGTCGAACTAAAAGCTCTACAAAAGTGAAGGTGGACAGTAGCAAAAAGATTGATTCTAAATCTGACCCAGAGACATACGAGTTGTATTTTCAATGGTCATGTCCATGTCAATTCGTAAAACCTCATCAAATTTTAGCTATCAATAGAGGAGAAGATGAGAAGATCCTGTCTGTAAAAGTCATTATTCCTGATTGGTTTTATAATAAATTAGAAAGGTAAATTAATTACTTTGCACGCCTATTTTTATCTTAAATAAATAAAATATACATACTTGTGAACCTGGACTCTAAATTTTGACTCGGTTATCTATACTTATAATAAATCTGTAGAGATGTCAATTCTGTACATGAAATATATTTCCAAAATAACTATCAGGGGGTGATTAGTGATCGATACTGATGCCAAAAATACAATCAGTAAAATTTTTGTCTGTCTATCTGTCTGTCTGTACGTTCGTTATAGAAACAAAAACTACTCGAAAAAAATTTCATCACAATAAATAAAATAATTAGGAATCCTGTTTTTTATTTTCCTTTCTAGAGAAATGTACACATAGGGAGAGGGGTTTCTAACATCATTAAATTTTTGTTGAAGTTTTGAAGTATATAATTGAATACTCTTTTAATATTTCAGATTCTGTCTAACATTATGGAAGAGCAAACATTGGGTTTGTAAAGGTCTAGGCGATGCCTTTAATCGACTCATCAAGCCGTGGCTCTCAAGACAAGTACGTTCGGACCTCACTTCTGTAGCACAGAAGGAAGCTGTGAGGACATTCACTACCAATCTTGAGAAATATCTGTTGACTGAACCTATAAAGAATAGAACAATAGCTGGATTGGATCCTGGATTTAAGGCTGGGTGTAAGGTAATTATTGATAAGTTAATTAGTACAGAATACCTAATAGGTAGTATCATGTACTACCTACCTACTACTTATATTCTCTTAGATTAGTGCCTGTAGTTTTGTATGTAGTAGAAAAAAAAAAACTGGCATTAACTTTAAAAAAACTATTATTTATGATATTAGTGCATAATTAGCTAAATATTTATTTATTTAAAGGAACACCAACAGCATATTGCATTATAACATATATAACAAACATGAAATATAATACAATATTAATGCACATGCCTATTATACTCAATATTACAGTGGAAATAAAAACTGTCTCCTTTTTTAAATATATTAATGATAACAATTAACATATTTTAATTTCAGGTAGGTATTATTAATCCAAATGGAGATAAAATTGAAGTTTGCACGATACATCCGAATTTAAGACAAAATAATCAACACGATCCAGCAGTTATACAATTGAAATATCTTTTACAAAAATACAGGTATAAAACGTCTCCTTTATTCCATAACTTTTTTTTTTATTAGTTGCCTGAAAGAGGTTGTTGCTAACTATAAGACCGTTTCTGTCGTTTGTAATTTTTTTTATCACTTTCTTTATCCAAAATATTGTAAATTATTTCTGAATATACTTAAGTGTTCATATTGTTTCAGAGTAGAATTAATTAGTTTGGGTAATGGAACCGCATGTCGTGAGACTGAGTCTTGGTTGAAAGCCCACCACGTGGCTGGCAATATACCTATTGTAATAGTGCCGGAACAAGGTGCTTCTATTTATTCGATAAGTAAAGAAGCTCAAAAGGTATCAAATATAATATATTGGATCAATTATTTTTAGATTGAATTAGTCAGCAACAGTTATTGGTTATTTATCTACATTGATTGATGGGTGTCATAAGAAGTGACTTAGGGAACTTAATGTTCGAACGATGGGCGACAGCGTCCTTCTTAAAACGTCACCAAAGTCTAACTGCGGTTGTCAACCCGCCTGCCAAGAGTCGCAAGTACTGGCAAATCCCCTTTATAGAGAAGGCCTATGTTCAGCAATGAAAAGTTAACTGCTGATATGATGATGATGATGGCCTGTATTGATTATTATACTGGGCGAAAACGAAGTCATTAGTCGCACAGAAACTAAAAATTAATCTATTAATTATGCTACTTATAGCAGTGTATACTTATAGCAGTGTCCTTAGACAGAAATTTTGTTATTTAAAAATAAAAAAAAATCTTATTTTCGTATTCGATTTGTATTTATGTAGTAAGTATCATAGTTTTTGTTTTTTTAGGAGCATCCTAATATGGACCCGAATTTAATCTCTGCATTATCAATCGCCAGAAGGGTGTTGGATCCACTGGGAGAATTGATAAAAGTAAGTTTTGTTTTATATGGTATATGTTATGACAAGAAAAACATTTGGACAAGAGTAGTTTTTATGATTTTTTATTTTCTGTTCTTATTCTGGCAGCTCCAATACACAAGTATGGAATTGTGTATATTCTATACATATAGGTGAAATATGTTGATCTTGAAGGGAAAAAAAGGAAATTGTCGTTTTATATATTTTGCTTTTTGTTTTCTTGTTGCTTTTTTTATTTTCATTTTTTTATCTCTTTTACTGTGTATGTTTGTATTGTAATTTGTGTGCTGTAAGTAATGTAAATAAATTATCTATCTATCTATCTTGTTATTGACCTTAAAAATTTTATGTATTCGCACAATCGTTATGTATACAAAATGTCTTTTATAGGAAATTACAAAGATGACCAGTCTCAAAATAAGAATTTTTGTATTTTACCTAGGTGGATCCGAAAAATTTAGGCGTTGGACTTTATCAACACGATATACCTCCAAAGATGATGGAGTCCGCGCTAGACTGCACAGTGGAAAAAGTGGTCAGTTTGGTTGGAGTCGATATAAATACCGCATCACAAGCTATGCTACGGTATGAACATTTTTATTTATATAAATATATTAAATACTAGTCTTGAACCCGACTTCACGTGGCCGAGAGAAAAGTTAACCTATACTTCACTCTATCCCAAATGGTACGTGTATGTCAAATTTTATGACTTATTAGTTGAACCATTAAAACGCAAAGAAGTAACTAACGAACTCATGTTCACATTTGTAGATGTGTAAGGATTTTTTGTTTTTTTTTCCTACGCAATCTTTATAATCAATACTATTAGCATTCATAATTATATCTGGTATATTTCTCAGTTTTTGTAATTCGTCATTATTTTCACGTCTGACCTTTTTGAGTTTGAACTTCACGCTAGATTCTTTAAGGGTAGGCAGAGAGAACCGAATGACAAAAGCTTCTTTCATTATATATCCTTGAGTTCATTTTTGTCTTCTGCACGTGTACCTGTTCTAGAAGCTTGACTGCTCCCTCAGTTTTACTATTAGAACTGCTCATTTATATATGTTACATACATATATCGCACATTATAATTACAGACGCATTGCTGGCTTAAGCGAAGGAAGAGCAAAGAAAATCTTAGCGTATCGTCAAGATAACGGTGGATTTACAACAAGAGCTGAGATATTAAAAGTATCCGGTATTGGGAAAACTACCTATCAACAATGCGCTGGTTTTCTAAGAGTTGTTGGTGGTACTGAACCATTGGATGCTACAATTATACATCCGGAAAGTTACAGTATAGCAAAATCGTTAGTATTTGTATTTTTATAATTACGAATTAGGATCTTCCATATTATTTGCAATAACTATATCAATTTCAATTTATTCATTTTTTTTCTAAGCTTTTAGGAAAAAAAAAATAATGAAATGTCTTTAGGTTGAGATTTAAGACCATAACGATGTCTATGGCTTCAAACTAAATAAGGAATAAAAAAAATCTATATAATATATAGAATTTTGCTGTGCAAAAAATCAACGACTATATGTCTACGCTAATTTGCTATGTTAAAATTTAATTGTTACAAAATTAATATAGCGACAACTCGGAAGTAAACTCCATGGATTGTAAAATGAGTTGTCAAAAGCTATTCAGAATTGATTAAGTTTTTGTGTTACATACACACAAAACTTAATTTGTATTTGTAATGTGTGAATTGAGAAGTTCCTTCCTTTTAAAACTACATAAAACCAGTATTTTACTTCATTGTTTTGTGATATTTGTTAAATTTATTATCGTCGCCTCGTTTCTATCCCAAGTATACATATATATCATATATAAATGAATATTGTTTTGAAATCTGAAAGTATCGGAATCCAACCACCAATATGAACAACAAAACATTACAAAATCATGATTTCAGGTTTGCAAAGAAAATTGGTGTGAATATAAAAGAGCTGACTCAACCGCACTTCCCTCAATTGGTTGAATCAAAAGTCTACACTCTTGACATTGAGAAAATGAGCAAGGACCTTGGATCTGATATTAGTACATTAGAACTTATAATAGGTGCATTCAAACAGAAAACAAACGAAGATAACATTATTTCTTTCTGTAGACCTGTGTATTCTCTTAATGTACAGGGTGTGGATCAATTACAAGAGGGAATGACACTCACAGGTTAGTTACTTAATATTTAATACTTTCTCCCGTATTCTGTCTGCAGTATAGTTGACGTTGAATCTATGACAGTTATTATCGATGATCATTTTAAAATGTAACTAGATAATATCTGTACATGGAAGATATTTAAGAAAAACATTAAAGATCTTAAGATAAATAGACACCAAAATAATATTATATATTTGTTCTGGCATCACGCAATAATTACTGCACCAAATTGGATGTAGTTTTCACAGTATGTTCTTGAAGGTCTAATTCAAAAACTGGTGTATGTTATACCTATATATAGATGGCGTATCAAGGATACACCATCTAGAAGTGATCCAATTCATTTATTTTACTTCTGAAATCCATATTTTCGAAATAGCGGGTAATAAGCTAGTTTTTCATAAATTAAAATGAAGTAGGTTTGCAATCTATTCTAGCGAGTTATCTCTGAAGAATTATATAGATAAGGATGAAGTTAATTGGCTCAATGTGACAAATTCACTAGAGTTTAATAATGATGGTTTTGCAAAAGAGATAGCATGAAGCGAAAGGGATCATTAGCACTACAACCTTTCTTCCCCTGCGGTATGGTTTTTAAAGTAAAGAAGCCAGAATTTACGTGTTAATAGTTTAGAGAAAGAATGCTTGACTAGAAAGAAACAGAATTGTAATACTAAAATTATTATTTAAATATATATCATAAAAATCAGCTCTGTCCACTGCTGAACATAAATTTTACCTATAAGGGGAGTTTTGCCAGTAGTTGCCACGCTTGGCAGGCGGGTTGGTAACAGTAGGTTTTTAGAGATATTTTGAGAGAGACGCTGACACCAATCCCTTGATCATTAAACTCCCTTAGTCGTCTCTTATGACACCTATGGGAAAAGGGGTTCTATTCTATGCCATTACCGCACGACAATATTATATATATATATATATATATATATATATATATATATATATATATATATATATATATATATATATATATATATATATATATATATATATATATATATATATATATGTATGTATGTGTGTGTGTGTATGTATATATGTATTCCTTTACAGGTGTCGTTCGCAATGTAGTTCCATTTGGTTGCTTCGTCGACTGTGGAATAGGCGAAAACGGTTTGATACACCGGAGTAAATTGGGTGGCAGTCAAACGCCGAAACTGGGCGATCGCGTGTCTGTCACTGTGATTCCGTCTAACAAGCCCAAGAAGATACAGCTCAAATTGGAGAAAATTTTAGACTGACTTACTATTAGGTAAAAATGTTTTTATGATTGTTATAATTAATTATTGTGATAATAATGACTGCATGAATCTTATCTATTTAAATTTGTAAATAAAACTATTATTGACTATTTGTTATTTTTTTATTAACTAATATTCTAATACATAATAAGTAATATTAAATGTCACTCAGCGTCCATGATGGATACTTCATGTTTAGGGTTCAGACCGTAAATATGAAACACAGCTTTGTTCACAATGGCGTCGCAAATACCAGAAGTAACTCTGAAATATTTAGGTTTTGAGTAATTAAAATAAAAATTATGTGTACTAGAATATGATCTATCCATATCCAATTTTCATGCAAAGCCTGGCAACCATTTATATGACTGAGTAATAGAACATTCAAATATAACTTCTGTTATATAGAGGAATTTCGGTGGAATATTGACTTTCATCACCTACTTCATCTCACACTTAGGTGCTGGTTCAGGGCTCCCGTAATTCGTGTTATCGGTGTCTATTTTTTCCTCGATTTATGTGTATGCATATAAAAACAATAATAATAACAAATAATAACCTAAACTCACCCCAAATAACCGAAGATTATTAATATTTTTAATCACTGCCGTGGAGGTCGATGGTTGTTCCCGCGTAAAAGTTGACACACAGGCGTTGTTGCACGGCACTCACACCAGAGGGCAGGCGTTTCCATATATCCCCGTAATGACTAATTTACAGGGACAATATATATTTATATGTGTGTGTGTGTGTGTGTGTGTGTTGTAGAATTGTGAAAGTGTGGTGCCGCGAAGTAAAAATATTGCAGATAAATTAAACATCCCCCCGCCCGAGAAAGGCTGAATGCCTTTATCAAACAAAACCGCTTAAAATAAATAAATATTGGAAACTGTATAGACCGCACTTATACAGAACCCACTTATGAAACCGCAACAAAAATAATACTAATAAATTAAAAAAGCTAAACTAATACATAATAAATAACAAGGTTGCAACTAATTAGAGGGAAGTCTGCAAATCTTGACAACTGGACGCGTTATAGTGCCAGTTGCAGTCTTAAGTTTCACAACTCGTACTACACTGTCTTTACCAGGCAACAACTCTAAAATCCTGCCTAATCTCCACTTTAATGGTGGTAAATTTTCATCTTTAATTAGAACTAAATCATCCACCTTGGGAGGGTCTGTAGGAGACATCCATTTATTCCGCATTTGAAGAGTATGGAGGTACCGCTCACTCCACTTTCTCCAGAAACGCTGTGACAGTGCCTGAATAAGATTATACCGATTTAACCGCGAGTTAGGAATATCCTCAAAATTATATTCGGGCACTGATAACAAAGATCGACCGATTAAAAAATGTGCCGGTGTTAAGACTTCAAAATCTTGAGGATCTTGTGTCAAAGGACACAAGGGCCGGCAATTAAGAACCGCTTCTACTCTAGTAAATACCGTTACTAGCTCCTCAAAAGTTAATACCTGGTCACCGATGACCCTCCGTAATAACGTTTTGGCTGCCTTTACCGTAGCTTCAAAAAGACCTCCAAAATGTGGCGCTGCTGGCGCATTAAAACGCCAATTAATATTTTGTTTAGCAGCAGTACCACTAAGCTCCGCTTGTACTTCCCGAGAAGCTAAATACCGCTGTACTTCATCCAAATGTCGGTTTGTGCCTACATAATTGGTGCCATTATCCGACCGAATTACACTCGGGAGACCTCGTCGAGATGTAAACCTGGTCAAAGCTGCCAGAAAACTATAAGTAGATAAGTCCGTAACACATTCAAGATGAATGCACTTAGTAGCTGAACAAATGAAAACGCACAGATACGCCTTCAAAGTTTTTGCATTTCGCAAACGTGAATGCTTTATAATAAAGGGTCCGGCAAAATCCGTTTGCACAGTATGAAAAACTCCCGTAGCAATCACTCTATCGGTAGGTAACGAAGACATCAAGGGTTCCGCGGGTTTAGCCCTTGTCCGAAAGCATGAAATACATTTAAAAATTCGGCTACGTATAACTTGACGTGCCGAAATAATCCAAAATTGACTTTGTAAAATAGCCTGCAATGCCGTTGAACCTATATGGCAATGCATTTTGTGATAATGATCAATTATTAAAACCGTTAATGGATGATCTTTTGGCAGAAGAAGAGGATGTTTCCTATTAAAAGACAAATCGGAATAATTCAATCTTCCTCCTACACGTAATAGACCATCCTCACTAACGAAAGGCATAAGCCGCCGCAACCCTAAAGAACAAAGACTCTTTCGATTAATACAATCCAAATCATTAGCAAACGCTGTAGTTTGAACCAATTTTATTAACCGCAGTAAGGCAAATTGCCTTTCCTTTGCTGTCAAAACACCGGTAACTTTATGATTTGGATTTTTAGAATTATTAATAAACCGAAAACAATAAGCCACTACCGCTAGCAGTACAGTTAATGAACTAAACCGCGTAAAGATGGGATTCGCTTCCGTCTGTACCATATGAACTTTTACCATCGTCTTGCGAAGACCAGGCAAATCGCCTTCTGCCTTTTTCATTATATTCTGAGGCCAGGTATCAGCCTGACCTTTAAGCCAAGACGGACCCCACCACAATGTGTGTTCGAGCAATTCCGACGCGCGACAACCACGACTTGCAACGTCTGCAGGGTTCATTTCCGATGGTAAGTGCCGCCACTTTATATCTACACCGCTATTGACAATCTGTGACACTCTATTTCCTTCAAAGGTCTGCAAAAGATGAGGTGAGATCCGCAGCCATGAAAGTACGATAGTGCTGTCTGACCAACAAACAATATCTTCAATATCCACCTCATTCTGAATAGAGTCCACGACATATTTGGTAAGCCGTACCAATAATGTCGCGCCACAAAGCTCTAGTTTGGGAATGGTAAGTTTGGACTTTACTGGTGAAACTCTTGACTTGGCCATCATTAAAGTTACAGTAACCTCACCACAGTTATTGACCGCTCTCAAATAAACAGCTGCGCCATAGCCGAGTTCAGACGCATCAGCAAATCCATGAATAGAGCAAATCTTAGAATCTCCTAGGGCAAACCGCTTCAGATTAAAACTTTCAATTACAGGCAAATCCTTTAAAATGCCTTGCCAATCCGCAACAATATCCGCAGGTGGTTTGTCATCCCATGACAACTTTAATAGCCAAAGCCGTTGCATCAGAATCTTACCTTGTAAAATGATTGGAGAAATCCAGCCCAATGGGTCAAAAGTTCGAGCTACCGTCGACAAGATGAAACGCTTTGTACATATTACATTATCATTTAGCTTGGTATGATAAGAAAAACTATCATTACTGGGATCCCATTGGATGCCTAATATTTTAATGAAGCTAGGCCCGTCCGCATTATCTACAAAGATACGAGGTTTTTCTAAATCTTCCTCAGATATGTCTCTCAATAACTCCGCGGTGTTAGAGGTCCATTTACTGAGATCAAATCCGCCCAATTTTAATAAACCGGTCAGATCCCGCTTAAGATTTTGTGCTTCTTCTAGCGTATCCGCACCACCCAAAATGTCATCCATGTACACGGAAGTACGAAGAAGACGCGCCGCCGCCGGAAACCGTGATTCTTCGTCCTCAGCCAACTGTCTTAAGGTCCGTATCGCGAGATAGGGACTCGACTTCATCCCGTAAGTGACGGTATTCAATTGATAAAGTTGAAGAGGCATATCTGGGGACTCTCTCCAGAAGATGAGTTGATATGGCCGATCTTTTGGGTTAATCAAAATTTGACGGAACATCATTCGGATGTCCGTTGTAAATACATATTTATGTAATCTAAATCTACAAATAATCTCCATTATGTCGCGCTGAAGCTTGGGCCCCGCATGCAAACAATCATTAAGACTAACTCCGTTACTAGTGCTACCACTAGCATCAAATACGACCCTTATATTTTCCGAACCTACTTTAAAAATTCCGTGGTGGCATATAATATAAAAACAACCGGAAACATAGTCTTCTGGTTTACCGACGCAGAGTGACATATGTCCCTTTTCCGCATAGTCTCTCATGAAATCTACATATTTTTTACGCAACGAGTCATTACGCTGAAGCCGTTTTTCCATTGCCAAGAACCGCTTCTTAGCTAATGGGACTGAATCTCCAAGCAAAGGTTTGTTGGATAAAAAAGGCAAATGTACAACATACCTACCGCCCTTATCCCGCTGATGAGTGCTTACAAAAATAGACTCGCACTCCATGTCCATAGGGTTTTTAACCGCGTGAGGAAGGTCTTCAATTTCCCAAAATCGTTTCAAAATATCATCCGTAGAAATGTTAGAATAAAATGTATGAGAAGAATGAGTAGCCCGAGGACATGGATCTGTAGCCATAAATGTGACAGGACCAGTCAACACATGCCCGAACACCGTATTCATCGCACGAGGTAAGTGGTCGTGTACCTTGATAGTACCGCCGCCTAAATAAATGTCCCCAATAAGATCCGCGCCAATCAAAATATCAATTTCTCGACTTATAAAAAATTGTTCATCCGCAAGAACTAATCCTCTATAATTATCCTCTAATCGAGGTGATAAGGAGAATCCTGGCAAATTACGAGTGATTTTATTCAAAACTGTAGCCGTTGTAAAGAGAACAGGTAAATCCGCATACTTGGGTATAATAGTCAAGTTAACAACCTCTTTACAACCGCTTACAGGAATATCGCTTAGCCCCGTGACTGTTACTACGTTAGATTTAAACCGCTTTAATCCTAACTTATTAGCACAATTTTCAGAAATAAACGTACTCTGACTGCCGCCATCAAGCAGAGCACGTGCCTCTAGATAATATCCGTGTGAATCTAATACCCGAACCATAGCAGTTGCTAGCAAAACTGTATGTTGGTAGGTCTCACAGGGTATTGCTTGCGATGACATTCCTCCAAACACGTTATTAACACTTGTACTCGTCGATTGAACCGTGGCCGCAGGGACCGTCACCTGAGGTACATGGTCCGGAGCATTCGTATTACTCATGATGTGATTGGATGGTGATCGCTGTTGCCGCTCCCGCGCCCCCGCAGGGAGGTCAAAATGTAATAATGAATGATGCTTTGGCGAGTTGCATTTGTAACAATTTCTATTATATTGACATTGTGCAATATTGTGACTATTAAGACATCGAAAGCATAAATTATTCGATATCACGTGACGCTTTCTAATAGTAGGCGTTAAACCCAAAAATTTCTCGCACTTGACAATGAAGTGACCCGCTGTCCCGCAATATTTACAAGATGTGGTAGAATGATTTTGTATTACCGCATGGGCAGCTCGTACCGCTGCTGGAGCTGGCATTCTACGCCGCATAGAAGTGTTGGAGTCAGGAACCGCACTGGACTCCAACTTTCGTATTTCACATTCCAAAAATTTTAATAAATCCGAAAAAGTAGGTAGTTCCTTTTCCTCAATCTTGTTTTCAAAATCTTTTTTTAAGTTGTTATCCAATTTTTGAAAATTAATATAATATAAAATATATGACCACGAATCTACTGGAAAATTCATCTTTTCTAACGCCTTTGTATTTTCTAATAAAGTATTTACAAATAATTTAAGACCACTTAAATTCCTAGAATTTACTGGTGGCGCACTCAATAAATTGTGCAACAACTTATCCGCCAGTAACCGCTTGTTACTATACCGCGCTTTAAGCAAGTCAATTGCGATCGAATAATTATCACCAGTAACAGATAGGTGTTGAATTAACGTTTTGGGCTCCCCTACTAATGAACCTGACAAATAATATAATTTTTCCGTATTCGATAAAGTTAAATCTTGACCGACTAATGAATGGAAAAGTTCTATAAAGGAATTAAACTCCTCTAACTTTCCAGAAAACGTAGGGAGTGTCAACCGAGGAAGAATTGCCTTAAACTTAGCAGTGGAATCAGTATTTTGATTATCACTACCGCAATCATGTTTTGTTTCACTAAACAACTCGAGATGACGTCTCTTAATAAAGTAATACCTTTTGTTATAAGTTTCGTATACGGCTTTAAGTTTATCTAAATCCGAGTCATCCGCCTTAAGTTGCATTTCAAAATGCATAGAAACAAATTCTTGGTAATGAGTGTCTAAATCGGTATATCTAACTCGAAACTCATTCTTTTGTTCTACTGTTAGTTGGTCTGTCCGCACAAGATCGTATATAAGATCGATATTCTGAACTACCATATCGTACTTCATTTGTATTCTTTTAACCGCAGCCATTTTTAAGAAAATATTTATTTTAATTATAAGTTAATCGTAAAATATAAACAATAACAAACAGAAAATAACTTCAAAAAGTATAACGACTTGAATATTCAAACAATTAGATTTATCCTACAATAATTTAAAATAACAAAAATATATAGGTACTTATAGATTTCCTATCTTATAAATCTACAAGTATATACAAAATAAATAACTAAACAAATGGAAACTATGTGATTTACCAAACTAATAACCACATAAAAGGATTATTCTCCTTTTATTGTATCCGCTTATTTAAAATAAAATATTGTAAAACTAATAAAATTAACAATGCTTATTTACCGATATAAGCCTTAAATAAATATGTTATATTACAAGACCGCAAGAAAGAAATAACACTTATTAATAATAGAACAACCTTAAAATCAACAAATACAAAAGTATCTAAAACCGCAAAAAAAAATTAATTATACTTTTATGTCGAAAAAGTATCCAAGTAATTAGAAAAAATCCCCTTAAATATAAAAGTGACAAAAATAAAAACGCAAAAAGAAAGAATCGCATCCAGATTTGAAACACCGACCTCCAAATCGCAATCCGCCGCCCGCAAAGTTTCCCCAATATATGAATGAAAAATAGTGTGAAATTACTAAACACTATCCGCTACTAAACCAGGTGCAAACTTTATCATTTATTATTACCGCTAATAAATAAGACCGTATATTTACTTTATTATTTAAAAACAATTATTCCACAAAAACAATCAGAGGATGATAATCTAGCTGCAAGATTTAGAAAAGAAAAACAAAATACCTAGTGTGTACGGTGAAATGAAGTTTTTTTTTTTTTTTTTTTTTATGTAAATTGAATGTGAATATGAAAGTGTAATTATATGGGGGGTCAATCAAAATCATATATATAAATACCTAACACTGAAACATAAATATTACCGCAAAATATGTGTACAGTGTATAAGTTTCCGATTACTACTTTAATAATTTTTACAACGTAGGTGGAAGCATATGACCTACGTGTATCCGCGATTTTAAGTGTTTTCTTTGTATAAATGATTTAAAATAGACAACGATAACGGGTTATAAATCCGGCTCGAAGGACCAAATGTTATATAGAGGAATTTCGGTGGAATATTGACTTTCATCACCTACTTCATCTCACACTTAGGTGCTGGTTCAGGGCTCCCGTAATTCGTGTTATCGGTGTCTATTTTTTCCTCGATTTATGTGTATGCATATAAAAACAATAATAATAACAAATAATAACCTAAACTCACCCCAAATAACCGAAGATTATTAATATTTTTAATCACTGCCGTGGAGGTCGATGGTTGTTCCCGCGTAAAAGTTGACACACAGACGTTGTTGCACGGCACTCACACCAGAGGGCAGGCGTTTCCATATATCCCCGTAATGACTAATTTACAGGGACAATATATATTTATATGTGTGTGTGTGTGTGTGTGTGTGTTGTAGAATTGTGAAAGTGTGGTGCCGCGAAGTAAAAATATTGCAGATAAATTAAACAACTTCATTAATTGGATTATGCTGCTTTTAACGATATTGAATTTTTTTTTAAATATATTTATTTGTTATCTTAAACAGAATATAAACTAAATTATGATATCTGACCTGTCATTTAGTGGTGTCTGCATATTGACATACAATGTGTAAGTAAGTATAAAACTGGAAACTTAATACCAGAGAGCATCGAGAGTAATACACGAGTATTAGTAATACAATAATCTCATACGTACATACATGTACGTATGACATTATTGTATTATACTGTCACGCTTGTCTCCAATTAGGGTAGGTAGAAACAACACCAAACAGACCTCTTTCGTTTCCACCACATTCATCAATCTTTTCATACACGAGATTATAATATATAATCTCCTTTTTTTTAAATTAATATTTTCTCCCAAATTATTTCATCTCATTTACATTTATTTCTAAACTATGCATTTATAACACAAAAAATTCATTGAATCTTTGTAAATACCTTCTACTCAAACGTGGTTTTACGTCAGCATCTATAATTTTCACCAATTGTGAATATGTAGGTATTTCTTCTTTAGCGTAAAACTCTATTTGGTTCCTAAACATCTTGCTATGCAGTGCGTCCCTATAAAACAGTTACGAAATATGAAAATATCACTTATTTTATAAGTAAATATGATTTATTTATTTATATAATAAGGGATATTTTGCAGTGTGCAGTCAAAACAGATAAAAATAGAAGATTCAGTCTTCTAGTTAAGTTAAAAAGTTATCTTCGATGATAAAACTAATAAAAAGTAGCCCAGCTAAGCCAAAAACTTCACCCTACTATACTATACGTTGCAATGTTTATAGCGTTGTTTCTATTGTATTAAACACTGCTAGAGTTCTTTAGAATACACTTGAGCACTTCTTAAATTCATTAGTATATTTGGATTAGCTTAAACATCTGTATCTGAACTAGTTTATAAAACCTGTATCTCAGACAACAGCTCTCAACCGTCATTAAATTGAGAATTTTTTTGTGAAAGGTTTAATGCTGCATATTGAATGTTTATTTTAAAGTTTAACTGATTACAAATATGAGTAAAAATGAAAATTGTAATAAAATGTGAAATAAAAATGGGTTCTCTGTGTGTAATGTATAATTTGAATGTATGTATGTGAGAGGGTGTGTAAAATTGCTTACATACTTTAACATTGAAAGGTGGTATAAAATATATTAAATTCAAACCATAATATCCCGTCTATAACTCGAATGATGTCTGTCATGGTCATATTGTTGCCACTTGTAATTTTGTCTCCATTTCCATGATCATTTAAATCGGATGACAGCAAATCGTAAGGCGGTGTCTATAAAAAAATATGAAAGCTGTAATAATTTCTTGTATCGAAATTATGAAAATAAACAATTTTTTACGAATCTGTAGATAACTATAATGGTCCGGCAACCACCAGAAGTTGATCTAATAGGAGCAGTTCATTACTAGTAATTCTCCCAAAAAGATGGAGTAATGCTTAATATGACCATTATAATAGTCTATTATCGTCCCACTACTTAGGATCTTTCATGAAATGTATTTTTTTTCCGAATTTTCATGCTCAATTTCAAAGAACATACCAAAATCGGCCTAGTGAATGGAGTTTAACATTTCGTTCTGTATTTTAATATTTTTAAATAGTACCTATGTATTATGTAATTTTAACCTCAAATTCGTATTTCGTTGAACCCCGAAATTTCGGAAAACATTTAATGGTAAGCCGTCTGGTCATTAATCTCTTTTTATATCTAAAACGAATTTCTCATTTTTCTTTATGTAGATAGATAAGTGATAAATATTTACCTGTTCCCACATTTGTTTTAATAACATTCTAGGATAGCCATCACGTTGGCCTTTGGATGAAATCGACACTGACATAGCCAAATAAAAAGGTTGCGGTTTCTCAATATCCAAAACGTACGGCGGCGAATCATTGATATCCTACAAATAAAATAATGTTATTCTGATTGTTTTAATTTTTACACAATGAATATAATGTCTGAGTATGGTCATGTTAGAAATGGAAGCCATGTTTTAAAGAAAGTGTTAAATATGAAATTGTATAGATGTAAAGGAAGGGCACCACTGAAGAAAAGATGGATGGACTGTAAAAAATGATACGCATAAAAGACGAGTGAGCATGGAAATGACAGTTGCCAGGGATTTGTGGAAGAGTAGACATACTGCCCCGACCCTAAATAAATGGGAAAAGACAAAGCAATGATGATAATGACGGGTTTTTATGAAAATTTACGACAGTTTGTCCATATTAATAATTTTCACGTTTGCAGAAAAATACAATGACTAATCTTGACAAAATTAATGCGAGACCAGCAAGACAGTAAAAACTTTCGATTAAAAAAATCATGTGAAAGATTATTGAATGAATTCTTAATCAGCTAATATATAATACATAACATATATACATAAGTTACAAAATAAAAACAAAAGATGCTCATGTTACATATATATATATATATATATAGAAACAAAATATTGTAAAATTCAGACCCTACTGCCTTTGGAAGTCGGTTAAAACCTATAAATAAGATCACTGTGTTTACTACAGAATGTTTACTAACTGGATGTAACGTTCCATGTTCAGTTATAATAAATTCTTGGTTGCACTTTTCGATTTTGTTCCTTCTAAGCGACTCGTTTCTTTGGTAGCGTTTGCGTTCTGTCAGATCCAAAATTTCGCATGCTACTGTCGTCCTGTAATATGTATGTAAATTGTAGTCCTCGACTAACTTTCCAGTGATGGAAACTTGAAAACTTAATGTGAATAAAGGCGGTATAATGTAAGATACAAATATTTTACTCGTCGTAAAATGTAGGCAAATGTGAGTTACATCTGCAACCTCTGGCTAATCTCTAAATTTGTCGTGTCATTACTGGTTTTTTTTTTTACTTTTATCATATAAATTGAGATGTTTGTCCACTATATTGTATTGATACTATTGTACTGACGTGAACGTAGCAGGCTCTTGTAACGTGTATACAGTCATTGTTATCCATTCTGTGCACTTCGGTTGAATGACACCCCAACATGGAGTCATTACTATGTTTACTATATTTGCTATCCTTTCTCTGAAATAATAAAAAAATATATATGTTAAAGCAACTTATTTACAATATGAACTTTTAAATCATCATCCAATGATAATCAATTCAATGTTTTTTTAACATAATTAAAAATATTATTATGCAAAAAATATAAATTCATAAACAATGTAAACTTATTACAAAAAGAATTGTTAAAATCGGTTCATAATATTAATTACTGAAGATATCCCTTAACAATAATGTAAGCCGTTAATGGCTTACATTATTGTTAAGGGATATATATGAAAGACCCCGGCTTTTAATAGCCGGGGTCTTTTTAAACAAAATATTTTTGTTAGTATAACGGTATTTTATTAACAACCAATACCTACACTTTTCTCTACTTTAATACGTCCAATACAAAGCCGTTTAATACGTTTTTGTTTAAATTGATTGTTATTAGGTATTGGAAGTTTTTTAAGCCTGAAATATATTGTGTCTTTCTTTATCACAATAAAACACCAACTTACGGCAACCAAATAAATCGCATGACGCGATCGGTATCATTGCAAATTGATAATATATCTCGGGACAGAGAATGTGTCGGCATTATTGGTATTGTTATGTGCTCCACTGATAAATAAATCTGAAAAATAAGTGGTTAATGGGCGCACGGACGGTACAGTTTTATCGCGGTAATATAATACCCAATATGACAACACTATTTTATCATTACATTATAATAGGAGTGTTAAATGTATGCAATTATATAGAGACACTTAATTTTGCATTATATGATACTGTACAATCAGGATTACCACCTACTTACTTTAGATAATAAATAGGGATATTAAGTTCGTATGTCGTCTTTGCAATTTTAGACGGATATTATGGTAAGCAAATACTTCTGGGTTTTAGAAGCCTTGCGCTTCATTTAATGGCACATTAATTAGAGGTATTAAAATCTGGTGTTGGTTTAAATAGTACTTGCATTACCTATTTAAGGAAATATTTGACTTTCCCTTAAATAAGTAACCAGAGTTACAATTCCGAGGGGTTTCTACATGGCTTAATCCGGTTCTAATTTTATAAAAATATAAAATTACCACGTCATTCCTATATGCGTTTCTGATAACTTTTTCAACATAACTTGGTATATCGAGTCTTGTTTCTACACAATTTGGAAGACCGCCTTGTCCTCTTACAAGTATTTTTACCGTATCGTATCCAAAGGAGCAATAAAACGTCACCTAAAATGTTTTCAAACTAATTATAATTTATAATTATAATAATTGATTTATATTCACCACATATGCAATAATTATGGAGTATCATCTCCGTGGTATTAACAGTTAGATAGAGATCATGGTCATAATGTAGCTCCTTACGAGTTCATCGAAATGTAGACATCTATTGACAATTTTTAATGGCCATAAAATAACCAAACAATCTAACATCACAAATTCAAAATGTATCCATATAATTATAATGGACGGGCTATTTACATATCATTACCACTTCTAATGACTAAGAAATTAAACTTTGATATCAAACATTTCACGGATTAAACTATTCACCCCTCAAGCCAAAAGACAAAAAACATTTTTGTGTTTCATGTGAAAAATATCAAGCGGACATCAGATGAATTACACAAAACTGTATTATTATTATCATCTGCCGTTAACTGTCCATCCCTGATATAGGTTTTCCACATAAGAGGAGTTTTGCCAGTGGTTGCCACGTTTGGCAGGCGAGTTGGCAACCGCAGTTATGCTTTAGTGATGTTTTAAAAAAGATGGTGTTTCTCATTCCTCGATTGTTACATTCCCTTAATCGTCTCTTACGACAGCCACGGAAAAGGAAGGGATAGCCCATTTTATGGCGGGACCATACGGCGTACAAAACTGTATGTACCATCAAAATGTATATTAGCAAAATAAAAAATGCAAAAGTTGGGTGACCCGACCTCGTAATCAACCATTTCAGTGGGCATGAATGCGAATGGTATCGCCAGTTTGCCGAGCGGTGGCACTTCGGCGAAGTACAGGAGGCAACGGATAACCGAGTCCGGGGATATTGTGTTCCCTTTCAAAAGTCGCCACGTCGTAAATACAACCGTCGGATTGTACAACCATACGATCTGGAATTATTAATGTAAATCTCCAAAAGTAGAAGACTTTTGATGTGAAGTTAGAAAGTGCACCTGTATGTAAATGTGGTAACCGTCACCAAGCGGAGAGATAGGGATTGTTAATAATGAGATTTAACAGATCCATTACTAGCAATATACTAGAATAGGTCGAGTTCCACGTGGTTCCCCCTAGAAACTATCGTGGTTAATTTTTGATGAATCATCACGATGGGCTAACTAAACTGCTTCATTTTCATCTGTCATCCCACACTGGCGCCTCGCCAGCGTACTCGTATACCCATAACGCAGGCGGGGCTACCATTCCATTTTCATCAATTAAAAACAAACTGTCACCAAGCATCTCGCATGCATTGCCTTTCCTGAAGACTAAAATGTTATACCTCCATATGTTGTAATTTCACTGCAATATCTTATTTTTCAAACCTAAATAATTATGCAAGCATATCTGCTTGATAAAAGAAATACAAGGACGACAGAGGTAACCAAATAAACAACTAAATAGTCTCTATTTTTAATGGTACCTACTAGTACTGGCTAATCAAAGATTTTTAAACTTTTTTGTTTTATTATAATATCCTTGGAATATAAAGGACTTGGTTAATCTTAAGCACTGAACAATAGATGCATATTACATATTACCCTAATAACTGGATCCAAATTATTGATTGGTACTTTGCCACAGTCCAATATTGCTAGATAGTCGTCTATACCGACAAGACGTCGGAGTGGGGTCAAAACACCCTTGGAGTTCAAATAGGCGTATAAGTTTAGATACAAACTTATTGTTCTCTGGTTGGGTAACGTCATCACGTAACACAACACAGTCTGCCCTTCGTAGGCGTAATTGAATTTCAAATGAAGGATACCAGGACAATCATTCTGGAAAATTCCAATTGTTTGTTAAGAGGCTTGCTGAAAACTTCAAAGGAACTCGTATATCGATCCGTTGCAGTACAATAAATATAGATATCACAGAATTTTGGATTGTATTAACTTGTAGTTTTTGTCACATTTTCATGTCAACAATAGATTAATATTTTTAGTCAAATTAGCTTTAAATCAAAATAAAATTTTATTATTAATAGTACTGACAAAAAATGATACCGTGACTATCCCACTGAGCGGAGACAACTCGACCAAAGATCGATGTGTGCAAGTATGCCTCATCTCATATGTAGATATACCAATCTGTACTTGAATCATTTCGCAGTCGCATATTTTCTCTCTGCGTAAGTTCCAGGGTACCGGCACGTTGTACACGCAACCCAGAACGAATATAAATTCTACGTTTTCATTACGCACGCACAAATCAGGTGCATATATATTAACGGACATGGGCTTATTTGGCCGACAGTCCATTAAGGCCTTGTTTAGTCTGTATAGAAAAGGAGATAAATAATTTGATTTATTAACTCTAAACGTGACTTTCATGTATAATCCAATATTAATTGATTTTTACAAACCAATGGTACTTACTCATTAACATTGAAAATGTTCCAAACACAATGGTTGCTCAATATCACGGGACACTTCACAGATATTGTACGTTTTACCTGCACACCATTTTTCATCAATTTATATAGTTATTATTGTTATTGACACTAAGTTGTTTATTTATATTTTTATTTTGTTTGCATATTATGTACATGGTACAGAATGAAATTTCTGGTATTCTCGTGCATAGATATAAAACAAGTTATGAAAATAGATGAAGCAAGATGTGTTGTATAAAGATGTAATGGAGGCCTTTGGCATTCGTTTCTTTCTGCCTGGCTGGAAGGGTCGTGACAGGAAGATGAAGTATTAATACCGTTATGATATTTATTTCCGCAGTATAATAGATAACAATCGTGTTGGCAAAAAAATATTACCCATGATATTGCTTAGATACAGAAAGTAATGATTAAAAAAGACTGGTTCCAATAAATGCTTTTTTTCTGTATATTAGAAACATCAGAAGAGATATATATTTTTACGAACCTTAATAGTGGGGTATATCCCGTCGTACCAAATAGTACAAATAGTTTTTTGTATAGGCTGAATCTCATCTATTTCTTCATACTCGGTACGAAACAGTACAGTATATTTGATGTCTATTTGACGAGGCCCAGCACCGGCGGGTATCACAGTCATTGCAACTTCGCATCGACTGGATGGCTTGAGACTGTTCTGTTATTGAAAAAAGGGTCTACATACATTAGCCATTCTCATGAATATTTCTACATGGTAAAGTGATTACATTGATAACAAAATAAATATGGGACAATTATGGAATAATTTCTAAAATCTTTAAAAAAAATATCAACATCTGTTAAGAACTGATGAAGATATCGTTATACAAATCTAAGGAGTTTAGGACATAATGTGACGCCCATGGTGAATGTGTCTGATAAGTTTTTTATAATAAAATGTAAATCAATTGTGTGATTGTAATTAATAAAATATAACAAATTACTTACAACTGTAGAATTTATCTCAAGTCTATCCGCACTGAAATCATCCCCCATACCGTCGATTGTATGGAATAATCTAGACGTAAAAAAGCATGATCCGTAGTTATAAAGCGTAACGTTGAAAGGTAAGCTATCACCTACGACTATGTCGTGCAGATTAATCGTTTTTGGTATAACCTGCAACATAGAACGTGTAGTAAAAGTGAATACAAGTAAATGATAGAATAAATAATAATAATAGCTTAAGAAGAAAAACTAAAATAACCCTCAAATCTGGTAATTCCGAAAATCCTTTTATGTGAATAAATATTTCCGTAGGTTCGCCAACTGGCCTGCAACAATCAAATAATTTCGTGTACATATATGTACTATAAATAAACGTATCCTATCTGAACTACTATACATCCTTAGTGGCATATTGCGTTTCTATTTAATCGCCCACTGTATCATATTCTGATATTGAAATTTTCAGCATAAAAAGTTGCAATAATCCCACTTGAATCTTTTACAATAAGTAAACATCTAAGCGATTTGTATTGAAGGTTCATAATTCGGAATCTTTTTCTGCAAAAGCTACTTTAATCGTTACTAAATTAGTACGAGACAAAATTATCTACATCGGTCCAGAATTTACTAAAATCACACACACGCGCAGAGTCAGGCGTATACGTATGCGCTCACACACACACACACACACACAAACAAAAATATTAGAAATTAGGGACCTTTTATTTCAAGTCGCTTAAAATATTTTCATGTTTTAACCTAGGTTGTTTAGGAAAAACTGTTAAGGACATGACTATTTCATCATCATCAACATTACTATTTATTAGTGCTTAAATACTGATTTTCACCCCGCTGTCCCTTTCTATTACCAGGTACTGTAAAGACACATACCTATGTATAAAAACTGTATAATTTCCAGCAATAACTTACTTATTATTAATTAAACAGATGCATGAAAATGTAACTGTAGTTTCGTACACTTTATTTGGAGTTTTTGGGAAAAACCACCAGTGGTATTTGATTATTTCTTTTGGAGGGAGCACTATTGTTCCACTGTTATCCGCACCAAGCCAAGGAACGCTGTTTAGCACTCTTATACTAAAACAATCATATTACTTGTAAGAAAATAATGAACATGGTTGAGATGAATTTAGTATTGAAAAAATTTGGTATTTCACCAGAAAGAGACTTTATATAAAAGTCATTTGCTTGCCTATTTATGTTCCATTCATGTTTCTACCGTGAAGCAATTATGTTTGCATAGCTATGCTTGAAGTGAAATATGGCAGTAAATTACAGAATACAGAGGCATAGTACCTTAATCCTCAGGAATGGCAACGCATGAAGTGTGTCATGTGCGACACAGTGTACTCTGTTATGCCCATGGATGATACTGTTTATTTCTATAGGTGTCGGTTACCGCTTTTCATCAGATGGACCGTTAACAACATTCTTAGTAGTTTTGAAATGGCAAATAATGACTTAGGTATGGCATTGTATGAGGGTACCATGGGTGTCACAGAGTAGGTATTGTGTGATACTCATGCTTTTATTCATCTCTATGAGTGACGGTCACCTCTTTCCATCTGGTGGGTCGTCACCTTGTCATTCTAAGCGGCATAAAAAAAATTGTTAGTCGTTTAATTCCTTTATATAAAAAGATAATTGTCTCCGATGCCCATAGTATCTTTCTCTTGCTATTCTTAAATACTACTCATACAAGACATTTCGCCGCCTTTTCGTATTTTTATGACTTCTGTTTTTAAATAGCCGTAAATCATGGATTTTCTTACGAAAATTAGGATAAAAATATACATGTAGTTGATATATATACTATGAGTATAGTTGAGTGACAAATATGTTCATCAAATTTCACATTTAAAAATATAATGTAAAACTAGCTGCATCCCCCGACTTTGGTCGTGTAGATTGGGTTATTGGGGTATTGTAGGTATTCATAGGCAACGATAACCGCTTACTATTAGGTAGGCCGTATGCTTTGTGTGACACCTCAATGGTTTAAAAAAATATAGAATAAAAAGTGTATTTGATGTCCGTTTCATTAAAGTCCATTGTAATGTTGATAGAGTAAAAAATCTCCAACTATTTTTAATTTTTTTTTTTATAGTAAGTTAAATAATAATTACTGCAAATTCATCCTAGTCAGATTATGCAAATAAGCTGTACAGTAGTTGGTGCAGTCGGTGATGGTGGGTGGGAACTCATACACGGCGTGTGTGGATGGGTTATACCCATGGGACATCAGCTCTACTTGACTGACTTCGGCGTTACCAGATAAGCAAATTCGAGCCTGAAATAAATATGCTTAAAATTGTAATTGAGGAATAGCCTGTCATTATACTCACATGTCCATATGAAGATGTAACTTAAAATCTAGTATATGTTTTATCTTGATACGCCAATTAGAATATATAAAGTATAAAGTAGCGCACAAAAAGATACGTGTGTGTGTGTGTGTGTGTGCGTGTGCATGCGTACGTATGTGCGTACCTGTTGCGTGCTTGCGCGCATGCAACCTCTTCCTTTCCCGTGGATGTTGTAAGAGGCGACTCAAGGATTTTATTAGTCGAGGGATAGGCAGCAACGTCCTTCTTAAAACGTCACCAGTTAACCTAACTACAGTTGCCAATCCGAATACCGAGCGTGATAACTACTAGTCAAACCCCCCAAAAGGGAAATGAAGATGATGATTTCATAGGCTACAAGAGTCGCTGCTTGTAGTATTGTTATTGTTGTAGTAGTATGCAGAATTATAGTAGTAACGAAAGCACGGTGTAACAACTTAGAGGCATAATGCATGATATTTTAACCGACAAAAGTCCGTCAGTATTCATTAGTTTCATAAATGGATCGGAGTTTAAGGACTTCAAATAGAAAAGGCTTGTCTGTCTAACGGACATGACACAATTTGTGATAATAGACTTCGTCCGGCATATTAATTCTCACATGTTCTATCAACTAAACTGAAGGAACGCACTAGTCGGTATAAAAAATTGTTGATCACTCCAAAATACAGAGAATAAAAATGTTTATTTTAACTTATAATCTAAATGGACTCGTTGTTAAACATAAAACAGTCAACGTTATGTTGCGTAACAAAATAAATGCAAAGGTACCTTATGAACTTTATTTATTATGAGGTCCCATGTCTCATAATAATTACCGCAAGACTTCGGTTCCAGAGCAACAGAAATAATTTGCCATCCTCTACTCTGTACAATACCGCACATAGGCATCACTACGAAATTCCTATAATAGAAACACGGCAATAATATAATGCCTGAAGCTCGTAAAACTATGACAAATATAGAAAAAATGACCCAGTATTTTATGAAAATTATTTAGCTATTAAGTAACTAAAGAAGATTGACGTCAAGCAGGCGGCCGGTTGTAAAACTAAAAGCCAAATCTTTTTGTAATATAGATAAAAACATATTACGCCGACCCCAAATAATAATTGGGATAAGGGTAGGAAGATGATGAAGATGATGATTTAGCTATTAAATAACTATGTTGATATGTAGGTATAGATACTTTTCAGTTCACTTATGCTCTTATAAATGATTTCAAAACGGGGGAGGTTATTTATTCGCCTAAATTTTTTTTTTTTGTTAAAATATGTTGCGATAGCGTATTTATTAACATCTTTTCTTCCTTTGTCTTGCCATATGGTCCCTGCATAGAATAGGTTACACCTTCCTTTCCCGTGGATGTCTTATGGGAAACTTAATGGTCGATGAATGGGCAGCAGCATCCCTCTTAAACATCAAAACTTAGCTACGTTTGTCAACCCGTCGCCAAGTGTGGCAACTACTGACAAAACTTATAGGGAAGATCTATGTTCAGCAGTGAGCTGTTAACAGCTAATATAATAATAACAATTTCTTCCTAAGATCTTCGCCAAATCTGAACCTATTTTCTTATTTTTTTTTTTTTTTGCAATCGATGTAAATAATTTTTCTGTGAAAGACCCATTCTAATTATACAAAAATGGTACTTGCTATTTATTTGTGTAAAATCATAAACTATTTATTAAATATTCATACAATGATATTAATACCAATGATTGTTTTCTTACGTAGAGTATGGTGCTTCGAATTTAAAGTACATTGGTATTTCCAATTTATTTGCTAGCATAAAGTTGGAAAAAGTAGTTCTTGCTGGTACTGTTGGTGGTAAGACTATCTGTTTTAGGTAAACAACAAAATATTATTAGGTACATAAAAATCGAACGTTATTTAGATTCTTCAGTACCTACTAATTCTTCTGGGTTATTTTGGGGTATATAATCTTACTGGCATAAAAAAGAAATAGAAATACTTTATTGCAAAAAAAAATCGATCATACTTGATTGCTTGACCGATTTAATTTTTTTTTTTTAATTTTATTCGTTGGATACAGGGATGGTTTAAAAGAAAAAAAGTCGGAAAGCCCCTAAAGTTCAGCTGAAAAATAAAAAAAATAAAATAGGTAATTTATCATAGGAATGGCTACTCCGAATAATTTTAATAGATGGCGTTGATACGTAGTTTACCGGGTCAGCTAGTCTTAATTATACTCATATTATTCACTAGATATTCATATGCTATCTATACTACAAGTACAGAAATGTTGACCTCAGACGGACATTCCCAGTCCGTGGTCCATTCAGTGCACGGTAACCATGTATTACCGACACACGGTATGCGGAACCACGTGTGCTTCATTTTAATTACATCTGAATGTTCTCCATCGAACTTTTTATATTGAAAATCACCACACATCAAATATCCGTATACTTCGTTTTCCATTTTTGGCCTACGAATACAGAAAATATATGCCTATAATGCCTAAAAAGTTCTATCACTATTTATCTAATAGCAATTGGCGGTAGATCGTCTTTTACAGCCGTACTCAATCGCAAACTATTCTTGAACCTCATCTCTAAGTTGCCTATGTAAGATTTTAAATATACTCAGTTCTATTTAAAGTAAGGGTCTTCGGAATAGATATTAGTAAGAAAAGTTATGAAAGTAGGATGAAGCAGAAATTCAATAAAAATAGAGTATTTTAACAAGCAAATCTCTATCTCTGCTTGAGATACTTGACGTGATGACAAATATTTTGGCATTATATATATTCTCTATTTTTAATAATTACAGCGTTTAGCAGAGAATTAGTATTATATATAGATATAGTACTCGTCTCTTACCTAAATCTAATAGTGAAGAGTCTAGATTCGTTTGGGGGAATTACAGAGTCGATGGGATCTATTAAAAATATATTGTCTGGATCTGAAAGTATATTTTTTTTTTAAATTTCACTAATTAACATAATATTCACGGTAAGGGCAATCATTCTTTTTTCCCTTCATTCCTGATTTTAAACTCAGATATAGTATAGGTGACATGTCCTGTCTTACGATTATAGTAAAATATTACACGTTTAATATAATTGTGGCAATAGTTGTTTTAAATTCGCGACAAATGTTATTTGAAATTAAGTACAATTAAGATGAGGAAACTATATTGGCAAAGCGGGCTGTAAACAAAATAAAGTTAACAAACTATGATCCAAATAAACATAATTAATAGGTCTTTTAATCCCAAAATATAGCTAGTGTAAAAAAATATCGACCAACCTGCCATCCACTGAATACAACCTTCCTCTTGTTCGTGATTAGTAACGCTTAGTGTTTGAGATATATTCAAAGTTATATCCGATATACTACCCGTTCCAAAATCGAGATATCTTTCGAAAACTGAAGCCGATGGTATATAAATTAAACGTTTAAGGCTGTTCTCCATAAGATGCATATAACGGCTTTTACGTTTCCAATTCATTTCGAAGACATGGTCGTTGATGTTGGATAAAGGATTACCAGGTAACACTACAGTGGCTAACACATTTAAAAATAATGGTTCCTGAAAATTATATCTAGTTTTTATTATGTAAATACTTATAAAGATGAAAAACCAGTTGGTTATCATCACCGACAGGGCAAATTTCTGGAAATTGCGCCGCTAGTCCCCGTTAAAACACTATCAGGTAGATACGTCAATAAATCAAGGAATTTAAATATTTTTGCTTTCTAACATTTGGGTTGTCGTTATTTTTAATTTCGAGAAATTGTTATTTATAAGTATTTTTCACGAATATACGAGTACCTGATTCAACACTAAACAGACCATCTCTGCTATATAAGCTCCAAGAGCTGTACCAGTAAATAGTACCGTGGTAGTTATTGTTTCAAATGCTCTGATAAGTCCACAGTTGCCTGTAGATATCTAAAATTAGAAAGAGATCGAATTACTTTCAATTAGATTAATAATTTACACTAATAAAGGGCCACGTGGTCCCGGCATAGAATAAGCGACCCCTTCCTTTCCCGTTGGTTCCCAAGAGGCGACTAAGGGAACGCGAGGAATGGGCAGAAACGTTCGTTATAAAACATGTCCAAAGTCTAACTGGGGTTGCTAATCCGCCTGTCAAGTGTAGCAACTGTGTACGCTGGCACGGTACTAGTGAAAGATGATAGGTGAAATTGAAAGCAGGTCAATTAGCCCATCGTGAAGACTTCCACAATAATTAACCACGATGGTTTCCAGGGGGAACTGCGTGGAGATCGACCTGATAAGGTACATTGCTAGCAATGGGACTGTTAGACATTACTAACAATCCCTTTAATCCCCCAGTAATGGTGCTCATTATAATCTCTTTCCCCCCTCTTGAAGATGGTTAGGTATGGGTTTTTCGTCTGTACGATACGACCACTGGTAAAGCCGCGGGATATTTAATAGAATATTTTAAGCTAGTAATATTAAACGTACTTGAAAATATCCTTGTCCGTATATTGGCAAAAGCCATTGATAAGTAGTATCCACAGCAGACTTATTTATAATCTTAACAACTGCCCTTCTATGTTCTGACACGTTTTTGCATATTCTGAACATCAATTTCTTTTTGTTCAGTATCACTTCTGGACCTGAATGGAAATGGTAAAGCGTAAATGCATCAAATGTTTCACTACATAACTATGTAATTGTATAGGTAGCTGATATATACAGGAAATGTAATTAGACTAGTTACGTTCCCACGTTTTCTAGTTTCTTCAAGTACCTACAGTGAACAACGAATAAGTACGTACACGAAGTCTTTATTATTTATTCATTCTATTAATATATATAATATGTATTATTTATTATTTATGTAGAATTATAGGTATTTATATATTAAATGTACGTTTACATAATAATATGTTAATAAACGTTCCATATTTTTGATATACAGTATAAGTAATATTACTATGTAGAAATCAGTTTATACTTGAAAACTTGCCATAATATCATCGAGGGTAATCCAATGTATTAAATAATTTAACTTGTTAGTACAAGCAATATATTTTACATTAGCTGTAATTCGCAGCTTTGTCTGCGAGAAAGAGAAGAATAAAAAAAAATAATTACATATACAAACAATTTGAGAACATTTCTATTATGCTACTCGTATCTGAGATAAAATTGTGATAAAATTTTACTTTTATTTCTTTGTATTTGTATAATACTTCCTTTATACGAACTCCCTGATTTCAAGATTTTCCTAGAGGCTACAGTATGGAGTTCTTCAATAATTAAAGATTATGTCTGACAAAAAATCGACTTCAATTTTGATAAGACCGGGTAGTTTAATTAGAAAACTAAACTACCTATTGAACAGATTTTAATAAAATTTTCTATGGCACCAATCTGTAAGTATGTCCTTTCAGATAAAAATATAATTTTCCAAATTCATTTAGAACTGACGGAGTTATGAAATAATTGACAAACATAAAGAAAAACAACCGAATTGAGAACCTCATTCTTTTTGAAGTCGGTTGAAAAGGGCGTATCAAGATTTCTACAGATTGTCAACAAGCACATAATACCCTTAGTGTTGCAGGCATCCATAAAGTATAGTGTTATCCCTATCTACTATATTATAACTTGTAAAATGCGTATATACCATAACATTTCCCAGTGACAGTCAATCTATAAATATTTCCGTCGGTGTCATCTATGACATAATAATCAGTGAAAGACTGTCCGGTTATATTTGGTCGAAATAAGATCCTGACTTCAGCGCAATCAGTTGGTTTAACTGGTGTCGATGTGATGGACAGTTTAAATACGTGATCTATGCTGTTCAATGCATACATAAGTGAAACACGATATGTAAGCGTTTTCTGAAAACATGTAATTTTACTTATAGTATTTTTGTTTATAGTAGGTTTGCCACAGGACCATCTAATAAATTTAACTTCAACCGAGAGAATAGTAAATCGACGATTTACAAGCATGTGCGGTGAAGGACTTTCCCAAGGATAAAGCGATCATCCCAATTCTATTACTTGCTGTTGTATATAATAAATGGAATTTGTTAGCTCAGTACCTATTAGTTTGAAGTCCAACAATGGACCATGACTATGTAATGGCTTATTTAGCTATTACATAGTCATAAATACGCCTATATAATTTCGAATGTAATAAATTTCTCTTTTAACTTAAAATCTAAGATTATCATTCGCATATGTAAATACAGGTAGGATAAGTATAGAAAAACTTACTTCCGACTTATTTTCGATTGAAATATTTTTTTCTGCTACGGTGTCCACAGGGATATTTCTGAAATCTATTGTCTTTATCGGCAATGCACTTTCATCAGAAAAATTCTGCATTTTGATTGCAAAGTGCAAAAAATATATTTTTGTTTGCTTTGTACACTTATTTATTAATTACTTAATATTTTTCTTTAGTTTTACATCAAAAATTATCTATATAATGTCCTGTGATATCATATATAACGTCATCATAATGACAATATTAACGGATACCTAGATATTTAAATTGTTAGCCATAGAGGTGCCATATCGTTGATTTATTTAATACGTACTGTGTCTTTGTACCTTTAAATTTTGGATTAAATAGTACAAAACAACTCTTATGGCGCAATTTTTTTCCTCCGTCTGTCTGTCTGTTATTTGTTATCGGTGCTCTCTCAAATCACAATTTTGATTAAAAAAAAAAGATTATTATTGATTCTGTTGAAACATCAAAGCTTTTAATCAATTTTTCCTTTATTTTTTTTTATCTATAGTAGTATTACTTGTACTTTTATTTTTTTTTAAATGAAATTTAAAAACATTACTTTTTTTTTATAAATTTTATTTAAATCGAATAAAATACTCATATTATATCACTGTTGAGATTTCATTCATTGAATGACAATGATGTATCTGTCATCTTTGACTTTGACATTTTAATTTTTTATCTGTGTAGAATAGTCCGTTTCTTGTTCTTGTGAAATTTATGTCGTTTTTAGTTGTAATATGTATGAGAATAATCTTTTAAAATGTGTGTTTATGTATTATTATAATATAACTTGTATTTAGTTTAAGGAGAAAAATACGTTTGACGTCAAGTGGAATCCCTAACGTAAAGTTATCATTTAACTCAAACGATCTTCATGTATCTAACTTCCTGCATGAGATGATAGCTAGCCGTTCTAGAGATTTTCATGTAATAAAAACTAGAAATCCGCAATGGATTCGGGAACAGAATGGCTTTGTGAAATACTACGCAATGTGCAGCTGGAACAGTTTTATTTACCAATTAGAGATCAGTTGCAGGTAACACTGTTGTGATTAAGTAGGTAGATATAATGTTTGTAATTTAGTTCATTAAGCTTCATAGACTTTAATAATTTTCTAGATAACAAGGTTGGCGCACTTTGATTATGTTCATGCAGAAGATTTAGAGAGAATTGGTATCAGTAAACCTGGAATTCGTAGACTGTTTGATGCAGTTAGAAAAAAGAAATTGCTGTTATGGAATCGAAAATTTTGGAGTAAACTCTTTGGTACATCCTCCAGTTCAATTTCTAGAGAAAAAACAGACTTAGCATTAAAACCAGCACAGCAGAATGAGCCACAAACAACATGTATAATATTGGAGAAGGATATTGTGTAAGCATAGTTCTTGTAATAAAATTGTTTATTTTATTCATAATATACAGGCTCAATTGTATATTTAAATTCGAATCTGGTAAAGCTTTGTTTATACAAGATACAAAACTGCTAATAGCCCAAAATCTGAATCATGACAATAAACACTTCACCTGTCATATTAGATTCTAATAAGTTTATTGAAGTGTCTTATGGTCACTGTATCAACAAGTCAAAGAATTTGCCTTTGATTACAACAAAGATTATTAATTACTGAGCATATTTATTACAATATTATTTGATACATAATTGTATAATGTCCTTACTAATTTTATAAATGTGAAAATGAATTTGTTTATTTATTCTTAGCACTTAAAGAAGATTGGTATACACATATTTGGTATGAGAGAGAAGCTATTTAAAGATAATAACTAGCTTTAAATATAAAGTTTATTTTATTATATAAATTTATAAACAATTTAATATTATTTATATACAAAATATCTCACATTCTATTCAAAGTATTTAGACATTATAGAAAATAATTTTTTTTAGTCTGCATAATGAATTAGGCAATGGATCATTTGGAGTTGTAAAAAAAGGAGAATGGAAAGTGTCTACCCAGCCTCCACAAACTATACCAGTTGCAGTTAAAGTGTTGAAAGCAGATGCTTTCTCACAGCCTGGCATTTATGATGACTTCCGGAGAGAAGTTGAAGCAATGCACAGTTTGCATCATCCCAATCTTATTAAACTCCATGGAGTAGTGTTTCATCCGTTGATGATGGTGTGTGAACTTGCTCCAATGGGTGCCTTGTTGGATTACATTAGAAGTCAGAATGGCAAAGTGTCATTGAATTTTATATCAAAATGGTCGAGCCAAGTAGCAGCTGGCATGGCACATTTGGAGAAGAATAGATTTTTGCACAGAGACTTGGCTTGTAGAAATATTCTTCTCTCTACATTAGAACTGGCAAGTATAGATTTTATTAAGAAACTAGCTTTTTAGTTACTGCTTGGTGAAAAACACATGGTTTTCAGAAATAAGAAAATCAATGAAATAGATTATTTTCAAGATGGCATATCAGGATACCTGATTTTAAGTTAGATTATTAGATAGTTTTAATTTTGGCTTCTATTAGTATTATTGAGATCTGTCATAATATTTTTTTTTAAATATCATGTACAGTTCTTGCCTAATTACAATTTTATTGTAATTGAAAAAAAAAACCATAACTATCCCCGGCTTTTAACTATTTGTAATGAATGAAATGAAAGAAGGTGGGTCATCTGATGGAAACCTTGTCATTTACACCCATTAGTTCATCTGTAAGTTGTTCATACCAATGAACATTATGATGGATAACAGGAGTATAGCATATTCATAGAGTCACATGTTTAATTTGTGATACTAGTTTGGCTTCTCCTGTGTGGTTACATTTAAGTATAAAGGTATTATACATAAATTGCGAAAATCTGAATGTTTTAAATTCAGCTGAAATTTTTTAAAGGTTTTACTCCCTCTTATTATCCTATATTAATTTTGACAATATTAATTTCTTATTCAAAAAACTATTTTTTAAATTATTATGTAGAAGTACAAATCGAAAATGTAAACAGTCTAACTTTAATTTATTGTTGTATTGTTTTTATATAATAAGAGCTATTTTTAATAAATAAAATAAATGACTCTTGGACAATAATCTAATTGTATCTACTCGAATAAATATTATTATATTATATTATATATTAACAGGTTAAAATAGGCGATTTCGGTCTAATGCGAGCATTGCCAGATGCAGATGACTGTTATGTCATGAGCGAGCGGCGCCGCGTGCCGTTTCCGTGGTGTGCGCCGGAGTCGCTCCGCTCGCGTCAATTCTCTCACGCCTCCGACGTATGGATGTTCGCCGTAGCACTCTGGGAAATGTACACATTTGGTGAAGAACCTTGGATAGGTGAATATAAAATTCATACTCATACAGTTATCAGAGAGCTGGTAATTTCATTTGAAAATTGTTCAGTTTAAGAATTATGCTTATCTACTGATTAGGAATGATGTCATATTTAAAGGTTTTAAAGGGTGTGAAATCAGGCCATCACGTAATATTTTAGTATTAGACTACAGCTAATTAGATTTTATTTCTTACTAGCTTTTACACATGTCTTCTTTCGCATTATATATTGATTAACCAAGATAAAAAGAAACTTATGTCTTTTCTCATCCAATGGTATTTAATCACAGTTAGTAGCCGTTACCAAAAGACCAAAATGGTAAAGACTTAAATGAGAGAAAACAAAATAAAATCCTATTCTACTATTAGTAAGTAAAAATTCTCCTCTTATATTGGAGAGACAGTTTGTGTCTAATAGTGCAAATGGGTTGTTTTAATAGATATATAGATTGCATACCAGGTTTCTATTATAGCTGAGGCAACCATATTTACAAATGTATTTAAATATAGAAATCATCTTATTTAAACTGATTTGTTTATAAGCTTCTAGATGGTTACTCTTTTAAAACCAATTTATTTTGTTTGTATTGATTGTACTAAATATAATCAGTCATAAGTAGTAAACAGCAGACTAGTCTCTGAGAGCAGCACACGCTCACGAATATAACGTCTCAGTCGACGATTATTACGTGCAATCATATTTTCTGAAGCTTAGCAACCTGGCTCACCACGCCGCCGCCAGTCTGGAAAAATAAATGTGAAATTTGAGTTTAATTGACTATTTGTTCCAATTTAATGCCTCGGTCGTTATAGCGATGGCCATGAAATTTGATATAAATGAAGTGAAACTCATTAGTAACAAAAGATGCCGCAGCCAATATTTACGGACTAAATAGCAACTCGCATGCGCATTTTTAACTTATTTTTTAATTGAAAATAATTACATTACTAACCTTCTTCAGGTTTGAATGGATCGGAAATACTCCGATTAATTGTGCGCGATGGCCAACGGCTATCAGCACCGAATGCATGCCCACCAGACGTGTACATGTTGATGATGCAATGCTGGGACCTAGTACCCAAGGAACGGCCCACATTTGCCGGTATACAGCGGTACATGGAGACGAATAAATTTGAAACGGCCATTGCAGCTCTCAGGTAACGTCGACATAAATTGTCCGTTGTTGAATCTAGACAAAAACTTTCACGCTCATTCACTATAAGGTTATATGTATATATACTACAGAGCTCAATAATCTGATCCTTTACAATGTCACCTCCCTGGATATAGTTAAACAAGCTGACCCAGCAAATGTGTTACTCATAACTAAAACTATCTTATCTTTCAAATTAGAACAAGCAATACAAATAAAAAAATCATTAAAATCAATTGAACAGTTCTGGAAATCTGTGTTAATAAACCTTGTAAGATCGTTTCATGTCTTAATATATAAAAATGTCTTTTTCAACAGATTTCTAAAAGAAAGGGTTCTCAATGCGGTTGTATATTTTTTTATGTTATAACTCTGTCAGTTGTAAGCCAATTTTTTTTCTGAATGGATATACTTTCAGATTAGCCCCATAGAAATTTTATCGAAATCGGTTCAGTAATTTAGATTTGAAATCAACTGGTTTTGCCAGAATTGAAGGTTAGTTTTTTGGAACACGATCGTTTATATTAAGATTTTGATGGAAATTGTTAAAGCTGAGTGTTGAACGTAAACCTAAAAAAATGTACAATACTCAGCAAATGCAATACAATAATGGATTTATGCGGGACATTGTTGACGCTCCTACCCTATTGTGATGCTTCAAACATTTGTTTGTGCATACATTAAACTGTACTTATTCCGAGGAATAATATATAATATTCATTTAATACTATTTAAATTAAATATTTTATATAAATGTAAGAATGTTATGAAAGAAAATCGGTTTAATATTGCAGATAATTGGTAATATTCATGAAAAAATTTTACATAAGTCGAATTGCTTAAAATGTTAATACTGTTGCTAAAATTTTGTAATTTATTATATATTCTTTATTGCACTAAAACATACAGTAACAACAATAAGTTAATAACAATGTTAGTAAAGGCGAACTTATCTCTAAAAGAGATTTCTTCCAGTCAACCTAACACAGTGGCATAGGAAGTAGTGAGTGGGCAGTAGTAGTGCAAGACAGAAATTTAAATAAATATTTACATAAATTATAAATAATTATATATATACATACACACACACATATATATATATATATATATATATATATATATATATATATATATATATATATACACACGTTAAATACAACATATAAATATCAAATACAAGAGAACACAATGATGACAGTCTTCTAATAATTTTTAAAATCATATATCATTTAATAGTAATAAAGAACCCAAGTTTAATTGTAAATAACAAATGCACTATACAAGATCATACCTAATTGTCAGTGTTCAATTTATGTCCTATATATATATATAAATTACGGCTCGCCATCGACAGGGTGTTCACCCTCATACCTTACAGCTTAAATGGTCGCGTACAACGCAGTTTCAGAGATGCATGGGGTTCTTTAAAAAGGGGGTAAAGAGGTTTCTTCAGGGTCGGCGACGTGCGCGTAATATCTCTGGTATTGCAGGCGTTCATAGGCTACGGTAAACGCTTACCATCAGATGGGCCATATGCTTGTTTGCCACCTCAGTGGTAGTGGACCCAAGGTTTACTGTTTATTGACGAAACCCTGTGTGATTTACGAATTACATACTTCTTAAAATTTCAAATGAAACAACATAGTTCAGTACACAGTTATGTAATATTTATTATTTTATTAAGAGGGAAAACATAAAACTAAAAATTGTTCGTAGTACCTACATATTTATATTAGTGTGAGCTTTGCGTCTGAACATATTTCGCTAAATTAGCAAAATATTATATTTTTTGCCTTGCCTCGATCGACTGGACCAATATCGCGATCGACGGATTGGCCACCCCTGTCCTATATATTATGAATTACTTCAGTTAAGAAACCACTTAAATAGCTAATCATTATTGAAATGTGTTTATTACGGAACTTGTCAGTCTTATAATGTGGACGCTCTTAAACATGTTTGCTCTCTTCCAGTTATAAGAGGCAAGGTCAGATGACAATAGAAGCCGGCGATGCAATAATTCTAATAGATAAGCGACCCGAGTTACATTGGTGGAAGGGACAGAATCAACGGACCCTCGACGTTGGACTCTTCCCAAGGTATATAAACTTTTATATTAGGTACATGTTTAGCGAAATAATAGTTTTTTTTTACATTATTTTGATAAATTAAACATAACTTATGGATGAAATTAGTAGTTTCATAGTCGTTGAGCGTAATATAGGTGGACTTGTACAGTTTTATTAAGAGATTATATAAAATGAAGCATATCTTGATTCATATAAAACAACTCTTTTTCTAACTCCCTTAATAATCTTATTACAATATAATAATAATAGAAAAACTAAAAAAATTAAAATGTGTCCCCAATTCTAAAGTTGCAATATACAAATAATGAGAAACGGTATCCTTAAATCCTATTGAGGACACTGAATATACTGTGCCAATTATGGTAGCTCGCGTGAATTAGTCGGTATCCATCATATGACGTCACCTATTAACGTAATATCCATCATTCATCCCCAAATTTATTCCTAACTCTTTCATTGTGGACTAGGCGAATGATGCAATACTATTATCGGTGTTTGTGTAATAGATAATGTGTGCTAATTAATAATATCCTATTTCAGTACGTTAGTGACGACAGCTAAAAATAAACACGTACCAAGTGCAACTGCAAAGAAGTCACAAACATTATCTCCAGTGCGAAGAGGTAAGTACTTTTATTAATGTTAATTACAATTCGTTAATAATTATAACGATTAGCATATAGGTGTTACATTATCAGACTCCGATATTTAGTAACCATTTGTGATTTTATGTGTTAATCTGAGCTATTTGCGTAGTATATTTTTTTCTATATATTTGTTATTTACTAACACATATATTTTAAATTATTTCAGGCAAGTTTTATAATCTTTTGTAGGGTATAGTATAGATTATACGTCTTGTTATTTATATTCGTTTATGCATTACTTCCCTTTACTGATGGAATTTTGGAAAATCCATTCTTAGTAAATGTGTTATCCCCATAAGAAATTTGAGTATCAGTCAAATATTAGCTTCGTAGGTTATTATTTGTGGTTTCATAATCTTTAGGATTTCCCGTTAAATAATACTGGCTAAATTTATGTACTTACACATATACGTACATATGTATGTATTTGAGATCTTGATAAATTTTGATAACTAATTTTGAAATATACTAAATATATCGAAATGTAAGTTCCTGTAAAGTTTTTTTTTTGTTTAATCTTAATTTTTTAAATCGGTTGACTAATTCTTGAGTGTATCCTGTTTATAATATTAGTATAGATTTTATACTTTTGACAAAACAATAAAATTCAATTTCTTTACTGCTAGTCGAGTCGTCTCACGTTCTTTATAATATTTTTCGCAGACGTGCGTGTGCTTATACCATATCCGATTATAGTACGTGTGGCCATCACGTCATGCTGTATGGATTTTGTTTTCGTTCATGAAAGTGAAATTAGTATTGCGTTTATTAAAATATTAAAGCGTACGATGACGCTATTAGATATTAACACAGGTGAAACTTAAGATTTCCTTGTTAGATTGAATAAGACTAACAAATAATATTTAGCTATGAAATTAATTTGGAATTATATATAATGAAATCCAATTAGGTTTAAAGAATAAAAGGATAGATTTAAACTTGTGTTTCTAAAAATCTTGTATAAATTTTACCTCTGTGCTTAAATTTATAATATTTTGATTTTTAATTAATTTTAAACTTTCGCGTTGTTTACACATATTTTAAATACACTATCGGAACTTAACGCTATGAAAAAAAAAAAATTTGCAAGTAACTAGTATCTACATACCTGCATCTTTATTACCGACATTATGTAGGTATCATGTACTAGCGGAAATTTTTTCTTCGCCTTAAATCCCGATAGTGTATTTAAGATATTTTTGTTATTGGTAATTATTACTATAAGATACCATTGTACTTCAATAGAATTCATTTACATGTGTACATATTTATGTATAATTAACACTTCTATGTTTATACTGTTAATTGATTCTAAATAGACTAACGTTTGATCACTCTTGGTTAATTTAATACCTAGAAACTTAGCAACGCTTGTGATATTTTCCTCTCTATATACAATTTATAACAATACTAATTTAACTAATGCTTTTTACGCAACTTAGAAACAAAACTGCCCATCTAATGGAAAGCGGTAACTTTCGCCTATAAATATGAATATCAACAAATAACAACGAAATTACAAAAAGTAATATGACCCCATTGTACCCTTCAAGTGTTTCCATTTCTGGAAACTATGGCGTTGTGTTCCTGTACTTTGTAATTTCACTGCCATATCCCTCTCTTCAAGCTAAATAAAACCGCAATGCAAGAACAACTACTTTATGGCATATTACTAGCACTACTTTTGTACAAAGTTTCCCTCTCATAATGTACTTTGAGTCAAAAAACAAAGTATATAACAAGGACATGCATTTTTCTTTTTTTTTTTTTTTTTGCTTTTAAATATGATAAACTGTTTTTATTTTCTCTCTGAGACGATAATAAATATCGACAATACCTAGGTCCAATTAATCTTTGAAACCTTTTGTTCACCCTGTACCACTAAAAAAGAGATTAATTCTGAGGGACTGGATATCTATTAACGGACAGCCTAAATCGCTTCAGTTAGAATTCAGAAACTAAATATGCTATATATCGCTTCCATAAAGAACGAATTTTCCAAATTCTTTTTCGAAATTTCGAGATTTCCGGAATAAGTGATAATGGGTTCGCGCGGGTGAAATGGCGGAAAATGCCGAGTTTACGTAAAAATATGCAACATGGATGACTGCATATTAATTGTCAATATTGCGTACTGTCATTAATTAGATTATACAAATGGATACCTACTGAGTAATGCTGTAACAAAACGTCGCGCCTTCATCGATAACGAATATTGACTTCCATAAACGAAATGTGACGCAACGTGACGAATATTGAATCCCATAAATGAGATGTGACGTAAAAGCAGCATTTGTGTAGGGTTGCCAAACGTACTAAAATATATTTTAATTTCTCAATATGTTGTTAGAATGAATGCCTTTCTTTTAACTGGTCTGACAGCACAAATTAGTACATTGAAGATTTCTTTTCATTTCATTTTTCGGCAAATTGAATAAATTAATTCTAAATAAAATAGGGAGTTCTATATTTCACAGTTATAATATTGCTTTAATACTAATTTTGTTAAAATTTAAGTTGATTTATTGAAAAAAATAATCTTTAATTACGTTAACGAATAATAATGTTAAATTACTTTTGTGAAGTTCCATTCAATACGTTTGTTATTTTCTTAAAATAACTGTTTAACAGTATCAGATTTGACGTCATCGTCGGCCGTTACATCGAACGGTTCTGACGACGTGTATCGAAAACGTCGCACCATCGAGTCGACGCAGCCGCCGACGACGCGCGCGCATAACACTGGCAGCAAACACTTCAACTACAATAAGCTAGTCAACGATAGATTGGCCGAGAGGACGTCTCGCGCCACTAGAGATAACTATTCAAAAAGTTTAAATCAAGGTATGCATACGAAATGTCATACGCGTCATCTTATAATAGGTTTTTTTTTCCATTTTAATTTATTTACCATACCACTTCATAGGTTGTATAAGAAAGAAATACTTTTTGTTCTAATAAACTTAAGTTTAAGCACTTTTGGATACTACTTTATTATGATCCTACCGCCCATTCGGATTGCAGTTCTAACTAAAATGAACGGGCAATAAACCCAGTTCTTGCTGTTGTAAAAAAAATAACATTTTTTTATGGAAGTCCAGTCATTCCCACTTTTTCTAACCAATAATAGTAAGTCAATATTCTCTTTTGAGAATAGAGGGAGAGATCGTGCCCAGTATTGGGCCAATAGTAGGTTATAGTAGTCCATAATAGTTGTAACAAATTTGCCAATATATCTGCTACCACTTTATGCCTCTAAAAGCCTTAGCGATCACTGGGAGCAACATTGTCTCCATTGGGAATCTATGCAGTAATCAGAAGTAAAATCCTTTAAACATCTATTATTGCGCAATTAGTTGCATTTTTTCTTCAAATATAAACAGAACTGTTTACAGTAATTCTATTTTTAAAATATTTTAAATCATTATTATTTATGTTATAACCTAATTACTTCATTGTTTTAATTTTGTTGCAGTACTGGTTAAAGAAGACATTTTAATCGATTTGGACTTGCCGCCGTCAACACGACTTAGTACGCCAACAAAGAAACCAGTGATGAACAATGTGTCCATACTCGATGAGCCAATTGATGTACCTGAAATAGGTGTGTATAAATAATTGCTTACTTTGATATTCCCGTAGGCAGTAAATAGTGTCAGAATATTTATACAGAATACTAATAATAAGCATCTATTTGTTATAAGTCCATCTATGTGTCTATTTTATATTTCTTTTATACATCAAATTCCTTTCTATATGATTTTTAATAAAGTATTTAAAAAAAAATACACCGTCCCTTTTCTTCTCAACAATATCATAAAAGGTGATTAAGGGTACAAAACAAACCTGCAAAAGTCCAAGTGAATGAAATCACTTCTGACACTTCCCTAAGGTTTACAGGGAAATAATGCTTTTAGCATTAAGTACGCCTTATACTAAAGAATAAATAAATAAATAAAATTCAAAATACAACCTTAAGAATTCGAGATAATTGCCAGTTAGTCACTTCAAGTGAACTTGACATAACTACCAATGAAAATAGGAAAAACTTTGATGTAATGCGTGTTCTAAATAACTTAATGGGATTTAATAAATGTATCATTATGAGATTCGTTTGAATTGTACAAATGCTATAAGCTACTACTGCAATATGACGGCAATATAAAATAGAGCGGCCTTGACTTTAGTATTGAAAATTTAAAGAAATCATTAGATTATAAATTGGTTAACTTTCTGTTAACACACTCGTTAACTTTTCCTGTTTATTATATTAAAAATGTATGTATATATATTTTTTTTTAATTAAAAAATCTATTAACAAACTTGTTTTAGGTCAAGAGCCAGATTGGAGCGAGCAAAGCATAGAAAGTTTACCACCGTACTCTGCGAATTCTTCAAATACCCAAAACTACACGAATCTCTATGGTGCTAGATCTTTAGATAATTTAACGATACCAAACAATGCTCCGTCCCTAACTACTCAGCAAGATCCCTTCGACACTTCCCAGTACTGGCCGACCACCAGCCAAGGTAATTCGCGGCCAAATTACGATTTTAATTTTACTCAGCAGAACCAAGTTGAAACAAATCGTTATACTGCGAGCAATGCAGCTTCCACTAGTACTGATATTAGTCAAATATATAATAATATGACAGTTGTAAGTAGAAACAATACAGTAGTGCCAAATAACACAGTATATAATACAGTTCCTGTCACAATTTATGCTAGTACGAACACACAATCTGTGGAAAGACGTAACGAATCGAATATAACGTCGTTAGCAAACATGTCGCTCGACGACAGAATTTCGGAGTCATTGAATCTCAGATCGAAGAATACAAATAATGAAAATATTTATTCAAATAGTAGCGCCTACGGTGATCCGTCGACGTTAGCGGAGGCCGCGAGCAACGCTATCAACGAGAGCAGATATAACGACATTCCCATTTATAATAATTTCGACATGAATCCCGCCCAACAGCAGTTTCTGTTGGAAACGAAGGATTACTACACGAAATTGTCCACAGCGTCCAATGTAAGAACGATGAATGACTACGAGAAGAATATCTACGTACCAAAATTTGAAGACGAGGGGGAGAAGTTACAGAATTTCAGTGATTCAATGCAGAATTCAAAAAATTACTCTGCTTTAAAGTATCAAAACGTTGATTATAATAATTACTCGACGTACAGTAATAATTACGGCACGAACGTTTCCGCTGCGCGTGCGCAAGTGACGTACGATGAAGTGAACGACACAGCTAGTAATTTTTATAGTGAGATCAACGAAGCGGGGAACCAAGGGCGGTACGGTAGCACACAGGCGACATATGCGAATGCGGGACTCTACGACGAAGTGTACGAGGAACCAGCCCCGCGCCCTCACCGCCCCGCCCCGCCGTGTCCATCTAAACCGAAATAGTAATCTATCCACATAATGGTTAACCTTTTCGATTTTTTTTATTTTACATTTGGCAATACTGTCTTTTATTTAAGACCTGTGCATACGGGGAACAAATCTGTAAAAAACAATTTTTTTTTATTTTTGTTAAAAACGAACGCTTAAGAGTATTTATATGGATGTTTTTACAAAAATTAAAAAATATTCAGTGTTTCTAATTAATTATTTAAAATGTACTTTGATGTGACTAAAACATTAATTGTGATGCCCTTCATAGTTGAGGGCATGTTTTAATACTTGATTTAAAATTAATAAAATTTACAAAATATAAGTTCAACTACAGCTGCTGTCAACTGTAAAATAAAAATGAAAAGAATTAACCTATATATTATATTTTCAACATTATTTATCAGTCATTAGTTACCCACATGTTTACGGTTGATATTAATCGTTGTGCCTTTAAATATTATTAAGTTTTAATGTTTGTTAATAAATTGTATATTAGGATTGTTATATATCATTGCAATTTTAATATTCAATACAAGACACTCAAAGAAGAAAACTTGATACTCAGTTTTATATTTTTAATATATATATTTGCAAACTATCTTTCTACTAAAAGTGGTAATATACAGTTACAATATATAGATATTGTAGTCGTATTACGATATTTATATATTCATCCGATCGAAATTAATACAAATACCTGTCTAGTATAGGCGATATTGAAATAGTGACGATTTTTTCTCCGCCGTCAAAGTCCAAAGGAACCCATTATATAGATATCTGGGCGGATGCCGGTATCGCCCATGCCTACCTTTACACATGGTGTCTAAGATATTCCCAAGGGACTTTTTTTTTATAACTTAAAATATTATTCTATTTTTTATTTAACAGTTATATGTTAAATTCCTTTACTAAATGTGCTAATTGATGTATATAAATAATGCCAAGTTAATTGAATTAAAAAGTATTAGTTAAATTAGGCTTTCTTTAAACGATATTTTTCTTAATATGGCAGTCTTTACTATTGTGATATTGATTTTGGAATTATTCTAACTTAAAACTAAAGTTAAAAAGAACTCTTTTTTTATACTTGGTAAATTTAATAAATAATCTTGACTTGTGTTTATGTCTAGATCACTGCATAAATAGAATAAATAGCTCGAATAATTTTTTAGTCTCTTTTATTATTAATGGCAACAATAAAAAATCACCAAAATTGTTTGCTAAATATGTCAAGTGTAAAAACAAATTATATGTAAATAAATAATAAAATATTATAGACATTCTCAATGTGAAGTGAATTGTAGTTTTAATTAAGACTCAAAGAATTGTATGTGTACATATTAGTTGTATTTTAGACTTTTGTATGACATAACATGCTGTACCAACATTCTTGATATGTACCAGTTAAATTATTGAAGAGAAAAAATCTTTAGCATTAATATATTAATCAAATACTCCAAAACCTGTGAGCTGACTTGACACTCGAATTGAAATCATATCGGATAAATATTAATATTATTAGAAAAATAGTGACGTCCACTAACATTTGATGAGGTTTCAATTTTATCCCAATCTTTGCTAAACAAGAGGCGTATGAATGTATAAATAGAATTGTCATCGCTAGCAAGTCCTTGAGATAAAATGAGATGGCGATATCCGATATTTTATTCTATCTCATACGAGTGCTAACTGAAACGATTCGATCCATAGATTTGTTGTTGTTGTTTGATTTGCCACTTGTGTAAGAGGAACAATTCAGTAATGTTAATAGTCAGCCTGCAGATATTTTTTTCTTTTATATTATAAAACAATACTCGTGTCTGTTCTACACTAAATTTATCAGATTGTTAAGATACCGTGCTGTTTTTTCCTTAAGCTATTCGATAGAACTTTTCCTTTTTTCTTGGTATTTTTCTCTTCGATACAAATTAGAAATAAGCACCCATGTTTGTTAGTTCTAATGTTTTAGGGTTCGCGCAGACAAGGGCACAGTTTAATGTAATTTTTAACTTATAGAATATATATAACATTCTATGACGTCACAAACCCCCGCCGGATACAACGGAGAAATTTGTTTTCCTCAAACAAAAGTCGCTCGTCTGCGCAAACTCTTATTATTCAAACGAACATCACAATGGTGCCTCACCACTAAGTACCTGTTAGTTAAGTTAGTCGTCCATAATTTCTAAATTCCGCATAAGTCATTAGCATGGTAATGACTCATTACATTTATTTATTTAATAGGTCTATTTTCTCTCATTTATCGTGAGACCAAGTTTGGTCAATATTACGACTTTTTGTCACACATTGCCAATTCTCTGGTGATGGTAAAGTAAATGTTATTAATAAATTTAATGTGAGAAACGGTGACCGGCTTCTCGAATGTGCTCAACGAACTGCGGGCAAGTCAAATATTACGTTTATAAATGGTAGCAATTAACAAAAACCTGTGTATCCTATCTGGGATTGTTATAACTTATTATGTATTTTATTAAGTCTATGGTTTACAAACAAATATAGTACTAGGGTCTAATTTACTGTATAGCTCTTAAAATATTTCTACATTTAAATGTACAACGCGTACAGAATTAACGGACTATGGTGCAAAGTTTATATTTGCTAACAAATGGAAAGATTTGATTTAATATTTTCCGTCTATTTCGTCATATTTCTCTCTATGTGATTTTGTACATGTAAAGAAAAAAAAATATCAATGTAACGTGAAGTCCCTTACGAGGCAGAGTATGAATATAAAAATTGTATAATCAAGTGATGGTGTTCTAATACGGTAGATAAAACGATAGCAATCTCATACACCTAATGTGTTCAAAAGACAACGTTCTCGAGAAAAAACCAGAGCCAGTGAAATATTAAAAATTGAAACCGCCTAATATACAAAGTGAAATGAAATTTTTAACATCCTTTTAGCAAGTATTCTAATTGAGAAACTAAAGATTTTCCTTGAAACATGAATCTTAAATTAACAAAATATTTGGCAGCTGTAAGCAATATGTAAGTATGGGCAACTTAAATAATATGTTGGGTTAATTATTTTACAATTAAATTTTTCTCTGCTAGAACACTTAAAAGGATGCTAATGAGTTCGACGTAAGCCTGTAAAAGTCATATATATCAGTTACATACGTTATACTTGGTAATATAAATACGTTTGATGAATATGTTTTCCAATATTTTTTTTTTTATTATCAACCAATGTTTAACAATCAGTTGGTAAGAAAAAATATTAGTAAAAAAAACGAACCTTTTTTTTATTTTTAATAGAAAATCCACACGTTGAATAGATAATAGATGCTAAGTGGATGCAAGATGACATTTGCCACTTAGGAAACGCATCAAAATCTCTAATACATACCTCTTCTATGATTATTTAATCTGTATTTTTTTTTTTATCTACGTGTTAAACTCTATTTGTAATCTCAATGAAATAGTATCGAAGTCTTACTATAAACTTTTTCGTCAATTATTAATTATATAATACATAAGTTATAACGTAAATAGTTTAGTTCACAAATGTTTAGTTAAATGTTTATCAATTTTACAGGAGAGATTCAAACATTTGATATGAATATAACAAATACGTAGAGGTATAAATACTATACATTTGAAGGACCATACTGATACCAGCAGATAATTTAGAAAGAGCGACTACCCTTATCACCTTTCTATTTTAGAATATGGGACATGTACACCAATGAAGAGCTCGGAAAGCGAAAAGTTAATAATTTTAGACAACGTTTCAAAAATATATACTCTTCGCGCGTTTTAGCGCTGAATATTTTTTCTATTGACAAACATTTTTGTGGCAAGTATATTTTTAATTTTCTTTGCCTACATACTCAAATCAAATCTTAGTTACGCCCTCGAAATTTAGCTGGTCCTAAAAAAAGTAAAAATTATGAAATGGACTAAGCCGTGTCTAAAAATGCAGTATTTACGCTCTTCTTTAACTCTTTGTAAATTTTCCTTCATGTTTAAATTTGAACCCTTAATTGAATGTTTATGTTGTTCAAGTCATACTTAAAGAATGCTCTCTTGAATGGAGTTCACTCCAGTGTTCACAATTGGTAGACTGATACTTGAAACCTTGTTTTTTTGTATACAATATAAGTGTGTACCGAAAATGAATGCCAAACCTCAGTGTTTTCTAGTGTAAAATAATAAAATGGTACTGAAATATTTTCTGTATATATAATATAGTATAAAACCTTATATATTTTGTCATATGCATATTTTTATCCACATTTCCATTTACAAAATTTTATTATTCACCACACATATCGACTTAGACTAACAAAAAAGTACAGACGGATCTCTGTACGCACAAAAATAGTAAAGTCACAAAATATGCTCATAACTTATTAAACTTTTTAATATAAAGGCAAAAATACTAATAACATTATTAATTAATTCCAAACATTATAATTCCATTTATTTTATCTCATCGACTTTTTACGTGCTCGACGTTGATAAATATAATTTTACTGTAAATGCCCTGAGTTGGCTCTATTAACTTTTGTTTGACCTACTTAATGAACTAGGCTTCTAAATAATTCCAATATAGATACTATTTTGTTGGTCTGAGCCTATATAATTAACACTATGTTATTACTATGCTGGAATATTCATCCGAAATCAACCAATTAAAAAATCGACTTGTTAGCTCATATGGATTGGTTCATATTTAACATTTAAACTCAAATGTGCAACCTCCACCGCAAAGTTATCATTTTTTATTAAACTAAATATATTTGCTATTTTTATTCTGTAAACTCTGAGAGCTAATAAATTATTGGCATCTGAGTTGTATAAGTACTGTAAAAACTGTATAGTTAATAGTAAATTGTAACATCCTATGTTCGTACTATTATTTATATAATTACCTAATTATAAATAAAAACATGTTTGCTGCTAATTATGGTTTTTGATTTTTATTTTATTTAGGTATGCTGAAATTTTATAAAACTGTTATAATAAAAATAACTTAGATTAAACTTTTTACTTAAAGAGCGTCTTCTATTCTTATGAAGATACTTTATTAAAGTATTTTTATGTGTAGGTTTTACATTATATAGATAGAGTGTCTCCATACAAATGCTTTGAGAAAAGCGGGTCAAATTTTTCATACAATTTTGCGTGATAAAGACTATGAGTTATTGCTTTATAACTTCTATATTTATTTTGTTTTACAATTTCTGCATCCTTTTAATGCGTAAATACTCATTTTATTTATTAAAAAATACGTCACGATACGATACATTGTATACATAAGTATAATTAACACTGATAAAAAAAAGAATCAACTAATTTGATAAAAAGTTAACCCGTTTTTGAGACGCGATGGTCTATTTATATAATCTAAGACAAATACATACACATATCAAGTCGTGTATAGTTGGCATCTAAGTATTTTTAGTGAAAGTAAAATATGGTATGACTAAATTAATTATGCTTTGAAGTTTGGCCGTTTCGCTAAATGAAACGACTCTGGTAGAATTTGATGTGATTCACTTCTTAGTATCTGTGTCTTTATTATTATCAAACGAAACCTGTTATGTTTCAATTTAAAAGCAGTACAATTTTTGACAAGGGACCCCCTGAAGTTTGTCAAAGAATTCTGTGATGTCCGAAGCCCTTAAATGCGGCAGTTATAACTCCATCAGTTAAGTGGGGAAAGGGATTGTTAGTAATGGAGAGTAAAAATCCCATTGCTAGCAATATACTCAACCAAGTCGACCTCGTGGTTCCCCCTGGAAACTATCATGGTTAATTCCTGTTGAATTCATCATGATGGGCTAACTGGCCTGTTTTCATTCTCATCGATCACCCTTTACTGGTGCCCCGCCAGCGTATCCCGTTAGCGCAGGCGGGGTTACCATTCCATTTTCATCTACCAAAAAAAAAAACTCCATCAGTTGACTACATTGAGTACATTTACTGATCCAATTATGTCTAAATATATATTATTTATAAAGCAAACCTATATATTATGCGTAATTTCATGTCTGAATAGGTATATTGTCAATAAAAAAAATCTATAAACCCTACATACATAATGCCTAGTGATATAACCCTATTTACATATTGTTGACTGTCTCGTAGGTTGGATAATTTAGATGCGAGACGAAATCCATTATAAATACGTGCAGATATTTAGGTATTCATCTTTAAATCTATTACCTATACATGGTGTTTAAAATGTATAAGTATCTGCAACATAAGTGATAAAAACAATATTCTTATCATAGTAAGCTTTTTTGTGTGGATATCGATGGTTTACGGACGGTTTTTAATCTTAGATTAATTTATCATTTATTACGTAGGAGCATAGGTGTTATTAGGTAGTATCTATATTATATGGGTTAAATTAATAAAAACAATGAAGTACCTGGGGGAAGGGTTTGTTAGTAATGAGTTCTAACAGCTCCATTGCTAGCAATATACCCTATCAGGTCGACCTCCACGCGGTTCCTCCTGGTGGTTAATTCTAGTCAAATTCTTCACGATTGGCCGATTGAACTGCCTTCATTTATCACTAGGGTCCCACCAGCGTGTACCGAAAGCTTAGGCGGAGTTACCATTATAAACGAGTTAATTATTATAGTTTTTACTTGCGACTTCATCAGCGTGGCCGAATTATATTGATTGTTCAGAATAAAAACTAGACATTTTATATTTTTTTTTTCCTCAACCCAAAAGTTGTCTGGAAAAGATTACTTTAACTCTATAAGCTTAATATATACATATATTTGTATTATTTATAAGTGGTACAATAAATAGATAATAAATAAATATATAATAATGATTGGCGGATCCATTACGATGACAAATTGCAAGATATAAACTCACTTTCAGATTTATAATATTAATAAAGATTAATTGGATTGTTTGTAATGGGCTCTAATTTCCCCATCGCTAACTATATAATTTTTGAAATCGACATGCCTACGTGGTTCTTCCTGGAAACCATCATGATTAATTCTTGTTGAATTTGCCACGCTGGCCCATATGATCTCAGAATCGGCCCCACTATCGTAGGTCCTTACTTATACCTATTAAATTTTTAACATAATTTTCTATGTACCTACTTACATAAGCAGTCATAAAGAAACAAACTACCCTCACATTACTTCATTCATTTTTGTACTGTCTATTTTGATGTAAAAAACTAACATTGCTGGGTGGCTATTGTCATTTATTTATTTCACAGAATAACTAGTGTACTTTCTTTATTTTTCTGGTCTGATCTTGAGTTTTAAAAAATACGTTGTGTGAACTGCAAAATCTGCTATATGTATCGAATCAGAATGAATAAATAAATTATTATTAAATTATATATTTAATTAAATTGAGAAGATTATATATATTTTTAAATTGGAAAATAGAGAAAATGTGTAAATACTCATTATTTTGATTAATTATGTCTTTTAGAATGTGTAGATGAAAACGCCTATAGGTAATATTGACTCCATCATGTAAGGATTAAGGACATAAATTTACTGTAAGCCCTAATATCATAGCATTGCCATTTCAAAAGGATAATTGAGTTTTCACCCACTCCTTTTATAAAACGAGTAGTTTCCTGTGGAGGAGTAAAAGTATTATTCCTTTACAGGTTCGTTCATTTTGTAATGTCATGCTGTATTCAGCAAAATAAAATTAACAATACAAGGTCTCTTCAGGGTCACCGACCCTTACGTCGGCACAGAGGAAATAGGTGTTGTTAAAAATGGGAACACTAGCTCCCATTGCTAGGTATATCCCCACCTGGAAACTATCGTGATTAATTCCTATTGTATGCCAAATGATTTTATTATCATTGTTTCATCCTCTACTGGTGCCTCGCTATTATATTCCGTTAATATAGACGTGTACACCGGGTTATATCCACTAAAAAAGAAGCGTCAGTACAGAAGATGGCGATAAATTATAGTAGGAGAGGAAGGGATTATTAGTAATGTGGACTACCTGTACCATTACTAGCAATATAACCTGTCAAGTCGACTTCTACGTGATCCCCGTGCTGAATTTCAGGTGCATTCCAGGTGTATACATAACGATGGGCTATCTGACCCGCCTTTTCATTATCACCTATCATCACTCACTGGTGCCTCGACAGCGCGGGCGGGATTACCATTCTATTATCACCCATTAAAAAAAAAAACCCGCCTGCGCTATCGGTAAACACACTGGTGTTTTGGGCGAGGCACCAGTGGAAGATAATAGGTGAAAATGACTACAGGTCTGTTGGCCTACGATGATGAATTAGACAAGAATTAACCATAACAATTCCAGGAGGAACCGCGTGGAGGTTGACCTGACAAGGTATGAGTATATTGATAGCAATGGGGACTAAACTCCCCATTAATAAAAATCCCTTTCCCCTCGCAGGCGGGGTTACCATTGCATTGTCATCCATAACATATTATGGAATTTGTCTAGAAAGTTCACCTACATCTTCGTTTCAGGTTAAAATCAAAATTAAATTATTAATTTTAATACTCTGTTCTAAACAATACATAACAAATTGTGAACAGAAATATTAAATTATATAGTAAACATCGTTAACAATTTAAATTAATTTAATGGAACGATCGTAGAGTCGCTAATTCTCTCGGAATAATAGGGGTGGGTGTTGAGTATAAGGTCATTACATCGCCCACAATTGAATAAATATTTACAGTTAGAGGTCCGTACGGGACCTTAAATAATAATTGCAATGTTCCATTCTATTCACGATTGCATAATGTATGTGATAAGATAGATTCCCATTGTACAGTGACAGATATGTAGATTTGCTTATATGAAATCTTATGTTCGATTGTTAGTTAAGCCTTTGTCTTCATCTCGTGCAAAATGATATAAAAAAAAGTTACGTTTTGATTATGTTTCCTGAGTTTACGATATTTATGCCCTGTCTTTATTATTATACCTTTGTTTATAATTTTGCATCCTGTAAAATAAACACTTTGGTTACGTTATGTACATATATATTTACATGTTGTACTTTTACATTATGGAATAGCGGGTATATTGACGGTTTTTCTATTGAAAAGTGTTAAATGAAGAACACCATGGGCATTACTTAAAAACTTAAAGACTACCATGCCTTATTCTCTAGCTCTAACACAAATTCGTTCTCGGAGAATTATTGGTTATTCGTTTATAAAATTCAGCGCCTTTACAGAGTTTGTAATAACGATTAATATACACGTAGGTAAGTTCTATACTAACCTACCTACATAATTTTTAAACGCCTAAAATATTCATGATCGCTTTTGCTAGAATAGGTATTTTCTAAAGATCTCCAAGGTTAAACCCCATGAAAAATTCGTTTAAGTTCTATAGAGCTCCATATTTTAACGAGTTGACATCGGGCCGACTCGTACGTGTTATCGTAACACGTCATTAGCATTCAGGGTTCGCGATAACTTGGAGCGTGGGCGACAATACGGACGCCACTTTTCTTTATTTGTCCCCGTACCTAATGTAATATACCATGTACTTCGCATATAACACATGCCCTCTCGACCATCTTAATGGAAATAATATAACATAAAGTATATGTATGTATGTATGTATTAATAAATATAAATGGTGAAAACATTAGTGTTTTGTGAACATGCTATATCGTTTATCAGTTATAACTTTGGTGTTCGAATGAAGTGCTTCAAGTGTGGAAGCTTCAAGAGCCGAGTGCTAATATCGCGTTATCTAATGATGATTGGTGTCTAACATCAGATCGGTATGTCGTTATGTAGGCGGCGGTAGTGGCTACACGTGAATGGATGGGCAATGGATCGATAGAGCGGAGTGCGCAGGCCCGCTTCCAAGTTTCACAGCTGGTAGCTTCTTTCGCGTCCGCCAACAAAACGCCTCAACCTGTGTCTCAGTGCCTATTGTGAGGGACCTAAGTGCTCAGCATTGTCACGGATATGCTCAGAAATTAACGGCAGCTATAAACGGTGCGTACAGCTATTACTGTAGAGATAATGAAACAGTGTAACTGTTAGGATATCTTGACCGTTCGCCATGTCGCGTCTATTGCCGTGAAACCTGTTACACGGCACGTAATAACAATTTCATTATTTTTGCATTCATGTTTGATTTGTTTATAAACTAAATATTAGCTGTGTACATAATAATTTTAGCTATCTTGACGAGATATATTCCATTGTAAGGCTTATGTGTACCTACATTCTAGATAACCGGTGCTTACTCTAATATGTTTTCATGTTATTCCGTAGAGCGTAACTAAATCAATTTGTGATTAATTGTCAAACCTATTACATTTCTATGGATTCCTTGACCTCTTATTTTGAACTCGCCACTGCGGGTTCAATACATACAGCAATAAACGAAATAGCCTTAGGAAAATTGAAAACGGCAAGTTGCGTGGGACGAAGCAAAGGGCATGGGTGCCTACGTCAGAGGAGACTATATAACTAGTAGCCAATATAGCTGTATAGAGAAATGATTGTTAATAAGTGAAATCTTTATTGTATCGATCGAATAAAAATAACTGAAACTTCTAAGGAACATTTGTCATAATTAAAGAAAATTGATTGGAACTGGTACATAAATTTTCACCATTTATTGCCGACTGTTGAAGTTTGCTTATCATAAGGAACGGTTCCCTGCAACAAATTTAGGGTTGTCTCTTCATTTAGCGGAAGGTCGTCCGACACTACATTGGCATATACGAGATTGACGTTGGTTGGTCATTAGAAATTACATATTTGCGCAATTTAGTTAAATTAATTAGTTTATTAATAATGATACAAAGTAAACTATAAAAAAATCAAATATGACATGGAGAAATGTATGGTCACGCGCGGACATGCTTGATTGGAGACGGTGTTTTTATAATTTAATTAGAATTAAGATAATGACATCAACATCAACACAATACAACACTGTTACTGGCTGCATTAGGCGAATTTCTTTTATTTATTTAATTAGATAGATATTACTTAAAAACAGGTCATTAGTATAATAATTACAGTAGATACGTCACTCGCTTCGTTAGCCATATATTGCTAAATTATAGGTACCTTTAATATAAAAATTTAAAATTATTAACTAAATAGTAATACCTAAAACTGTCACACAATCATAATAAAAAACTCGTCCTCAAGCTAGCTGTGTTATGAGAGTCCAGGCAGCGAATATTTAGGGGCACCCAAAACACTCAGACCCAAATCAATTCTGAAAAGTTTATTTGTTTATTTATGTATTAATGTTATATTATTATTTATGTACTTTTATTATTTACATATGTAGGTGGATACAGTTATTTTTATTGTATTATATATTCATTTTTACTTGGTTTATTGAGTTTATCTTTAACTATACAGTTATTACCCTTATCTCCTTATACCTCTACAGTTTTCTTTCAGCTTCTCAAAAGTTGACTGTAAAAGATCCCTTTGTGGGATAAGTCCGCCATTGTATATTAAATCTTTTTATGTGTACAGTAAGAATTATGTACAATAAAGATTTTACAATACAATACAATCTAAATTGATTAGACTGATAATCAAAAACTTGATTCACACAAAGAAACATAACTACCACTGCTCTACGGAGGTCAACTTGGAAACCGTGAATGACGACTAACCTGATGAAAAGTAATTACTGTCACGACTAACGTCTGAACAATCCCCAGAACATTTTTATACGACATCGAATTAGAGATAGGCTGATGTTGGAAGTATAGACTTAGTAGAAACGGAGATTAATTATATTGCTAAAATAATAAGATGTATTCAATCAGGTTAATCTGCTTAGGGTTTTCACTAGAAACTATTATGGTAGGTTCGGTACATTGGGCCAAATGACCTGACGTCATGCTCAACTGTGATCATTCACTAGTACCTTACCAGTGTATAGCAATAGCCTAGGACGAGTTACCGTTCCATTTTCATTTTTGATACGTTAAAATAACGAAATGACTTGTTGAAGCCCACGTGATGAAAGCAATAACCATCGCCTATATAAAAATCGCCATATTAGCCGTTAGGTAAACTGTAAATCATTAGATTTAAGACCTAAAAATAGTTTTAGTTTATATACGTAGGTTACTTATACTGCTACAGTGTCGTTCGAAAGTAACTTTTGAACTTTGAATAAGTTTTTAATATCTTACTAATAGGTATAATGAAAATATTGATATAATCTTTATTTATAATATTAAAATAAGTTTGTTAGCTAATTTGCTCATTTGTTTTTTACTCTTGACGCCTTAGCAGCTTTTGTAATCGCTATGAAATTAGTGGTTCAAGATTTATCTATTTTAATATTATAAAGAGGAAAGATTTGACTGTTTGTTTTTAATGGATATACTCAAAAACTACTCAACCGAATTTAAAAATTCTTTCACCTATAGAAAACTACATTATCAGCGCATAGGCTATATATTATATTATTTTTGCGAATTATATTTATCCATGCGAATCTGGGCCATCGCTAGTAGTTTATAAAATTGAATTCATCGTTTATTATAAATTATATTGAATCTTTATATTTTCAGTAATTTATATTATTATCTATCAAAGAATAATGCATAATAAAGTATGTTTGGCATATGTTATTGATTTATTTTGAGCACGCGTTTTCGAAAATGTATTCGCCTGTATACGTAATATCACGTACAGAATAATATTACAGTAATATATGTATGTAAACAAACACGCGTTACGGATGGAAATTACCTATTAATTAACAGGTTAATTTGCACAAGTCATACTTGGTGTTCCTAATTACATGACTGTTGATACTAAGGAGATGGGATTGTTAGTAATGGAAATTAGTGATACTACTGCTAGGAACGTACTTGCACATAACAGTATTACAACATACTCGTACGATTGACGTCTGTCAGTTCGACCTCTATTTGGTTCATCGTGTATCTTTCAATATTTCAAATAATTTTGATTTTCTCATTAACAGCTGAACGCGCCATGTTAGAATGGAAAGCTCATAATTGTTTGTCCTTTATCGACCCACGTCACTTATAGAGAAAATGTTCAATTTAAAAAATTTGAAGCCTCCCATACTAACACGCCACATTCAGCTGTTTTTGAATTAATAAGGAAAACTGAATTTATATTAACTGCGATTGCCAACTCGCCTGCCAAACATGGCAACTACTGGCAAATCCCCCCAATATGAGGAGGCCTATGTTCAGCAATTACAGTTAACGACTGATATACTGATACATACTGCTGTTACACGTAAAACTAATAGTGGATGAAGAAATATGCCACTCATGTTTATTTGTACTTAACTCATAGATATTGAATAAAATGTGCTTTATTTGTCTAAAACTAAGTGGCTCGTTCGACCCACGCTCATGTTCGCCTTTCGCTTAGTATTTACCCGACGGTTTACTTTATTTCTTATTCGAAAATAAATATAAGTTTATTTTCCTGTCGGTATCTAATTTTATCAAAACTCTCAATCGATTGACATAATGTTATTTCTAATCGGACATGAGGCTTCATTAATGTAGGTATTTCAGTTTGTACTGTTTTTGTACAACAAAATTCATCTCATTACAGAAACTCGACTGATAGCGTCCAAATTAGAACGATCCAGTAATTGTTGTTGTACATAATTTATATTAGACATATAAAAAGATTTAATATACAATGGCGGACTTATATTATAGAGGGATCTCTTAGTCAACCTTTGAGAAAATAAATAAATAAATATAAGAATATACTCGTAATTGAACTATATTTCTTTTATGGGTGATAATGAAATGGTAACCCTGTCTGCGCTGTCGGTATACGCTGGTGGGGCACCAGTGAGGAATGATAGGTGAGGATAAAGCAAGTCACTTTGCCGCTCATGATGAATTTATAAAAAATTAACCACGATAGTTTTCAGGGGGAATCACGTGGAGGTCGACCTGTTACGATATATTGCCTGCAATGGAGCCGGTAGTCTGCATTTCTAACCGGGATGGTTTCCGTGTGATTGAATTGTATTGAGAAAATTTAATATGTTTTAAACCGCGAAAAAAATCGATTTTTAAGACGCTTGGACTGAGATTTTTTTTTTTATCTAAAAGGATATACTTGATTGGTCTCAAAGACTTTTTTTCAAAATCGGTCCAGCAGTTTAGTTTTTAAATCAAAATAACTGGAATTCTTAAGTAAAAATATTTGATTTTGCTACGATTGATATCGGTTTCTTCTTGTGGGTCACAATCTTAAATTATACATATTGTAATAATGTATAAGAGAATAAATTACGAAACTCTCAAGCTCTGTTAGTTGATAAATATTATTTCATTTCAGGCAATAAGTGGTTTATTTCTATAATAAATTAAAATTATTTGGCAATTTTACAACTACATATTCAAGTAATAAAACCATTTCTTTTTAAATGTACTATTTAGACTTCCTTAGTAATCGAAATAGTAATTAATTACTATTTTATAATGATGGTGCTGCGCAAATGATTAATTAATTCATTTATATTCAAATAGACTTTCATAATATCACTGCATTTAGAAATTTTCTGGTAAACATTGCATCGCAATGATAGGGTCCGTCTCTCTAGCTCCTTATCTAAAATATATGTATATCGCATAGGTTATCGGAAATATAGTGACCTACGTATTTATAATCCGCCGCAAATATTTCCTTAAGTAAATAAACGTGTCTAGGGAAGAATAATAGACCCCTATCTATCTTTTATATAGATAAATAAAATCTTTTTTTGCATCAGGAGATACAAATAAATTGTGAAAATGGTAACAAAAACAGTTTTACCATATGAGCGATATGCTTAATGTACATATATCACAGTGATACAAAAAGGCAATATTTCAAAGAGTCGTCTGATTTTACTGTCTGAAAGACTTCTCAAAGACACGCGACGATACTGCTATGTCTGACATATTTCGATGTATACATTAACATTTACCAATGAAACTGAAGATAAAATATACTTTATTTAATAATAATGAAATCATTAACTTTAAAATACGAATTTTCTTGGCATTACATTATATGTATTTTAACACATGTCCAGTCTAACACCATTTTTTAGTGAATGATAATGGAATGGAATATTCGTGGGGCACGAATGAGGAATGATTGGTGAGGATAAAAAGGCAGATCAGTTAGCCCATTGTGAATTTAACGATAAATTAGCCATGGTTTCCAGGGGGAACCGCGTGGTCGACTTGATAGTGTATATTGATAGCAATGGGGACCAATCTCCTCATTACTAACAAACCATCCTCTCCTAGTCTAACGCCATTAACTTACATTAGAATCTCATTGTTAATACGTTTTCAGTCCATTAACTTCCTTAACCTTGTATTGGAGACGGTTTGTAACCAGTCAAACTTCAATGAATACTTCTTCATTTACACATGAAGTTGGTGACGTCTACTTTACTAATGTTTTGCACAACAAAAAGGAATTGACAGTGCAATGGAATACTCTGATAATATATACGTAAAAGTGTATTAGTGGGAAACACTATTAAATATTAACGTTTTGTGTAAATACATGCGTAGGATATAAAATAAAGAGAAAATGCCACTTACGCTTCTTCTGTTGTTGGCAAATTGCCACGTAAGAGCACTCTAAGAACCCTTAGAGAAACATTGCGTTTATTAAATAGTTATTTTAGCTACATATATGTATATCTAAACAATATACCGTATTTAGTGTTACTGGATATCGAGTTACTTTTCCGTATACGTATTACTTAATTTAGTAGATTGACGTTAAGCCTTCAATGTATCTACTCGTGCAAAATCTTTTGAATATGATATTATTATCTTGTGAAATAAGAGATAGATAGAAAAAAAAATATAATATGCCTTTTTGAGATCTATTTAATAATTGAAATTTAAATATTACTTATATTATAAATGTAAAAGTGAGTTTGTTTATTTGTTATCTTATAGTGCCATAACGGTTTAAAAATTACTATAAAATTTCGTAAAACGTACCTACTATATGGAATTAAGAAGAACATTAACTACTTTTTATCCTAGTTCGTAAATATACCCCGGTCACGCGGACGAAGTTACGGGTAAAAGTTAGTATAACATATAGAAGATAATTATTATCGATATCAGCATTACTCAAGTAATAAATTCGGGGATTTGCGATTAGTATTATGAACATGCTCATGAATAAAGGCTTCTATTAGATCACGAATATTTTTTTTTAATCGATGATAATGAAATGGTAACCTCGCCTGCGCTAACGGTATACGCTGGCCCCAGTGAGGTATGATAGGTGAGAATGGAAAGGCAGGTCAGTTAACCCATCGTAATGAATACACTGGAATCAGTACCCCCCCCCTGACAGGAATATTATTACAATAAAGGAATATTATTACAATAAAGTTATATAACTATCACAATATATTGCTACGTAACAAGACCACCGAGATATCTATAGGTTACATATTTATTAAAATGTAATATTTGTAAAAACTTATGGAATAATAACACAGTCAGTCTATAGTGCATTTTGCTATTTGATAAAACCGAATCGTGCCACCAATAATAGTCATAAAAACTATATCAATATTGATTCAACCGCTGTTTCCCCTACCTAACGTAGGGGAACAGCGGTCAGTCAGGTAAAATTAAGTCCCTGATAACCAGTGCTATAGTGACGCGGGATATTTTATGTTACGATTGAAATGCAATTCTCGGACTAGGCAAGGATTTTAATGTCTTAGTGTCGTGAAGTTGTAAGTTACAAATAAAACTATATAACTATATACCAAATAGCTCACATCAACCATCATAGATATCATAAATAATTTATCTTCATTCTATGTTTTTTCGTGTACTTCACAACCTAATTGCCACACTGTATCTACATTAGAGTACGTGCATATCAGATAATATCTAATATTATATAAAGCCACATAATCGTTTTTATACTTATTTTTTTTTTTATTAATTTTATATGGTTAATAATATTTGCACGTCTTTTACTGATTTAATCGGAATAACAAACTGCTGAAATAAAAAGATAACCAAATTCTATTTAAGCTAAATTATTATTATTAAATAAGTTATTCCGATAATTATTGTCATTATATTTCGACTTATAGTCTCAATAAACGTAGTGATTACCTATATACCCATTATAATTAGAATAATTTCTAACAAAAATATTGAACCTCCTTGATAATTTTTGTAGTGAGAAAAAATAGCACAAAAAGTTTATTCAATGAAAATATTTAGTTTTATTTAGGAATTTCTATGCCTAACAGAGAATTAAGAAACCATGCAAAAGTACTACAGGCTAGTAATAAAAATTTTACATTTTTCACTTTGATAGTTAAAACAAAAATTGAAATTATCTTTATTTACAGATGTGATGTGCCGCCTTTCTCGGCGGCAGGCTTTGTGGGCGCTGGCGCTGCTCTGCACGCTGGCGCCCTCGCACGCCGATGGGAACATAGGTAAGAGCCTAGAAAAGAACATAGATCGATACTCTTAATCGTTTCCTCCATAAGATTACAATAGTAAACTTATTATAAATACAAAAAAATACAAGAAAATATTAGACTAAGAAAACAATGGGCGGCCTGGCCTTATCGCTACGAGCGATCTCTTCCAGGCAACCGTTGGATGGAGAAGAGTATGTATAAACAGTTTGATTGAAGGCACGAAACTCTATTCGTTTTTTAAATATAAATAGAGATATGCATACCTACAATAATGTGAATATATATAAATATGGGTAATTAAGAAGTAAACGAATTCCTTAAAGAATGATACAATATGGGTACGGATATTATAAAACTGATAAAAGCTACTTAAATATATTTTTAGTAAATATATACATATTATACATAGACAATATCCAAAACTATATAAACATATTTAGCTCTACTTATAAATACAAATCTATTACACGGGGATCGAAACTGCGTTTGTTGGAAAGTCAAGCAATGTCTTAAACCAATACACCATCTTCGTTGTCTGAACATCATGTTATTGGGTCATTAACTGTAGTGAAAATGTATTCAGTAAATAAAAAAGGATTGAATAATTCTCTTTTACAAAAAAGACTGTTATTTATAACATTTTTCATAGCTCATTCGAAATAAAGACTCACGAAGCAGTAAAGCTCTCACTATTCCAGCGAAAATCTGTCTATTAAAAACAAATCTTCAGAAATGGATATTAAACAAACTAGAATTTAGGGCACCGAAATGGTTCCCAAACAACACAATAAGCGTTCACTTAAATAGCCCAGAATTCGTCTACGGCGCTCTCATTTTGTTATACAAAATACTTCTAAATTTAATTTCCCTTGATATTTACATTTTATTAGCATTTACTTGGATGAAACGTGGGTATATAGAAATGGATAATACACCCACTTACGAAAAATACATTAAAAATACATGTAATAGATATTATGTTTGTAATATATGCGTCTTAAGGGAATACAACTAAAATTAAAATCTTTTTTCTCCACACCAGGTTGCTTATTCAGCGCATCTTTATGTGTAGAGGGAGTTGAATGGTGCTACGATGGTAAGAAAATTCGTTTTTACATTACTTAGATAATATACATTTATTACCGATGAGGAAGACAGGTTCTTGAGTGGCGATACCGTACAAATAAATGCAGTATAGGATGACAGTCCCACTAGATGGTGTGATGATATAAAATGTATTGGTATGGCAGTCTATGAGAGAGGCCTATGTTCAGCAGTTCACTTTGAATTCTAATATGCTCATAGAAATGTTGACGTGTCGAGTATTTGGTTTAACATAATAGCAACATTCGACATAAGCCTATGCCTTATTAGGGTTTAGTCATTTTATGGTATTTATAAATTGTGCTGAATGAAACACTGAATACTCGTAAATCTGTCAAACTAATACTAAATTTTATTACTTCTTTTAGATTTTGCTTTCGGGAAGTGCATTCTTATTTACGACGAAGAACCAGAAGACGGCTCTCTCTACAAGTAAGTTACTAAGCATTTGTTGTATTTTGCACAATGGGCATATGACGAAGGAAGTGAAAATGTGAAATGAAATGGTAACCCCGCCTGTGCCATCAGTATACGCTGGCGGGGCACGAAATACTTTTTAAATCAATCGGTATTTTTTTTAAGTATGAGATTATCTGCTTCAAAATTGAAGAAGTTTTGATATTAATATGTTTATTCTTAGATACGATCTGAACTCGGAGCAACTACAATGGTTCGAGGGGGAGCTGCAGCGGCTGGCGGCGCGCGGCTACCGCTGGGAGCACGCCTATACCCAGTGTGTGCTCCAGGCCATGCTGTATACGCTGCGACAAGACATGTACTAGCAAATTTCATTATTTTATTGAATTTACCAGAGAGATACTATGTCATGTACTATATATGTTAAAGTCATCGGCATGGATAACTTGTCATTCATTTCTGCCATCAAACCGTAATTGCATGCCTGTATTTCGATTAGCAGGGTTGGATATGGCAGTGAAATTACAAGGTACCAAGGTATAACATCTTAGCTACCAGGAATGATAATGTATAAGGAGTAGCATGTACATCAAAGTATGATATCGTTCCTGTGTATAGTCAACGGTTATATGTCATTCCCAATTGATAAAAAAATAACTTATATGTTCCCTGTAAGCGTACGTATGTACTATGTAATTTCACAATGTTAGTTATATTATGAAATTACACGGTATGGAAACATAGCAACTTAATTATCTGGAATGGTAACACGCAAGGACTATTATGTGTGATGTATGGATATCAAAGTGTATTGTGCAACGTCTATGATGCTGTTCATATCAATAGCCAATGGTTACCATTTTGATTTCAAGTATGGTCAGTTCAAGTACATGACATAAAAAAAGATATTAAGTTTTATTTACCAATAAAAGGCAACATAAAATTAAAATTAGTGCGCTTTTACCAGCCGGCCTTAGTTTTTAAATATTATATTTTATATAACCTTCATTCTATAATTTATTATAAATTATTTTCTGTTATGTAATGTAATCTATGATTAAAATAATTTGAACTGCAAATTTTTTACAGGGATCCAGCTGAAGTTAACACAAAATTATGTGAACAGTTTGTAGACCCTAAACTAAACTCCGGTCAATTTGAAGAAGGAGACGATAATGTAGAAGAAGTAAGTAACAATTCAAATAAGGAATGTAATGTATATATCTGGTTATTGCTGGTATTAAATACTAAGTTTTATTATTTTCCTTCTAGATTGAACCTGATGAAACGGCTTTTGTTCGTTTCACACCGAATTCAGCGCTAACTGACTCAGACTTTGCAAATGAAATTTACAATCCACCATTTAATGATGATGATGAACTAACTCCTTATATAATCGCCAAAGGTAAATATAATATTGATATAATTTTTATTTATTTAATTTTATTAATTTAATGTGTCTATTAACAATTTTATTCTGCATCACAGACGATGATGACTTACCATCTACTGATGGTGAAACCCCGAGCGACAAATTACGAGACTTGATGATGATGAGTACTAATGAAGATTCACCAGTTATTCTCCCGTTCGAAGGATTTCGAGAACGTATTCAAGCCGAAAAGGCGAGAACTCGAGACCTTGATGATGTTCCAAATGTAGTCATTGACAAAGAAAAGAAATCTCTCCCTGAAGATACAGGAAAGCAACATGAACCTAATGCATATGCAGATGAAGAACGTTTAGGTGTACATTTTCGGAAGTACAAAACTAAACCTCCACCTTACACAGCTGAATATATAACAGAAAATAGATTTTCCCCTCTCGACGCAGAGGTTCGATCAAATGCGTTAGAAAAATACAAACAAAGCTTTGCAGAGAAAAATTTTCCATTTGAATACGAAAACAGTGATATTCCAGAACAAAGAATTTATATAGATGAAGATGGACTAGAAGAAATACCGTTCGATACAGGCAGTGGAGAATCGGATCCTTATCATTTAAAAGGTAATTTCCGTGTTTTTATTAAATTAAAATCTATATATATACTCGTAAAAGTCTTGTAAGCTACATTTACAATTTATTTTTCTAAAATTAGAACATTTACGTATACATAACACGTTTTGTAGATGTGCCTTGTATTCATTTTAAACGGGTAAGCTACACAAATAAATACATTGGTGATAATTATAAACAGAGTCTATTTAGCGACGGATACCACTCAACTAATGCTTCCAGCCATTTTGAAATTTTAATATCAATATACTTTTATTAAATTTTGATACTTTTAGCAGCTATCTGCTACATTCAATGCCTGACGGCGCGCAATCCAATTTGTTTTATAAATTGATAATTACAAAACTTAGAATAGATTTATACACTTGGTTGTATAACTGAATTTTTCAGAAATTACATACCCTTTTATATCTGCATGTAAAATAATTACACTTAATATGATAAAAAATAATAATTAAAAATATTTAAAAAATAAATAAATAACAATATTTTTAATGTATATAAAATTAAATAATTAATTATTAATATTATTAATTGAATCAAAAAGTAATATTGGTACAAATATTGATGTAAGTATCAGCTGATTAAAATATATCTCGATCTCCAAGGTCAATTAGTAAGAAATTGCCGGTGACCTCTTTTATTTATGTGAATAAAAGAGGTAGACCAAGAAATTAATAACTACTCGCTTCCCTATTTTTAAATTACTTTACATTACAGATCCAAATTCTTTGGACCCTAAACCATCAAAAAACATGGAATATTTAATGAACTATTGGCGAGAAATAGTCGATTCAAAACTAAAACCTCAAGGAGCTTTGTATGCAGAAGGAGGTCCATTGAAAGCTGATGATTTACAGGGTGAGTTAAAATAACACATGATAATAAAATTACATGGCAATAGTATTTTTTGCTTTACTCTTTTATTTGCATTGTAAGTACAACAGCAGCATTGTTTCACTCATTTATTCCAATGACCCAACATATCTATTTATCTTATTCTTCTCGGGTGACATTTCCCAAATTTTATTTCTTTGGAATTTTATTTTACTTAGGCCCTTTAACCATGAGAAGTTCAACCTTGAAGAGATTCTCACACCGGAGTGAAGGTGTTACAAATACGGACGATGTTTCAGGTGAAAATTCCAAATTTTATCCCGAAGAATTTCAAGATTTGCTTAATAACGAATGGGGCTTTAAACGTAGGGAAAGAGATGATGTTAAAAAGCCCGGGCCGCGTCTGGACGCAAAAACATTAAAGATTTTATACCACAATAAGTCAGTGACAGGTTAGTGTCACAGCGGCCTGAGATAGCTGTTTTTAGATTATCGATGTTCCCTCCAATAATTTTAAAATTATATGACGTTGCATCGGAAAAAGGAAACCTTTTTTCTAAAATTTAATTGCACTACCTATCATGTTTTTTTTATAGAACACCGCACTAAATGTTTCCTATATCGCGCACATTTTACTTTTTTAACATGAAAAGCATGAGGCTCGGCTCTTGTGGTCCTCCTCCTTACCTCTTTTATGTGAAATTTTATCCGTATAGTTAAAATTATAAATAGGTATAGAAGTAAATTTATAATTGGAATTTCCATCGTATTCACTGTTTTATTATTCTCACACTTTCATTTTTGTCACGAATTTGTTGTTTAGACCTAAGTGCATTAAAACTAGTTTTTAATTTCTCTTGAGAATAGTTATAATATTTAAAAATTTCGATATTTAAAGTTAATGAGCACCTAATTCATTAAAAAAAAAAAGTGGTAATACTCTACAGACCTTTTATTAGATATAAGTTTTATTAGAATTTGTGTGTGACAATAAATACTGACAAAAGTTGCGTTGAAATTATGCATGTGTCCAATCCTATACCTATTGATGTTACAGTTACGCAAAAATCAAGTATTCTTTTAATTACATACTTATATTTTTTTCAGCTCATGGATCTGATAATGCACAAAAACCAGGAAATAGTGGCGATCATGATCACAATGATTACGACTATGACCCATCTTACGCTTATGTGCTTTTTAAAAATAGGTAGGTTTAATAAAAATACAAATAGTAAAAAAATAAAAGAAAAAATAGATAATGTATTAATTAATAAACAATTAACTTGTAATTTTGATTCTAAGTCTTAATTCTATAATTATAAAAAATATTACCTTTTGCAGATTTCTTACTAACTGGGAAAAAGGCATCTCATTCATAGCACGACTTGAAGAGATGCTTGGTTTAGAAAAACATACTTTTACGAATCCTCGGTAAGTATCTAAGTATATAGGTAAAATTAATAGACTTTTGCAATCAACTGACTAAACGTATTATTCTAGGGTTGATCTTGGAGAGGTGACATTTAAAGTGGAAAAGAATAGCAAAGGATATAACGCAGAAGACGTTGCTCGCCGTGTCGGTAAGTCCTCACAGAATGCAATAATATCAACAATTCTTAATTCTTAAACTTAATAATAACCAAATAATTAATTTCTGTGCATAGATGACATTAAAGAAGAACTACGTCGTGAAACTGGTGCTCAAGTTCTTTCCACCGGCGTCGGAGACCGAGTGAGTTATATCAGTCATTTAATTTTTATTACACGATGAGTTCGCGCTTGATCATATCTGATACAAAGTAGCTCTTACTATTAAGCAAAATATAATATGAAACACGCTTACCCTAAAGATACGAGTAAACAGATTTTCACCATCTAGGTACTCTTATCACATTAATACCAATAGTATTAATTATGTGCAAGTAAATTTTGTTCCTCTAAGAAACAAAATTTCAGTTTGAATTAAAAAAAGATAATTAATATGAAAGTAACAAGGTAATAAATTACCATTCTAAAAAGAATTATCAAAACTAATTGAAGTAGTAAAGATACTGTAGTAAAAAAACAATTAAGTGAATTGAGAACCTTTTTCGAAAATTGTATAAAAACTTTCGATTCCAGAGCAAACGTCCCGTTATTCGGCACATGGAAACACCAGAAACTCTCTTCTTAGGCATCGACCTACCATTGTTATTAGCCCTCGTTGGAAGCCTATCTGTTCTCATTGTGGCGGCCATCGTATTCACTGTCATGCTGAAGTATGATTTTAAAGCTAAAAGAAAGATGCAGGGACTCTCCGGTGCAGCGGAAATAGATGCTGAAGCAACCAGGGATTATCAGGTAGTGATCTAAAAAATCTGTTCATGTTCTTATGTTCTTATCTATACATAATAAAATTACGATATTTATTGATATACGATATTTATCTTTTTTTATAAGGAACTCTGCCGCGCGCGCATGTCTGGCAAGTGGTCAGGACAACAGACCACCGCCGCTCCCCCGAACCCTACAGAGGTGCCGCAACGCATCACCTCATTGTCCCGTGAACCTGATGGAAACTCGCCCTCTACACGCTCCAGCACATCTTCCTGGTTACCATAATAATTATTTTTATTTCAAGTAAAACATTTTCGAAAGGATTTTATTAAGAATCGTAACGTAACGATTACATAAAATTATGTGATTTTTCTGTTTAATAATTTTACATAAGTTCCTAAGAGATAATTTCAAGACTTTTGCATAGACTACTATATTTTGCAATAAACGTTATGATGATAAATAAAAAAAACTCTTAAAAAAAGAAGTTGTGAAACTATGTTTTTTGGTTTGTAGGAGCGAAGAACCTGCCCTGACTAATATGGATATATCCACTGGACACATGGTTTTGGTAAGTAATATTCTAAAGTAATTAGAATCACGACATGTAATTAATTTCTTTTAATTAAATTTGCCTCTATAAATCTCATTCTATCTCTCTCTCTTATTTATCGTAAAATTTCAACTTATTGTCTAATCTATTGGCTCTATTAAAATTCGGACTTACCTTTATCCCCTAGTAAATTTTTCCGACAAACACTAAGCATAGATAATAGATAAGACAAACACTAAGATAGTTAATAAGTAAATATCGTGTGATTAAGCTTGTATCACCATCAGGCATACATGGAAGATCACCTGCGTAACAAAGACCGTCTTGAACAAGAGTGGCGGGCTCTATGTGCTTACGAAGCCGAACCATGTGCTACTACCGCCGCCTTGAAACCAGAGAACACGGGCAAGAACCGGTATGCGGATGTGCTGCCCTATGACCACTCCAGGGTGACCCTCAACACGTTGTCCAACCACCTCGGATCTGACTACATCAATGCCTCAACCATTGTGAGTTGCCTGAAAAACAAAATAACTTTAAATTTTAAATATAAAAAAAATTCTTCATGTTGATCTTATTTTATGCAGGGCGCATATTATATACATTCAAAATTATTATCATAATAACTCATTTACATGCCACTTTTAGATGCCTCTCCTCCTTCCATTCAAGAGGAAAATGTTCACCTATTGTTACCACGCCACATATTTTACAGTGCACTGGTAAAATGGCGTGTGTGCTCCGGCATACAATGGGCCACCGCTTCCTTTCCCGTGAGTGTCGTAAGAGGCGACTAAGAGAGGGCGAGGAATGAGCAGCAGCGTCCCTTTTAAAGATCCTCAAAGGCCTAATTGCAAAACTCCCCTTATGGAGAACTCGTATGTCCAGCAGTAGACAGTTAACGACTGAAATAATAATAATAATGATGTATCATGCTGAATATTTTAGTTGACTCTTAGAATATCCTATGTAATAATGTAATAAGTAATGTTATATTTGTTAGACGGACCACGACCCAAGGAACCCTGCATACATAGCAGCTGCGGGTCCGCTGGCGCACACCGCACCCGACTTCTGGCAGATGGTGTGGGAACAAGGTAGCGTGGTGATGGTGATGCTCACGCGTCTCACTGAAAACGGTCAACAGCTCTGCCATCGGTATTGGCCGGAGGAAGGCTCCGAACTCTATCACATATATGAGGTACGTGAATCGAAACATCCTTTGAAGTTTTTAAACTTACAAAATGCTAACTCTCTCCTTTAACGTATTTAATATTAACCACAACGGCAATTAACACCTCATTAGCAATTATAATTCTAAGCTTAAGTCTCGTTAAACATATTTATTTATTTTATACATAATATAATAATTGATATATTTTTATATAAATTGCTATATTTAATATGTTATAATGAAGGTACACTTGGTGAGCGAGCACATCTGGTGCGACGACTACCTGGTCCGCAGCTTCTACCTGAAGAACCAACGAACTGGCGAGACCCGCACCGTCACACAGTTCCACTTTTTGTCCTGGCCTGAGAACGGTGTACCTGCTTCTACAAAAGCTCTGCTGGAATTTAGGAGGTAATATTACCAGACAAGAAACAAGTGCCCAGTAGGGGGTAACAAGTAATAATCTTAAAAAAGTTGTTACCCCTATGTATAAACATATCTTTGTTCTTCTCTATATGCTTATCAAATAAGCATACGGTCCATCTAGTGGTACACGGGTCCTGTAGTTTAGACGTCTGCAACACCAGGGTGCATAGTAAACAAGCGCGATATCTTTTTTTTCAAGCCACTAAGGGAGTATTACCATGTGGTCTCGGCATAGAATGAGCTAACCCTCCCTTTCCTTAAAAGGTGAATAAAAGAACTGAATGGTCGAAGGATGGACGGTAGCGTCTCTCGTAAAACATCACCAAAACCTGCTAGGCTTTGCTTTGGTAACCACCAACCCGCCAGTCAAGCGCTGCAACTACTGACAAAACCCTCCTTCATGGGGAAGGTTTATGTTCAGCAGTGGATAGTGATAGTAGATGATAGATAGATGATGAAGATAATTATACCATTAAGTGAACTGTCAATGTATTAGTAAAAAAAAATATTTTTTTATGCAACTTAGAATGACAAACTGAACTTCAAAAATGCAATGTACATGAAAATAAACTCCATCGAATGCAAAAATACGTATCTCCATAGTTACCGGAATTGATTGTGATCAATTATTGCAGTGCCTTATGATCTGTGATGATCATGGTATGTATTCATAATCCTCGTTAAGTTCGTTAAGTTACTACTTTAAGCATATATGCTGCTTAAATATTTATAGAAAAAAAGTTATTTGCTAAATTATTATATTTTAATTAACAACTACCGGTTTAACTTACGTGTAATGTGATCGAGAAAAGCTCGACTAGTTTTGGAACCATCTGGAACCCTTAGTCCAGTGACACGAACGCGTGTCTAACTGCGCATCCCATATATAGCGCGAGCTGTAGTCATTCGCGACACCATCACAAGATAAAAAAGATGACATTCAAAGATCCTCCGATATTAGTTAAACTGGTAGTTATTTCATTAATATATAATGTGTACTTACGAAATTTTAAACAATAAAACTATATTTATACTATACCTATAAATATGAATCTACCAACTCAATACCCTCCGATATTGTTTTTTACAGGAAAGTGAATAAGTCGTACAGAGGAAGATCCTGTCCGATTGTGGTTCACTGCAGGTAATATTTTATTTTTAGCTTTATATACTCATATTTTATAGGTGATAACGGAATAGGCGTTAACGCTGATAACGTGTCTTTGGAGGATAAAGACGAGTCAGGTCATTTGGCCTATCATGACTAATTTACCAAGAATTAATCACGATGGTTTCCAGGAGAATCGCGTTAAGATCAACCTGACATGATAGGGTACTACTGATAGCAATGCAGTATCCGGCCATTTATTTACCTTCCTAATACTCCTCAAATATTGCGCCTAAATTGCGCCCAACAAGTACACTCTTGTATAGGCATTCCGTCACCCGTATCCAATAGCCAGGACGGGATGATACTGTACCGCAAACCTACTACAAAAAAAAACTACTGATAGCAACGAGACCGCTAGATCGCCTTGTTAATAAAAAAAATCTTTAAACCGAAACATTTGACGATTCATTGTTTCTACCAAATCCAAGAATCGACGGGCGTGACGTTGACCTACGTATGTTGATATTAGTGATGGCGCCGGTCGTTCTGGAACCTACTGCCTAATCGACATGGTCCTGAATCGTATGGCGAAAGGAGCAAAGGAGATCGACATCGCGGCCACCCTCGAGCACATCAGAGACCAGCGACCCCGCACCGTGGCCACCAAACAACAATTCGAATTCGTCCTAATGGCTGTAGCTGAAGAGGTAAAACCCACTTTATTGTATTCAGTATTACAGACAAAAATTCCGTTTTTTTTTTATGTTGGCGTTACTTATGTTATAAATTCGAGGATGTTTGACTAGTTTCGAACTCAATAAACACTTTTATTCAAAAGCACAGCTGTGTCATGAGCTGCACTGTGCGGTTAACAAAAAATTTGTTAGGAATACTCGAATTAAAAACATATGAAAAGCCAACACAAATAATTATAATATAGTATAACTTACAACTACTTTTCTAAAAAATAGAGAACTTTGGAAATTCTATGCAACGTAAAATTAAAATTGATAACGTTAAATATGGATATAAAAAAAATTAAGATTCAGTAAGTAACAATATTTATTAAAAACATTACAGACATTGGGGCTGAAATTATGCGAGATGAAAAGAAAATTATGAATATCTAATAGAAAATTATAATATAATATTACTTTTTCTTTACTTTGACAGCATATGATTATCATAATATCTTAATAATAAAAATATTTATCTTCACGCCAAGTCCATTACGAATATTCATTTTAAAAATTTATTTTCTTAGGGACTTGATGGCTTTATTGTGTTTGTAATATATTTAAATAATTATAATAATTCACTTTTCTCAGGTTCACGCTATTCTGAAAGCTCTACCAGCCCACTTGCAACAGCTCCAAGAAAAGAAGGACAAAGAAAAAGAAAAGGAAAAAGACGGCAACAACAAGGAAAAACCGAATAATTAAATTTGCACCGCTTGTACTAGCAAAAACAAATCAATTTGCATGAATTCTGATGACTTACGGATTCCTCGATGTCTGTGTAACTGCGTATCGGGTTGAGAATTTCGCTTTATTGTGTTAATATATTAAAGTAACACTTATTGAATATAGCTTACTTTAATTAAACATTAAGCGATTCTCAACCTTGACAATTTTATAAATGTTTTTATTTTAAATTTTAGCTATAAATGTATAACGTATTTATTTTCCACACGCAATATTTTATAGCGGTCTGTAAAGAATCGTATGAGACTGTGGGTATCGTATTATAGCGCACGTCAAATGTGTGAAATGTATTTCATGGACTATGTAAATTTTTACTATCTCTATGAATTTAAGAATAACTACATCGCATAGAAAGTTTACATTTGATTTGAGTACTATAACGATAAAAGTTATGTAGTTTTATAATACATGGTCTATAATATCACACTAGACAAAAATATACTATTAGCGCAGTCACGCTATTCATTCGTTGCATTAAATCAAAACATTTATTTTTCTACACAGCTTTTTAATGGTAGATTATTTAGAGATAATAAAGTCAACTGCAACCTGCGCCTTCTGTTTCTAAATTAAAAAAATATAAAATATCTTTTCGTAATTCTTTGAGACATTATATTACAACGTATATAAATCGATTTATTTATTTACAAAAATAAAATACACAAAACTACTGTAAATTTGCCTATTTTAAACTGAATATCTATAAGTAAATATAATTATATCACGGTCAATTTTCGAGGTGTCTAAATAATTTATGTTGCATTTTATTTAGGTATTACAAACTGAAATATTTCGTCCGTGTTAAAATTATATCTCTGGATAGGTACATTTGAGAAAAAGTTTTTTAAACAGTTGGTTTAAGCGTGTTAAAAAATTGTCGATAAATTTTAAATTTATAAAATATACTGCAGAGATGCAGGCAACATTTTACGAAATGAAATTTTTATGAAAAAAAAATTAAATTGTTAAAAACAAAATACAGAATATAAAAACCCATTTAAATATCTATTGAAAAATAAAAAAATATATATATTTATTTACGCTAAATATTTTTTCTTTTGCATAGATAGGTACTACTAAACGTTGTAAGAATATCTTTTGATGCATTTTATTTATTACGTATATTTATAGATCCCAAAATGTTAATGTAAGTTTAATTAATCGTATGTAACTTAGTCTATCTTGCGTTTATATATTACCTGTAAATGAGTAATTTCTAGATATTTAAATGAAATGTTACATTTATATATTAATGTGGTTATATCAACTGGCCTTTGTCTTTAAAAGCGATACGACCAAAGATAGCTACTTACTCATTACTATTTCGAAAAAAAAACGAACATATGCGTAGGTACCTATATATTTATTAGATTTGTTATCGTGCATAAAATGCGTAGGTATACCTATCTGTAAGTAAATGATCTAGTCAATACTATATTAGTTTTTACCTTTGATTTTTATCTTTTGTTAAGCGTGTACCTGCACAGGTAGCATCAACATGTATTTTATACATCAAACATTGTACGTACCTATCATCTAAAGGTGCATGAATTTCGTGCTTACCTACCTACTTCGTGTACCTTACATAAAAAATTTACATATGTCTTTACCCAGTCATATCCTGAGTAAACGGAATACCTGATAAATTAATAATCAGTATAAATAGAACGAAACAAATATTTACATAAACTAGTAAAAAACAATAGACTTACATAATGAATATTGAAATTTGTATAAGATTATATTTATTGCATATTAAGGGAAAATGTAAAAAAAAAAATTAATTACCCAGGAAATTATGAATGTAGTTTAGAATTAAGAGAAATATATTTAACCGTATTTCTGTATGAAATTATATGTAGTTTTTATGTGAATGATTGAATAATGGATTTTGATTATTAAATTGTTTTAGGGAATAAGACAAAATTCGTATCCTCTTCACATATTTAATGATTTCTCCGCTCCCTTTTTATTTTTCGACCTTTTTTGGTTTATTTGGAATGAATTAAGTTTTTATGAAATATTTCATCCGGACCTCAAAAGAAACAAAACCGACTCTTTCGTCAGTAACAAAATTAGTTTGGGGCCCACTTGGAATAAACCTTATAGATTGCTAAAAAAATATCAAAATCGGATCAGAAGTGACGAAGATCTCGCATCAGATACCAATGCCAAAAAAAACCTTTTTACGTCACTTAAAATTAATGGCGTAGCATAGCATATCATTATTTTATGTTATGTTACAATTTTTTATATTACGTTTATCAAATATACGTGTTATTATCATTACCTATCCTAATAATGAAATACCGCATTCGTGATTCACTGTTCATTCCAAAGGTTGACTGCTGGAGAATACTACTATACATTAAATAAATAAACATCAGCCCGCCCCAGACATTACGTCTTAGGACGCAATCTCTTACACGATTGCTTTTGTGGTAAAATTATCTCAAATTCACTACGTTACCATTATCTGTTTCGTCACATTATTTGCTGTCGCTGGAACAAGTTTTACCCTTGCATTGATTGATGCTATTTAGGTCACTAACGAACCGAAGAAATGACTCGGGATACTAGAACCATGCCAGGACCTAAGTGCTCATGGAATGGTAGACATGTTGAAAGTCTGCCTTATGAAAAGTAAATACCCTAAATGGATAAATAAAAAAGAGCATCTATTAACGTTTGATCTATTCCTTTTAAACGATATCTGCTGTGTTAGACTATATTAATATTATAAAGGAAAGTTTGATATTCTGTTTGTAAGCGATAAACTTAAAAAACACTTAATCAATTTAAAAAAATTCTTTCACAAATAGAAAGCTACATTATTATGGTCCAACATAGACTGCAATTTATTTAAAAAAATTAGCGATCCCTACACTTTCTACCCCTGTGAAGCCAGGATCGCTAGTAAATAATAATATCGGTCCAACAATCGGGTAAGTACAAGGTTCTAAATCTCGATTTTCAATTTAATCGAACTTAGAGCTCCAAGATATGTTTTCATTTACTCCATTGATATTTAGTGTTTACTCTAAAGAGTACCTGCAACATACAATAGGTGAAAATGGAATGGTTTTTAATGAATGATAATGAAATGGTAACCCCGCCTGCGCTATCGGTATACACTGACAGGGCACCAGTGAGTGATGATAAGTGAGGATGAAGCAGGTCAATTGACCCATCATGACGAACTCATCAATAATTAACCAGAATGGTTCCCAGGGGGAGCCGCGTGGAGATCGACCACATGGGGTATATTGCTAGCAATGGGGCAGTCAGATCCCATTACTAGAATCCTATTCCTCCCAGAATGGAATGGTTTCCTCGCTTGCGCTATCGGTGTATGCCAGCAGGGTACCAGGTGAGGATGAAAATTGGTCAGCCCATTGCGATGAGCCAACTGATGCACGATGCATCGTGACGAATTCCATAAAAATTAACCATCATGTTTCGCAAGGAGTCGCTCTTAAAGGGTATACCTATTACAATTACCAATTGCAGCAATGAGACTATTAGATCCCATTACTAACAATCCTTTTCCCCTCACACACAGAGAGTATTACATTTAAATCAGCTATATAATAATAACCACAGAGCAAGTAATCACTACGTTATACCTTAGCGATAAAATATTGTTGTTGAAATTACGTTTTTCTACGAAACTATGTTACCGTCATGGCGATTCATCATAGCGGATTATGGTCATGGCCCTGACTGTCAGAGTTATGGCGCCATTTCAAAAACAGCCCTACACTTATATTTTTTTTTATTTTAAAATAATATGGTTTTTGAAAATAATATGTTAATGACATAGATAGTGATAAACAAAAATATAAGTAAATTTATGTTCAGTGTAGATAATATAATACAAAGAATAAACGACATTTTTAGCACAATTTTCAATAAATTTAAACCGATGAGTAAATTTCTATGCTATATTACCAATTAGGATGAATTTATAAAATTAACTAAAATACATGGTTCTACATGGTTCCCACTATTTATTGATATGAACTAGCGATTGCGACTTACTAGTACGACACTAATTATTTAACTTAACAATTCATTCGGATTATTTTAATGATTTGAAAATCTACTACTATTATTTTTATTCATGTGACTATTTATCCGACTACTAATTTCATTCGACTACAAATTTCATTTACTGTACGTTTCTACTAATACCTGAAATCATTTATTATAGTTGTTTATTATGAACAAGTCAAGAATTTTCTTTTTTTTATAATGGTCGAGTGTTGCCTATTTAGTACGTAAAAAGTAGCAAAATAAAGTAAAATTCAACTAAAATTGAATTATAAAAATATTATGTTCAATGTTTAATATGTAAATTTTCTGGTTTTCATGTCATTCGCAAGGCGTACATTTTTTTAAAGATCGGCACTAGTTTTAAATTGTCAGAACATAAAAATAAATCTATGTAACCACCCTGATGAATCTACACAATAAATTAATTGAATATTTATAGGGTTGCAAGACTATTTATAATATCCCTCTAACCAAAACTCTATTCTGAGGTGTAACGTATCGATATTAATATATATAAAGGTATTAAAAAAGAGCTAGTATCTTTATAGTGTAAAATTTTCAAGTTACATAAAGTAGTTGCGTATATTTCCTATAAACATTTTTTATCACGAAGTGACATAGCTGATTTCACAGTCACTAATGTCTATATAATATATATTATTGTTTTTTTATATAGGTAAATGAATGAAATCATTTATCCGTTCATTCGATTTAGTCATTTTAAACTTTTTGACTAGACTCTGTAAAAGTGATTTTATTCTGTTTTGTGTGTATTCCAACTTTAACATCGGCTTCGCAGTGTCATAAAAAAACAATAATAAGTATCAACCCTATTAGACAAAAAATTATTATAACTGTATACGTGTATTAAAGCTTTTGCAATAAAAAAAACCTTTAAAATGATTAGCGGACGTGCTTTGCATTTTGTTTTCAAAGTTGCCGATAGAACCCTCACAGCCAAATTTTACAGAGATATTTTGGGTATGAAGGTAAATAAAATATTGTTTAGTGACATATTAATATTTTTGTACAATAAGTATAACTACCGGGTCTCCTGCCTCTCAAGGCCACTTAGAAAAACCAGTCAACCGGTAAACGCCTAGATGTGACTAGAACTAATTTAGTCTTTATTCAAGGCTTGCTCTTAAATAAATTATTATTACCCTTGTTACATTTACTGTTATAGTTAGTTAGTCATATATTGGCTTGTTTGATTTTTGAGGAAAATTATGATATTTATTCATTAGAATGTCAGAATAATATGCTATAAATTAGACTATACATGTACCTATGTATGTAGGTACTAAATAATGCCACTTGTTTTTGTAGTAAATGAATATAATTTTAACTTATTATAATTTTTACTTATTTAACAAAACAAATCTCTATTTAACAAGCTCCACTTTCCAGGTTCTTCGCCATGAAGAATTTTCTGAGGGTTGTGAGGCAACATGTAATGGGTGAGTATTTTTTCATCAAAAAAAGTGAAGAGATAAAAAATATAACTACCATTAATATGGAACAACACAGTCAAAAAAAGATTTATGATTAACATTTATTAAATCATGTTTCAGGCCTTACGCTAACAGATGGAGCAAAACCATGGTCGGTTATGGACCAGAAGACACTCACTTTGTTGTTGAACTCACATATAATTATGGGGTTACACATTATGAGCAAGGTAATGATTTCCTTGGTCTCACAATCCAGTCCAGTGAGAGTTTAAAAAGAGCAGCAGATAATAACTGGCCAGTAAAAGAACAGAATGGTCTCAAATATGTAGAAGCACCTGGCGGTTACAAGTTTTACATTGTTGACAAGCCTCAGCCATCAAATGGAGGTAATTGCTCATTATTTTTTTTTTTAATAAAATAATATAAAAATAAATATTATAGGATTTTTTTTATGGGTGAAAATGGTATGGTAACCCCGTCTGCGCTAACGGTATATGCTTGCGAGCACCAGTGAAGGGTGATAGATGAGAATGAAAACAGGCTAGTTAGCCCATCATGATGAATTCATCAGGAATTAACCATGATAGTTTCCAAGGAGAACCGCGAGGAGGTTGACCTGGTTGGGTATGTTGCTAGCAATGGGATTCTCAATCTCCATTACTAACAATCCCTTTCCCCCATTATAGGATTATTATTAACCACTCAATTTTATGGAGATGGATTCTCAAAAGAGAATCAACTCGATATGTGCCAGCATATCTACTTATAGTCAAGAAAAGATTGATTGCATGTTCAATCCCAGTAAAAAAATTCATTCATAGAGAATATAATTAAATATGCAAGAATAATAAAAACTTGTTCTGGTAGGTATTATATTATTATATCATTTTTGTGCTATAAAGGTAAAACAGTTTAAACATTTTAAATGCCAGTTTTCTTATAAATAATTAAAATAATTCTGTGTTAAATTTTAATGCTATTTATGTGCTAATCAACTAAGTGAACTTAATAGTTTTTAATATATTTTTTAATACTTTGCATATGTATACCTTATATATAAAGTAAAAGAGTTTGTTTATTTGAACACACTAATCTCTAGAAGTACCAGCTGGATTTGATAAATTTGATAGCTCATTTCTTGAGGATGATTACTGGATATTCAACATCACTATACATACATGGGTAATGTCGCAGGATACAACTAATTTGATATAACTGTCTTAGCCTGTGTTTTTATCTAATTCAGTTATTTAAAAATAAAATAGAAAATAATCTAATAATATGAGATAACATAACACAACAACTTTAAACCATAGGGATTAGGGATGTACATGTAGAAATCATTTCAAAAAGAAAAGATTTAAGAGGGAATGCACGAAATGAAAATTTTCTTTTTAAGTCATTCTCAAAAACTTTTTTTTATTTTAATCATGCATTACTTTTATTTATTATTTTCTTAGAAAGATATGCTGATTTGCAGTATGTCTACTGTATAAATTTGCCAAGTATAAAGTTTTTATATAATATATACATTTATATAATAAAATAAAATAAATATAAATAATTTTCAGATCCAGTATTGAAGGTGGCGCTGGCTAGTTCAAATCTGGCGAGGTCTATAGCATACTGGAATGGTCTTCTATCTCTAAAGGTCTTTGAGAAAACAGATAAGAGTGTTGTCCTTGGTTTCAGTGAAGATCAGGCGAAACTGGAATTAGTTGATATTGGTAAGTTTTATATTTTGAAAATGCCTAAATTGCTCTCTAACAATATTATTAAATCAATAATAAAAATAATAATGATATACATAAATATACTGCCCAAATATTACGCTGATTTCTCTCCCTAGAGCCCTGAACCTTGGCGCACTGTGCTTCTGTCGGGGATTAGTTTGCCATGTTCTCTCCTTAACAGGGAAGATGTAAATTTTGAAAAATAAAAAATATATATATAATAATATAAATATAGTTAGAAATTTTTTAAATAGTTGAATTCCTAACATTCCCACTGAACAAAATAAAATATGTGAACAAGTGAGTGGGTAACAAACCCATCCTTGTCTCTACAAAACCAGCTATAAGCTGAGAAATAATACATATACATGAATAATAATGATCTAAATTTTATTATAGCTGATTTAAAGATTATAGCTGACAAAAAAAAACTTGCACAAATTTTTTTTTTGTTCTTTCTAAATTGTTGTAATACTCTTACAAAATTTAAATGTTTGTTTCATTCAATTATGTACGTACTTGAAAAGACAATGATTTAGCATATTCTATTTTACGACCTGTTAAATTATCCCTGTCTAGAAGATTGAGTCAGATAAGATAAACCTCTCAAACAATGTGATTGTAAATATATCTGTAAGTCACATGCCTAATATATAATTATATAAATCTGTATATAGTCATTATATTACATATGTCATACTATATAATGTATATTATTGATAAAAAAATCTTAGGTTTTCTTGTCAATAAAACAATTGTGTGTGTGTAAATGTTGTGAAAAATCTGTTACCATACATTCCACTATTATTGCTAACTCAATATAATTAATGGCTGAAGTTATGATGATAATGAAGCACTCTTTTAGCTGCTCAGTTGCCTACATACTCGTAATTATTTAAAACAAAACTTATTCTAACAATTTCCAGGTGGACCAGTTAACAGAGCTAAAGCTTACGGCCGAATTGCATTCTCGTGTCCATTCGACCAACAACCAATCATAGACAAAAAGGTGCAAGAAGCAAAGGAAACAATCCTAACTCCACTCATATCATTAGATACACCTGGAAAGGCTACTGTGCGTGTGATCATCCTTGCGGACCCAGACGGGCACGAGATCTGCTTCGTAGACGACGAGAGTTTCCGCCAATTGTCCCAAGTGGATCCAGCTGGTGATGCCGATCTAAATAAGTATATCAAGGCGGACAAGTCGCGAGCATAAACTTCGGATTTAACACAAGTGGCAAAATTTATGTTTTAAACATTATTCCTATTTATAAGAAAAAAATTTTTAAGCAGAATCTATGGCACCAATCCAAAATAGGAGATAGTATCTCTGGATATACGTTGTTACTGGAAAGGTGATAACCACATCATATTTTCTATGTTTATAAATAATACATAAGTGTTAACAATCGGATATTAATGTATAACATTAAGGCTTTTGGTTTACTATAATTGGTGTGTTTACTTATTCTTATGATATTATTTTTAATTTATTGACCTTCTTCATTTTATAACTTGTTTAAAAATGTTATGATCTCCTAACATTTTATTGCAAATTATTATTGGTTGTTACTTCCATTGTATTATTTTTATTATTCTGTAACAAGGTTTCTCAAACTTATAGCTCCACGTACTAAAGTTATATGGCTTAGGCTTTCTATATCACGGCGAAGCTCTTAGAAAACTGACTATCTATAGAACAAATAAGGTGTTTTATTAAAAAGAAGTACAAAAGAGCAATACGTAAATGATATTTCTTTTATTTAATCACTAGTACGATTGATGTGCTTATTTTTAGCGCAAATGGTATTGATTCTCAGAGAAATTTTGCTTTATTTCAATTTTAATTCATAATCAAATCCTCTAATTCGTCTTTTATATTACCCACTCTTACGTATGCGATTAACTGGTGAACCCTATTTTGAGAAATCCTGATATAGGTCATATATAAAGTTTATTTTCTTAATTAGGGACTCTAATTTTATGACGCAGAACTTATTTCACTTTGGCATTCCAGTAGATTAAAAAATAATGCTAAGTACAAGCATTTCGATTAATTACTGCACTATTGTTTAGTATTATTACTGTTACAAGCTTCAATACATTCATATTAAATAATGTTAAACCATATTTTCTTTTCCATAACCTTGTTTTATGCCGGAAGCTACGTGGCATAGAATGGGGCACCCCTTCCTTGCGACTAAGAGAGTGCGATGGGCGGGCAGCAGCATCCCTCTTAAAATATCTCCAAAACCTAACTGCGGTTGCCAATCTGCTTGACCTGCTTTGCAACTACTGGCAAAACCCCCTAAGGTGTGGCTTATGTCCAGCAGTGGACAGTTAAAGGCTGATATGATGACGATAATAAACTTTGTTCTAGATAAAAAATATAAGTTTTTATCGATTACTAGATGTTTTCCACGGTTTCGACCGTGTGCATCAATATTTAAAATATTCTATATATTATGATATAATCTATTCGTGCACCGAATTTCACCCAAATCCTTTAATAGGTTATGGTTAAAAAACTAACAAACATATGTATTACAAACATATATTCATGTATGTGTACATTTTTACAAAGTTTCGCTTTTATATACAATCGCGAAACTTTGTAAAAATCTTATATATTATAATATATAAGGTTATTTTTACAAAGTTATAATATATAAAGTTTTCTGTTATGGTGTGAATGTTACACCCGATATGCCTACATGATTCTATATCTATCATATATGCAACGTGGAATAGTACCTAAATAGTGGGCCTATAACTGTCACTCGCTTTAATTTGATTTATTAACGGCGTTTCCATCACCGGAGAATTAATCAAAACTTTTATAAATAATTAGTCACTAATTATATATTTTACTTTTATATTTATGGACGCGATTGAAATGACACTTGTAACGACTGCAAGAATATCAGCAACATTCATTACATTGAATTACCAGCTACTAAGATGATGGTGAATATAGCTCCTTTTCAAGTTAAATCTCAGTATTGTACTGACTGATATAGTACTATGGTGGTACTTGCTTTAGATTAAAATTGTATTGATTGACATTTTGATTTAAAATAAGAAAATGTAATAACAAATATATTAGGGCAAGAAAAACAAAAAGGTTATTCACACAATATAAGCTTGAAAAGGATTTGGCGGGAATATAAATAAAACAAATTTTGATGATTTTTACATTTAGAAGTGTAGTTTAAGTTAATTATAGTTTTTACCAGAAGAAGACTGTACAAAAGTCGTTTTCTTGGGTACCTCTGTCCTATTCGTGTTTCAACCGTAAAGCAGTTGTTTTTGCATGGCTGTGTTTCGGTTTGAAGGGTGTGGTATGGCGTGAATTTACATGGTACAGAAGAATAACACCTGAGTCCTCAGGAATGGCAACGCATGGGGATATCATGGGTGAAACAGTATACTCTGTTATGTCCATGGTACTGTTCATGTCTATAGGCAACGGTTACCACTTTCCATCAGGTGGGCCATCAGTTTGCCATTCTAAGTTGTATAAAAAAGTGTGCTGTACTTACCTGAATATATTATAAAAAAAACAACAACAACAAAATTGCATATTTTTCACGTAATTACACTAAAAACTTTTATCTCTGAATGCAATGTTATAGATCCACCAGTTATATTTTATGCAAAAATTGGTAGTTATTCTTTTATATTATTATATAGTTATTTAAACCAAATAATTTAATTTGTTTATTTTATTTAAACCGAAGAATAATATAATCAGAAATATTTTTTGCAAAAATTGGTATAAAATGTAGTTTTTCTAATTTAATCCAAATTAAGTGTTGAATGTCCATGAACTGATATTAAAATTATAATATATACGTAAATTTTTGCAATTTCAATCCATATAAACGCAGAACGGTCATATACATACTCATACATTTACAAAACACGCACATTAGGGTAACTATTTCCTAGTTTCGTTTTTATGATTGCATTGCCAGTCTGTTAGTATGTTAGTGTGAGTATGTTATACTACGTCTATGGTCAGTACATTAGATTACATCTATGGGATAGAAAATTCTTACAAATATTATAAATGTGACAGTGATTTTGTTTGTTTGTTACCTTATAGTTCCTATTAAGCCATTTGAAATTTGGTATGCACGTAGCATATACTGAGGCTACTTTTACCCCAGTCAGTAAACGTATCCCAGTCACGCGGATAAAGCTAGTAAATCATCGAAATAAGACTAAAAAATATTTTAAATTCGTTAATAAATAGAATACTGGCACATTAACAACCATTATTCCAAAATTTAATAAAAAAAAAGGTATAAAATTGAATTAAAATTTTGTTAGATACTCGTAATAATATTTGCCAACGCTGTTATACTTTCGATGTTTTAAATTAAAATTTGTTTTTATTTTAAATTCTTATATAGAGTTAAGCGTAGGTTATTGCTGATATCGTTGGCGCAGTAGTTGATACAAGATTTCCTGGTTGTGGTCGTCCTAACAGGTAATTAGCGAACTACTTATTACAAGGCGTCTAAGATATAAATGAGTGCCTATCTACTTGTATATAAAAACTGGAAGGCCATTGATTTTTACGAGTATAAATTACAACGTAGTAGTTTGTAGTGACAAACATCTTCGGCTTGAGTAATCTTCGAACAAAAAAATGTAGACTACTTTTTTAAAATCTTCTTTTTAAATTAGCGACATATTGATTTAGGAACGAAAATTATAATTTATTATTTTTCGCAACCTACGTATTTCTCATATATAAACAACAATTAACAAACCAGACATTAAGGGATACTTTATATTTTAAATAAAAAAAGTTTAATTTAAACCAAATTTTTAAGCACGAATTTCATCTAAATCCATATCTCGCTTGTTTTTTTTTCTCACCCTACAGCACTCTGTCACACACAAAATTTTGTCCATACTTCACTAAGTATAGACAAAATTTTGCTTTTATCGTATTGATCAAATACCTACAGTTGGACTGAAATATTCGTAACTCTCAAAAGTATAGAATTGCGTGACCCGAGTCAGCTGCGCTCAAGCTTATCCAGACAATTGGACAATCTACAACGAAAATATCGCCACAAACTCTTCCGCTATTGTGGAATCGCGTGACCTTTTATATCTCATGTACAATGGTACCTAAAGCGCGTCATTGCCAAAAGGGTCTAAAGATAGCCAGCACATCTCAATCGTTACCTAAGTTATAATAATACACTTGGCTATACCACCCTAACGCCATCTAGTTCCAAATTAAGCAGAGCTTGTAGGTATTATGGGACAACTCATAGAAATATTTAAAACAGTAGTAAATAAAAAACAGACAGACAAATGCAAATATTTGTATTGTGTGGGGATCGAACCTGCATCTATTGGAATACAAGATGGTGTGTTAAATGACCAACGTCATCTCTACCTAATATCATTTATGTGGGGGGGGAGGGATTGTTAGTGATGAGGATTATCAGTCCTAACGCTAGCAATATACCCTTTCAGGTCGACCTTCACGTGGTCCCCCCTTGAAATATTTGTATTGAATTCCAGGTGTCATAATTCATCACGATGGGAACTGACCTGCCTTTTATTCTCACCTATCATCTCTCACTAGTGCCCCACCAGCGTATACCGTTAGCGTAGGCGGGGTTACCATTCCATTACCATCCATTAAATAATAAATATCATTTTTTTTATACAACTTAGAATGGCAAACAAGCTGACGGTCCACCTGATGGAAAGTGGTAACTGTCGCCTATAGACATGAGCAGTATCATGGACATAACAGTAGTATACTGTTTCGCCCATGATATCCCCCATTTTGTTTGCCATTCCTGAGGACTCAGGATATTATTCCTAAACTAAAAAAATATAAAAAATTCACGCCATCTAAGTTATAAACGACCAAGATGGGTAAGACCATTAGATTTTTCTGTTACATCCTGTTACCTCTAACAATACAGATTTGCGAACGTTTGACCGTGTATGCTGTACGAGTATGTGAATAAACAATGTAATTGGCTATGTGGGCAACACTATTTTTTCTATTTTTCCCTCAACATTTTGTTTGTCTCTTCGTGGTCGGATATAAAATTAAATAAACTAAAAAAATATAAAATAGATTAATACTTCTAATCTATTAAGTATCCTGCTTCAGGAATAAATTAAATATTTTATTTGGGAATATTTTATTTCATTTTCATCACTATTTTAAATCCTGAAAAGTAAGTATCTAAGAATTGTTCATGACTATTTTGATATGAATCAAATTACTACCTGTACATATTGGAAATCTTTGAAATGGACTCGTCATACAGACGTTGCACTGCCCAAATTCTAGTTTTTCTTTTTATTTCCAATAAACACCAATTCATTTTAAAAAAATTTTAAATGAACTAAAACACTTAAAACGCGAATAAGTCCAGCCATTTCCAAGTGATCCACTATTACCAATGAACAGAGTTTACATTTTGTTTATAAACGTAGTTGAAAACGTAACGTCTGAGTTTAAACGCCGGATAGTAATTTCTGTTGTAATTTACAGGTATTTATCTCAGGCGGCACTTATTTAATACTTGTGACTAGAATTAGATAGAATGATAGCCTATCTTATAAAAGATAGAGAATTCCTATGTACTTACTTAATTTCAAATAGCCGTCCTATTTCAGACGTCTGGAAGCAAGACACTAGATGCGGAATTGGGCGACGGACACCAAACTAGAACACGTACCTGTTTGTAGAACGCTGGATTGAAACGAAACGTACTTTAGGGATTATTTTTTGTAAGATTTACCTAGAAATAATTATTATTTCGAGGTAGATCTTATCTAAATTTTGAAATAAAAACATATACTTAGTAACTACGTATTTACGAACTTATCTTCGTACATTTAAATGCAATAATATAGTCTTCTTTATATGCTTTAGTATAGTGTGTATATATGCAGTAGAAAAATACTTAAACCAATTGAATAATCAGTCCGGTAGCCAGATACAAATTATTTAAAGATCGTTAAGTTAAATCTGTAACCATGTTGTTAACTTCTTCACCCTTCGAAAAATTGATTTCAAAATTTGTTAAGGCACGGTCGAGATAGTGAATAAAGTGAATTAGAATTTTAAGACAGCCAGTAATTTTATAATATTGAACTATAAACAATGTAATAATTGGATAACAAAATATGACGATAAACTAAAAGGAAGATAATGCCCCATTTGCAATTAACAAAAATATTTCTCGGGCACATTGAGGAATTCAGAAATCTATTGTTTAAGGAAGGAAGAAGCGCAAAAGGACAGAATTGGATCGAAACCAGGTTGATTCAAACTCCGACCACGACTACAAAACGTGTCTGTGTCTTCCATTAGTACCATCAAATGCGCAGATGTAAGATTACGAATTAACATTTGAATTTATACCCCATCGACTTGTAAAGTAGTTAGATACTCTCTTCCTCCAAAACAAGATTGCATGGAAACAAAATTATTGTTCCCTTATTTACAAAAACGTCAAACGTCTCATATATCATACATTTATTTTAAACATGACTTAACTATCAAGTATTATGCCTTTGATTTTGCCCTAAATTTGCAATTTAATTATTTCTTGAAACAACAAAAAGTGGTACTATACAAACTAATGTACTATAATACTAATGTTAGTACACAGGTGATGTTTGTTAATGCGCAACCAATGCTGTTGGGGGAAGGGATTGTTAAAAATGAGAATTTGTAGCCCTCTTGCTAGCTATATACCCCGTTAGGTCGACTTCCACGCGGTCCCCCCTGGAAACCATCGTGCTTAATTCCAAGGAAATACAGCACGAAGGGCTGTCTGACCTGCTTCATCCTCACCAATCATCCCTCACTGTTGCTCAGTCAGCGTATACCGATAGCGCAGGCGTGGTTACGGATTGAATCACAAACATACATAACATATCTTTACAAACTTTTATATTTATAACATTAGTAGGATAAATCTTTTTTCGAGTAATAAAAATTAATTTAAAATCAGATGAGACAAGGAAAATTAATGTAGATGAATAACTAAATCTAAGACCTTGATAGTTATGATTACCTGTTTGACAAATAAATAAAAACTTCGACTTATTAAAAAACTACTTCCAAAATAAGGAGTTTTCTAACTTGTCTGTATTTTTTGTGATTAAGTATATTTTTTTTACATTTTCGATTTTTAATTTACGAACACATACAGAGTTAAATAGAGTGTTGCAAGGAAGATTAGGTGTCTGGGTAACAAACTAGCTCCCCAATACATTGGTTTACTGTGCAGAAATGGATCAGCCTAGATTAGATTATGCCACTAATTCTTACATTTATTTTTGCAAGAAATTTCGGATTAGCATAGACGAGATTTACCATTACATTATTCCTCCCCCCCCCCCCCTCCGCAAATCTCACCTCCTCCAGTGACAATTCCATATTATATAAGTATACGGCAGAAGGGCTGCTGTTTTTCTGGAGAGGAAAAATTACTTGCTGCAATAAATTTCTAATTGACCTGTCAAGATAAAACATACATCATTTTATTTATTTACGAGTACATCTTCAAAAACACAAATATAAAAACCGCATCCAATTTGATGCAGTATTTTTTATGTGACCCCGGAACAAAAACACAGACAGACCAAACAGATAACCAAAACTTCAAAAAAATATTATTTTGGGTTTTATTGCTTTTATTAAGACCATGCATTCAATTTTGTTTTTAATATTTACTTTGTACAGACATCGTCTAGTTACAATATTAGTACTTAAGATTATATCAATCTGCGTACCTTCACGACAAGTTCCTTACGGAATATACAGAAGTAACTGAGTGCCAGTCTTCTTCGTACATACATAGAGATATCTCTAGCTTCTACAATCCATTTAAATAAAATGAATTGATGAAGCATCTACGACAATTACGTTATATTTACAATATTCTTGTCTTCCTCCTCACGTAGCATATTAAAGTTATTTTTTTTTTATATTCTGTAAATTTAGTCTAGTACTTATACATTCTATTACAAATCAAGGGTATATCGAAAATTGTTTCATTGGCCCATTATTGGCCATTAATTATATATTAATGTTTATCAATTTCCCAAGATAAAATAATTGTAATTGGCAAGAGAAATAAGTCATATGAAAACGTGAAAATCAAATCCGTCCAATAAATTCCTTACCAAGCCGCCAAGGATAATTGTATGTTTTAAATGTTGCTGTCAACGTATTCGAATATGATTTACTACATAGATATTTAGAAGAGTTACCTACATTATACATATATGTATGTATGACAATGCCTATAAGTAAATCTGTGTTTTTATAGGACAAGCAAATTATGGCACAGTCGGTGGGTATCACGTCGATAAATAGATCCACGACCTGTCATAAATTTCATTGCAATAGAGGATCCGGCTGATCAATTTGCGAGCGGAGTTGGGCGGGCGGCGATGGCACGGGCGGGGGCGCGCAGGGCGGCAGGGCGGCAGGGCGCGTGCGCGGGCCCGGGAGCGGCGGCGGCGGCGGCGGCGGCGCGGCGGGCGCGGCCCCGGCCGCCGGCAGTGCGCGAGTCGTCGCCGCCTGCCGCGCCGCCGCTATGGCCGCGCCGCGCCGCGATCGCTGACCGCAGCGACCTACCGCGCCCGACACCCGCGCGACTAGTTCCGCGCACCGAACCTCGCCCCACACCCGGCGGCTCGGCGGCCCACACCTCGCTACGCCGCCGCTAGGTAAAGTATCCGGCGAATCCGCGGCTGTCGCTATAGTAGCTAGCGCCTTGCGGCGCCCGCATCGCTTCTAGTGCTGGCCCACGCTTTGTTCTGCGGTGTCGTTGCGCCGGGCTCGGGCGTCGCGCGCGACCCGCCTCGCGCCCCGCGCCCCGCGCCTTCCGCCCACCGTTCATGACGATACATAGGTAACGTTATCACGAAAACAGTATAATCCCGGGTCTATTTTGCTACGTCACTACTATCTTCTATTATCTGGACTTGAATCTCAGCACTGGTGACTCCTTATACCAACCGTCGTGTGTTGTTCATCCAACTGCTCCGATGCTCTATCGGTTAGTCAATAAATTCTTCTTCTTCTGCCTTTTTTACTTGAAATGCTATTTATAGACCTTTTCTTAGATAAGTAGATAAGATTCTTTAGTTTTGTGTTAGTATATTGATAGCTGCTTTGTAGTATTACATAACAGAACATAGGGCCTTCCTCCTTGTCGATAACGCTCGTTATGTACCTAGGTACCTATTGCCTATGCTACGCCACAAGAGTTCTTTTATGTCTAGTCATCGCAATTTGGTTTATCGTTAACGTATTGTAGCTATTATCACGGTACAACGATATTAAATGATTTTTTTTTTATGAATTAGTAATCATCAAATGAACTTACTTATTTTGGAAGTTGACGTGAAAATCTTGGCCATTGTAATATACTATTTATCTTATTATAGCGCAATAGCAGAATTTTAGTGAGATATTATAAATAAGTACATTATATTAATTATTTTAAACTATTTTAATTAATGAAATAGAACCAAAAATAAAAGGTAGGTATTCTTACTACATTTTTTTATATCTGGACAGACATTCAATTTAAACATTTTGTTTATTTTATTATATTTATAAATAAAAGCTTATAGAGACGAGGAATTGTACGTACTCTAGAAAAGGACACAATAGGTATTTTTAGTCCCCTATGAACATTGTATAATAAATAGAGTTTTATTATGCTTAATTTGAAGGACAAGAAGCTATCCCGAAGGCTTATTTTTAATGGGTGAGAATGGAATGGTAACTTCGTCTGCGCTATCGGTTTATGCTGGCAGAACACCAGGGAGAAATGAAAGCAGGTCAGTTAGTCCATCGTAACGAATTCCACAAGAATTAACGACAATGGTTTCCAGGAGGAACCGCGTGGAGGTCGACCTGATAGGATAATTTGCTAACGAAGTTCCCCACCTCCCTAGAACAGTTGATCGTCTGCCTAGACCTTAATGCATGGGTTTCCAATCTAGGGGTAACTACCCCTGCTAGGATAAATCGGCTATTCTGTGAGGATAACAAAGAACTGAACGATTAACATTTAATTTAACAAAATACATAGATAAAATGGAAAAAAAATTTAGATGTGCCGCGCAGTAAGTACTGCACGTTGCATCTCTTTCTATCTGTCATAAATATTAATAGTAGCAATTTTTATAAATATGTTTCTTAATAGATTACAGGTGTAACAATATCGAAAAAGTTATGACCCACAGGCTTAATGTTTAAATATGTAAATTAAATATCTAAATTTATATTAACTATTATATCTAAATTTAAAGAGAACATCTATAAACACCTGTTCCACCTGATTGCTGTCACTGATATAATTTGATTTATTTTAAAATAAAGGAGAAAAATATATTTTTATAAATGTATAATGAAAAATGATAAAATGTATAATGTATATTGTCTGGAATCTATTAAAAACTATTTTTAGAGAAAATTTGTTTTACATATAGTTAAATTCCGGTATGTTGTTCTGTAAAACAAAATATTTCTAGTTATAACGTAATATTTAGAAAAAATTGTATTGTATTGTAAAAATCTTTATTGTACATAAGTCAGATTAAATACTAGTAAATGATTTAGTAAAATAATATCCCTTAAATACTATGTAGTGCCTTGTTTGGGAAAATCGTACGTTTAAAAGCAACTATCTTTTCGCTATTTCGTATGCAAGGATTTGAGAAATAGAAAAACCAATTAATAAAATATACAACTGCTAGATGGCGTATCAAGATAAAACATATACCAAATTTTTTATTTAGACCTTCAGGAACATAACCGTTTCCAAGGTACAGTAGTGTAGTTTGTACGTGATGCCTGAACTAACATATAAACAAGCAGTCAGACAAAATTTCTAAATATCATTCTTTTGGCCTCTATTGCTTTTATTAAGACCCCTTATATAAATTTTTCTGACATATCTTCCAAGTATTTAAGTACATTTTCTTATAATAGTAAGAAGTATACACACATGTCGTATAGGTTGTGGGAGATGCATAATGTAAATAAGCAGAGGTCGAGTTAGCAGTGATGGGTGTTAATTGACTCATAACGACTCTACACAGACAAGACAAATGTATCAAACTGTCTATGGGAAGAGACGTTCCTTTTGTTAGGCGGCTGTCGCTTTGTGGAGTCGGAGCATCTCTCAGAAATGAGGTACAATATATCGCTTTCCTAACATTAACAAATAAACTATATAATAAAAAAAATACCACTGGACATTCTCTTTAGTCCCAAACTATGCAAAGATCGTGCATATGTGTATAGACAACAGATGGGTACACATATTTTTTTAAAATACATTCTATTATACATAAAAGATGCCCAGACCAAAACAAATATACATACTCGTATAAATGTTTGTATTGCGCTGGAATAAAATCCGTAACCATCGATGGTGAAGTAATAAGTTCGTATATACCTGAACTATTATGTCCTAATTTGATACTTAAACAACAAACTAAAGAACTTATTCCTTACGTTGTGTTTAAATTGCGATAAAATACTATAATATTACCTGTAATAAAATCATATCACTGCAAAACAATACATAAATACAAGTTATGAGTATGTAATGGCAATATAAAAGATGGGCCCGCGCAGTCCTATTCTGAAAGAATTCCTGCGTCAACTCACTCCTAAATTTTATTCTGCCACTGGTTTATTTCTCGAGCAAAGAATTTTAATGGCAAACCAAAGAAAAATGCAACCATGAAATGTATTTTAGCTGCAAGGAATGCAGACAGGATCCGCTCGATCCCTAAAAGTGCCTTGAAAAAGGTAATATTTTGTACAAATGTATGGTCAATTAAATATATAATATACATGATATTAATATTTTGTGTCCTGCATATACAAAGCCTCTAGATGGTATATCATCATCATTAAATACTAGGTAATCCTTACTCAATAATATTAAAAGTGATATCTACTTCCTAATTTTTGATATCGTTACCATTGAACTCCGAAATAACCCCGTGATTGATAGTTTTTCATAATAAATACTAAAACAGGCTACTGATCTTTATATCAGTATTGTATTTTGACTTATCGATTTGTCTTACCAATAATTCTTTATTGACGAACAATAAATTGGTAAATTTTAGAGAATGTTTATCTGTGCAAAAAAATATAACGATCTTGAGAAGATTTTTTTGAATTGACTGAAGAATAAAAGTAAACCCTATAAATTGCAAAAAGAATAGTCGTAATCAATTGAGAATTAGAGAAAATATTAAACGTTCTCTTCTATAAAATTTGCTTAAAAACTGTAAATTCTATACGAATCTTATGTTAAATATACTCGTAACCACCACTGACGATCGCTGTCATCGAGATTCGATTTGCTTGAAAAATATTTTTCTACTATACTGTAAATAATTAGTATTACTTTTATATGAGTATAATGCTATGCTAAGTTATTAATGTAGTGTCTATTGGTAAGTGCTGTAGATTGCTAAAATGTTTTTATTTTTAATTTTCATTTTTAATTATAATTGTAAATTAAATCTATGTCAAATTGAAGCAGAGCATTTTCGTGTTTTTTTTTTCCATAGACATATCATAAAGTAATTTAATTAAAAGTCATGATTTTCAGCATAATTTATAAGAATCGCCATTTTAGATTCTAAAATAAACTTAGGAGGTCTACCATGAAACATAATCCTAATTTTAATTCCAAATTTTGTAAATACTATGAAACACGTTTATATCAAAATAAGCTAGTAGATTTAGACATTTCGTTGGTCATAAATACTAACCTTAAAGTATCTAAATTATGTAAATTAAAGTATTTTGATAGCAATTCTTTTATTATTTCGACATCTACATCGTGTTTTGTTAGACTCTGAAATTTTGGGTAAATTTTCATAGTACGTATTCTGGTTATAATTCCCAGAGCCCCATACTTCAATTGCATCACGTAAACACTCGGTTTATAAACAAATGCCGATCTTCCATAAAGCCACTAACTACTGCCGTGTTTTTGCCATTCGGTTACACTTTATTACTCTACTCTGGTTAATATAACGACGACTTTCAAGTCTTACTGTTTATAAAAACAACGTTTTAGCTGATCGCCGGATGAGAATTGTGAATTAAACACACGCAATCACCAATTAGATATTAAGACTAAATTACTGAATGTATACGAGTATTATTAACAAATATAGACATCGATATAAATTCTTAGTATCAAAATTAATATATACATTATGCATCACAGTAAATTGTGTAATAATAACATGTTTAGTTGGTTTGGTTTGGTCACTTCGCTAGGATGAAAGTCGAATTATGAAAGAGATTTGTCTAGTACGAATGAGTGGAGATATCGGTAGAGACCGCCCTAGATGGACGCATTTCTATTAAGTAAGTGACGTTCTGAAAAAAGGCCAATTTAAATGTTTTTGTAACCGAAATACTTGTATGAATAGATTGACAAATGTGGTGGAAGCGAAAGAGGTATGTTCCATTGTTTCATTTACACACCAATGAGAGATATTAGCGACATATGCTTATGTATGTAGTAGTACATTTATTTTATGCTTTTTATGTACATTTTAGACAAAATTGAAGCTTTAGTTTTTTATTTTTAGACAGAATTAACAACTGTAATCAGAAATTAACTGTAATTATCGAGTAATCAAATATGGTACTTAAGTTTCTAAGCCCAAAAATAATTTAATCTTTTATTTTTGATAAATCTTTTGATAGATCTTTTAAATATAAATTTAAATTAAATATAAATTTTAAAAACTATTGACATTTGGCTACCTATTAATGTTATGCTATTTGGTAGTGTAGAATCTACGAAAAATAATACACTTACTTTCATTAGTAAAGGTCAAAACACAGCGTTTCACGCCCTTCCTTTGCAGTTGAAATTTTTCCTTCCTGAATTGGATGGTGGAATCATTATCATTTTAACAATTATTCTTTTTTTAAATACTTGTAATAAATGTAAGCTCTAGTATAGTTAAGGTTTTTGTATACAGCTATTCTTTTTCC